TTCAACGCCGTATCACCCTCAAACAAATGGTCTAGTAGAGAGACTCAATCGTGAAATAAAGGTTCGAATGGGGATCTACACGGAAAAAGATTATGAATGGGACGTCTACTTACAAACATTTATGTTTAGTTATAATAATACAATTAGAAGCGAATTGGGAGTTTCACCTTTTCAGCTTCTTTATAATTATGAACCGAGGTCCTTGATTCATAATCAATTTCAAATCGATCCTCTTTACAAAGAGAAAGACATTGAAGCGAAAAGATTAGAAATCAAAGAGAAAATCGAATCTAAATCTCAAGAGATGGCAAATGAAAGAAATCTGAAACAAAAAGAACCTGATTTAAAACGAGGAGATTTAGCAAGAGTAAAACCAATTCCGTACACCACAGGACCAGCATTCATGAAACAAAAGTATTCTGGTAAATACATTGTATTAGATACCTTTGAATCAACTGCAAGGTTAATCTTTGTTTACACGAGGAAGATAAAAGTCTTCAACTATGAAAGGATAAAGAAGATCATTGGAAAATTTCCTGATAATTATCAAAGTATCATGAAGAAATATCCTTCAATCAGGAAGTCTGAAACAGAGACTGAAACTGCCGAAAAAGGACCTCTTTCAGCAGTTGAGAAGAATGTTCAACCGTCACAAAAGGAAAACGTCGAAAAATCGAATTGGAATGAGACCAGTGACACCGAAATTGATGAAGAAAATGAAGAAAATGAGAAAGAAAAAGAAAGTGAAAAAGAAGGTGACAAAGAAAAAGAGAACAGAGAAGAGATAGAAATAACTGAAGAAATTCAGAAAGAAAGAGATAAATGTGACGCTAATTCCAAAGAGAAACAAGGACCTCGTTTCTCAACGGAAAAGCTCAAAGAGGCGATGGAAATAACACCGAAAGAAATCGTATCCGTGTTACCTAAAAGACAAGATGAAATCGAGAAAAAGAAAGAGATGGAAAAGAAGGAATCTGAGAAATCAGAAAGAGAAGAAGATACGAGTAAAAAGAAAAGAAATTATAAGCGAAAAGAATATAAGAGAGAACACCGAATGGAAACAAGAACAAGAAAATTAACACTTTAATTTGATAATTTTGAACAAGGACCTCGTTCAAAATTATCCAAATTAACAAAATCAACTAATATCGCTTTTAATCACTAACATATTACAATCCTACTAACATGTTTTCTTTAAAGTAACAAGATGAATTGACACATTTTAAAAGCTAAAAGCTTTTTAAGTTAACAATGTTAATTATCTTGACAATGTGACAATTAGATGTTGGATCAAAGGACCTCTGATCCATCAGAAAATTGACAAAATTGTTAATTGTTAACAAAAACAACAACAATTAAGATCAATTTAAATACACAAACAAGATAACCAAGATGGCGAATCAGTAATTGATTCAAATTAAAGACAAAGAGGGAAAGTGAAGACCTAAAGAGAAAAGAACAAGTGTCGCCACTGTCGCTCACTTTAAATTCTATTCTAAATTAAGTCAATTGTTTTAACCCTTAATCATCTTAACGTGGTCAACATAATTGATTTTGTGAATATTTTGTGTTTAATTCTTTTAAAATTTTGTGTTTTAACTTGAACAAATTGTGATAATCGAAAAAGGACCTCTTTCGATCACACAATCAATTCAAATCAATTTGATTCAACAATCAAAAGCCGTTCATCCGAAAAATCTCATCGTTCAAAATTCATCTTTGGATAGTGAAGTCAATCACAGGAAAGAGGACCTTTTTCTTGAGATTGACCAAAGACTAAAGTCCTAATCATGGAAAAATTAGATGAACATTGGCAAGTGTCAAGAGAATCAGTTGAAATTCTGATTAGAGAAAGAATCGAAAAACACTTTGGTAAGACTTGGAACGAGATCTCATTAGATGAAATAAATCATGGACTGATTTTTGTGACGCTACCAAAACAAGACACAACCAAGTACTTGATCTCAATCGCTTGTCGATTTTGTGAACACGTTCCAGCTCATCCATATAAATGTCAAAATTGTAAAGAGTATTATTGTCGTGATTGTTTGAAACTATTGATTAGAATCAACAATATGAGAAAAGGAAAGAAAGAAATTGATTTAAATCAATTGGTAGGCAAACGGTTCGATTGCCTGGTTTGCTTAGGTAACCCTTTGGCCAAAGTGATGATAATCAATGGTGATGAGATAGAAATGTTTGGAAAGTTTCAAGTGTATTGCCGAAACTATTTCTGTGAAGAGAAAGGAAATTACTTTGATGTACTGAAGCACCTCCAGTCCTGTCAAAGTAACCAACTCAGAGTAAATTCAATCATGAAATATGTTAAGGAAAATCAAGAAATTCTGAGACAAAAGATAAAGTCGCTGTGATTCCGCCATTGGAAGGAAAAGACAATCCATTAAAAACAATTAGTGATTTTTGTCAAGCTTTTGATATTCGACTTATGATTCAATATCCAAACATTGTTGAATTAAACTCTCCATTTACAGCGATTAAAAGGAAAAGTAATGTGATAAGTGACCAAATTGGTAACTCTAGCAATCGAATTGCAGTGAGTTCAAGTTCATTTGGTAAAGCAAAAGGACCTCTTGCTCAGCCAAATGAAAAGCCAAATTTTTGGTACCCATCAAATGATATCCTTATTTACTCAGATATCGAAGCGCAATCAAGCCAATCAACTTCAAGCCAAAAATCAAATAAAAGCGAAGACGATCAAAGACACTCATCAGTTAGTAAGCTACCCTCAACGATGGAACCTCAACCTTCAACATCATCTTCAATCGAAATTGAAAAGCCAAGTGAATGGGGTGAATGGGATCCATCATGTGTAATTGCCAAAGTTGGTACACCTCTTGTAGATTGGGACTCAGTTCTTGACCAGGAAATAGGACCTTTTTCCGGAGTCGTAACTGTGCCCCAAGAGATAAGTGCCGAGTTGAGAGATGAAGATACTCCAGTTAGAGGAAGAGCAAAAGTGAAACTAACAATCTCAGATATCGAGAAAGATCCAACAATTCCACCAGATAGAAAACGAGTTTTAATCAAGAGACGAAAGAAATGGAACAAGGAAAAGAACAAGGAATTGAAAGAAAACAGGATGTTGAAAGAAGAAAGAAAAGAGAAAAGTGGTTAGAGACTCATAGTAATCCAAATGAAGTGTTCAGTCTTTCGAATTGTGTCCATAAAGGAAGAATTGTCGAAGCAATGAAAGAATTCAGAAAAGAAAAGAAAAATGTCTGTGGAATGGACATCGAAAAAGCCAAAGTTAAAACTCAAGTTGGTGAAAGATCTCTTCCAATATGGATTGGAATCGTAGATTTTGAAGGAAATCAATTGTTCAATGGTATCATCAGGTATCCAAAAGAAGCAATGACAATTGGAACAATTTTTCATGGATTGACATTTGAACAAACTCGTGGCTGTGATACTTGGCAAGTTGCGAAGAGAAAAGTGATCGCTATTCTCAATACAATGGACATTATTTGCGTGGCCGGAGGAGTCAACGATTTTATTAGTATGGGATTTTCTGAAGACGATTGGGATTTAATTAGACCCAAAATTCGAGATGTGAATGTCTATTATAAGTGTTTATATAACACAACATCAATTGGCCTAAAATATATCATTTTTGCCCTTTTCGGATTAATTATCCAAGAGAAAGAACATTCACCAATTGTTGACGCTGGATTCACCATGTGGGCTTACATGATAGATCATGTTGAATTCGAAAAGACTCATCGTAAAGCAATCGACCACCCAATGTACGTGCTACCTTATCCCTATCTAAATTATGGTTACAATCGACAGTTCAGCCAACTAGTGAGAAACATCATGGAAATTTTACAAGATTGGCCAATGCAAGTTCGTAAAAGACCAATAGGAAAACCAGCATCTTCTTATGATGAAGCCAAATTGTGTGACGGATCTGAGGACCTTAGACCGCCGTTTTCGGAAGTGGATCTCACCATATTCAACAAATTCAAGAAGCGACCAAAATTAATAAGAGATCGACAATTACGTTAATTTCGGGGCATTTGAATCTATCTCATTTCTGGCACTGTAGTGACAAAAATTCAATAGATTCCGCCTTTGACACCCGAAAGTAACGATAAGTTGGGGGCTCTGTAAGGGATTACGCAATAGTTGATAATGAGTCATACATCAACTAGTTACTTTCCCCCTTTTAATCATTTAATCCACCATTTTGTATAATCTTATCAATACCCACGAGACCTTTTAAAATTAGTATTTAAAGCCAAACCAAAGACAAAGGACCTAAGTCTTTGATAATAGCTTTTTGTATCCACATCAAAATTGTCAATTTCTTCTTCTATGTTACTTTAACCTCAAAATACCCTTTTACCCTTTTCCTCACAAATCAGTTTCTTAACTCAGTTGTATAATTAATCAAATCAACCCTTTTGTGTTCTGTTAAATAAAAAGTTCCTAATTCACTAACTGTAGCTGATCCTCGTGTTCCTCGAGTACAAATCGTCAATTGACAAATTAAGTTTACAATGATGATTAAAATGATGACGATAATCATTGATGATGATTTAGCTAATATTGGTTTACCTTTAAATTTAACAATCGATTGTAATTTATTATTATTATTACAATTAACTAAATATTGATTATCAATTTCGCATCCATTTGTAAGTTGATTTAGTTCTGGTTTTACCTTTTTCATTGATCAGTTTATTGTTATTATCTGATCATGTTAATCAACTCAATTATGATTGATGGTTGTGTTTTTAACTAATTGATTGGATTGAATTTACTTAATTCCTTGGACAATTATTGAGGATTATTAATTATCTGTCAATAACAGATCACAGAAAAAGTAACAATTTAAAGTTAAATAAGTGATTATGTTAATCGTTGTTGATAATTAATCGTGATGATAATTTGAAGTTCAACTGATTTGGTTTGAGGAGGAAAATTTTTTAATCAATGAAATTGATTAATTGATTAGTTGATTAGATGATTATCTTTACCTGATTTGTTGAGGCGATGAAAATTGCGAGTAGAAAAATAAAGCAAAGTGAATTGTAATTTGTGCCAATTGATTTACTATCGTTGTAATTAAAATAAATTGCCAAGTAAATTAGCGCCGGAATAATGGACATGAAATTGTCCCCGTTTGTCTCAATGAAATCGTGTCGTAAAATGGCCGTAGGGTCAATATGATGTTCACGAAAGGGTCGGATAAACGCTTTGCCTACAAGGGGCAGTTCGACTGACCCCCAAGTGTCCGCTGACCAATGGACAAGGCCACTTATAAAATCGGCAGCGATTATCCCGCTTACTGAATTAGTGAAAGAAAATTATAATCACAAAGATATTAATCGTTAATTGTTTGGCTAATCAATTACTGGGAATTAAAGTTTTCCAATCTCATTTGTTTTTCTTACAATTTTTTGATTGTTTAAATTTCATCATTTTAATTGTATTTTAAGATTCAAGGTGAACAACATTTGGTTAATTTGATTTTGATTAGTTGTAATGTTAATTTAATGTATACTCATTACCTTCAACAATCAATAATTAACTGTATTGTTTAAGTTGATTTGTTCATCATTGTGTCATGACTACGCTGATTGTTGTTGTTGATTAACTTTGAATTAACTTATCAATGAAAGTATTTACCTTTTCATCATTAAATTAATTATCATCATTATTATTACATTAATTGTCCTTAATTGTAAATGACTTATGGTTATTTATTATAACCACGCAACTTATTCAATACCAAATTAACAATGTAAAAACAATTACAATTAACAATCAATGGTAACCAATGGCTCAGTTTAATAAGGAAATAGATTGATACAATATTGGTAATTAACTGATTGCTAAAAATTGTCAATTGATTACTTTCTAGTTAACTATTTGTATCATCAATGAGTCTGTACTAATTGTAATAACTGATTAATTGATTTGATAAAATAATCAACAGGAAACAATCAGTAACATTGAATTTCATTGATTCCAATGATTAAAACCATTGGAATTGTAATCAAAACAATCAACGTGATCTCAGTAATACAAAATTAAGTAATTGTATTAACCTTGGAAATTTATATATAAATTTTGATTGTAATTATATCACAATAATTAATGAATTATAATTGTATTTCGATTGGTAAATAAGTTTAATAAGATTTATTGATTTTAAAACTAATTTAGTTGTGATTTATTAGGAAACGAAAATTAGATTTAATTGTTTACACTCAGCTAATTGTAATATGATTATCTAAGATGTTGATTATTGCAAACAATTTAAATCACAATTTACCCATGAAGGTTAAATTAATTTCTTAATTGTTTTATATTTGTTACGAAAAGAAAATTGTTTTCCTGGTAATTTACCCATTCGCAAATTACCAACAATTAATTATGAGTCTAAATCTTTGGTAATTATGTAAATTATGATGATATTTAAGTCAACTTTATGTATTAGATTTGATTGTAATCGGATAGTTGATTAGGATTGTAATTAAAAAAAAAAGGGAAACAATTAACTTACTTGCTGCAAGAAAAACGGTAAACCATTTGACTGAATCAAAGTTTAACCAAAGGTAATAAGCATTGAGAGTAATTAAAATGCTACAAATTGTGATTGAGATTTTTTCCTGGAGTCTTTTACCTAAAGGCAAACAATTAACAATCAACGGGATAGAAAATTAAGTTAATTGTTTGGTGGAAATGGTTCAATAATTAAATACCTTGAGAGTAATGAAAAAATGATTGTGAAAGTGGATCATCAGTAAGAATTGTTTCCAATGTTGATTTAGTTTCACTTTCATCTGACATGATTAACTAATTGTGAAACTTTTTTCGTTTTGTATAACGAAAAACTTGGTAATCAATTAAACACTTTGGTCAATTGGTGTGATTAGATTTGATTGATGATTTACTGGTTTTGTGTTTGATGTGGTCAACAGGTTTAATTGATTGGGTATTAATTGTTGATTATCACTTTGATTGTGTGAGTTAAGATTAAGATGAAAGTTTGGTCATCGAGTGGTCAATATATTTATGGATCATTTTGTTTTCAAATGGACACACAGGTTGATTGAGTTAATTGTGATTTAATGACATAACAATTAACTGATGATTATCGATCTTTGTACTTGTAAACAGTTTTCAGATTATTCTAATTGGTTAATTCATTTTGATGGGTTAATTGTTGTGAACAGTTAACTAGATGAGATTGAGAGTAAGTTTCATGAAGAGAAACTGAATGAACAGAAAATTCATTTTTTCTCTTCCATCATCATCTCTCTCTCTCTCATTACTTTCTTTTTTTATCATCAATAGAAACTTCCAACCTGTAACTATCTCCTCCCTCTGTTGGTAACTATTCCGAACACCAACAAATTTAATCATCGAAAGTTAATGATAAAAGTTAGTCCACAATTAGTAAATTGTTTATCCCAATCAACCAATATTTAGATTATCTCTTATATTTACAAAATCTCTAATTGCTGATGTAAATATGAGAACAGTAGATAAATAATCTTAATAGATATTTTCTAAGTAAGAAACTGAAATAAATATAAATAAACAAAATTAAATTCGAACCAAAATTATTATTAATAGAATTCAATTCGTAACCAGAATTTTTTTTCTCGAATTCAAGTTGACCGCTTTTTCTTTTTCTTCCACCAGATGGAGCCTGTTGAGCGAATTTTTGGCGCCTTTTTCTTTCTTTCTTCTCTTTCATTTTTAAAAGTCTTTCTCTTCACCGATAAGACCAAAAATCTGCTCTTGGTTTTTTAATTTTCCTTTTAATTTGGTTGATTTGATTTGATTATTTTTCCTTTTTTAATTGTTTTTTTTTAATTACGTTGATTCTTTAATCATGTCTGAAACTGGTGATGATGTTTTCGATGAAATTATCGGTGATGATGATGCTTTGTCTTCACCTTCTCATTACTCCGATGGTAAGTGCTTCTTTTTTTTTTGAGATCTCCATCTTGTTAATATCTTTTGAGTGGCTCTTTTGTTTCTTGAGGTTTTCTTTTTTATTTGTTTGTTTAATTTTTTGGTTTGATTTTTTTGTCTTGATTTGTTGACCTTTTCTCTGTGAATTGACTGTTTTGTACTTTGTTGCTAATGTTTGGTTTTCTGTTTTAGCTCCTGAACCTGAGGTAGTCAGAGAGGTTGATAGACGTCGTGGTATTGAAAATGATGACGCTCTTATGGAACCAAGGGAGAATGATGATGAAGAAGGGGAAGATCTTTATGGTGATAATATGTCTGATGATTATCGACCTATTCCTGAACTCGATGTTTATGATGCTGATGCTCTTGATGATCGTTCTGCTTCTGAACTTTCAATCTCAGCTCGTATTCAGGCTGAAGCTGATATGAGAGCCAGAGATCGAGCTGAAGCTCGAGGTACTGGCCGAATGCGAAGAGGTCTTGAGATTTTTGATGCCAGTTCGGAATCAGATACTTTCCGTATTTCCGATATTAAAAAACGTCGAATGATGGCTGCTAAAGGTTTAAGAAAAGATGTAAGTATTCATAGATTTTCAACCATTTTTTCCATTCTGTTTTAATTCTCATTGAATTAACTGTTTCTTTTGTTTATTTTAAAGGGCGATTCTGATTTATTGGACGATGATGAACCTATGGAATCAATTGAAAATCTTGGTGATACAAGAGGTCTAACTGTTCGAGAACATGTCTCTTCAAATTACTCGGCGAGAAATTCATCACAGATTCAAAAATTTCTTAAGGACTTATGCTGATGCTAAAGGCAGAATTGCTTTCAAAGAAATCATCAAACAAATGTGTGAAGAGAATAAACAAAGCTTCGATGTAAGTTATCCAGTTCTTGCTCACGAAGAGCCAAACATTGCATGGCTCGTTATCGAGGCTCCATTTGAAGTTTTCGAGATTCTCAATGCCGCTGCAAAAGAAGTAGTTTTATCAATCTTTCCAGCTTACGAAAGAATTGTAGCTGAAATAGCAGTTCGAATCTCTGATTTACCAATCTCGGAAGATATTCGTTCATTGAGACAATATCATTTAAATCAACTTATTCGAACCTATGGTGTTGTTACCTCTTCTACCTCAGTTTTACCTCAGCTTCGAGTGGTAAAATATGATTGTAAATGTGGTTATATTCTTGGACCTTTTGTTCAAAATCAAGATACCGAATTGAAACCAGGCTCATGTCCAGAATGTCAAAGTCTCGGGCCATTTACCGTTAACATGCAGGAAACTGTCTATCAAAACTATCAACGAATAACAATTCAAGAACCTCCTGGTAGAATCTCCGCCGGTCGAATTCCTCGTTCCGAAGATGTTATCTTGTTGGGTGATCTTTGTGACACTTGTCGTCCTGGAGATGAAATTGACATTACCGGAGTTTATACTCACTCATATGATGGTTCATTGAATATCGCAAACGGATTTCCTGTTTTTGCAACAGTTATTGTTGCCAATTATATTCTGAAACGTGATGACTGGTCATTCTCCGGTAATCTAACTGATGAGGATACTAAAGCTATTATCAAACTGTCAGAAGATTTAAGACTCTCTGACCGTATCATTGCATCAATTTCTCCTTCAATTTATGGTCATAAAGACGTTAAAAGAGCCTTAGCATTGGCATTGTTTGGCGGTGAGTCCAAAAATCCTGGTCAAAAGCACAGAGTTCGAGGTGATATCAATGTTCTCATTTGTGGTGATCCTGGTACAGCTAAATCTCAATTTTTGAAATACTTAACCAAAATTGCTCCAAGAGCTGTTTTCACCACGGGTCAAGGTGCTTCTGCCGTCGGTTTAACCGCTTTCGTCCAAAAAAGTCCAGTAACCCAAGAATGGTGTTTAGAGGCTGGTGCTTTAGTTCTTGCCGATAAGGGTGTTTGTCTTATTGACGAGTTCGACAAGATGAGTGAAAAAGACAGAACCAGTATCCACGAGGCAATGGAACAGCAAAGTATCTCTGTTTCAAAGGCTGGAATTGTGGCCTCACTTACCGCTCGATGTTCGGTTATAGCTGCTGCCAATCCAATTGGAGGTCGATACGATTCATCATCTCCATTCTCTCAGAATGTTGATCTAACAGAGCCAATTATTTCTCGATTTGATATTCTTTGTGTTGTTCGAGACATTCCAGATCCTGATGAAGACGAACGATTAGCAAAATTTGTTGTTCGATCGCACATTAAACATCATCCATCCCTTGAAGGTGATGAACTTATCAAAATGAATGAAACAATGGTTGAGGTTTATGAAGATCCAGAGATAGAACCTATTCCTCAAGATTTATTGAAAAAGTACATTATGTATGCACGTGAAAGAATTCATCCTAAATTACATCAGATTGATCGAGAGCGAATCTCTCGACTTTACACTGAACTCCGTCGAGAATCACTAGCCACAGGTTCCATTCCAATAACAGTTCGACACATTGAAGGTATCATTCGGTGCGCTGAAGCTCACGCTAAAATGTATCTCAGAGATGTTGTGACCAATGATGATGTCGACATGGCTATTCGTGTAATCCTTGAGTCTTTTGTTGATACACAAAAGTTCACTGTCATGAGACAAATGAGAAATGTAAGTCATTGATCTTATTAATTGTTTACTAATTTTCCCGCCTTGAAATTGCTTCAACAATAAGGAAACTTTTCGTTCTCAATTCTCGAGTAATTTTGTTATTTACTAATTAATCATTTGATTCCAACTCTTTTGTATCTACACAATTTTAGACATTCTCCCGATACCTGACATATAAACGAACACCCGAAGAACTCCTTCTATTGATATTGAAACAATTGGTTCACGAACAAATGGTGATCGCTCGTGGAAAAGCTCAAGGAGATATTCATCTTGACGAAATTACCATCCCAGAGAAAGATCTTCTTTCTAAAGCCAAACAATTAAGGATTTACAATGTTCAACAATTTTATCAGAAATCAATCTTCAAATCACATAACTTTAGTTATGATCCAAAAAGAAAAGTTATCGTTCAAAAAGTTTAAAACATTAACTCCTTAAGTGCCATTTCCATTGATTTTACCGTTAAAATCAAATTGCTCATCTCTATTATCTCACAATCATCAACAATTTCAATATCTACTTTTAATACAAGCTAATTTTTTTTTACTACTCTTAACATTTAATTAATAGTTACACAATTGAATCATTTTCCCATGTTTAATTTGTATATTAAACACTCAAAGTGAACTTGAAAATAACAAGTAATTGTATCGAAAAATGAATTAACCTGATTAAGCAACAACAATAAGATTTGAGTGACTTAATTGTAACTAAATGTTGATGATTCAGTAAAGAGGAACCATTAACTGCTCATCACGGATTAATAGATGCGTTTCAAGTTCAACCGAACAAGTGAAGATGAAAGAGAAATATCTTCCGGTGATGATGAAAACATTAATCTTCCGTTAAGCTTAATTGCTTAACAGAATTTAATTTGATTCCATTCTCATCTAGATCTTTTTATTTTCCTTCCTATTCTTTAACCTTCTCATAACTTGATGATGATTATAAATTGAAAACACGTTCACACGTTTATAACAATTAAATCTAATTTAATTTCAACAATACCCAAAATTGTTGTTAGTTAACAATTTAATCCTTAATTGTTAAGGTTAATAGGTTACCAATGACACAAACATGAAACTCTTGATGGTCAAACGATTTAAAAAGTTTAAACAGACAAACGGACAAAATTAACAACCAAACTGTTAATCAACTTGATCAAAACAATTTAATCAATCCCTTTAAACCCTAAATATAATCAAACCGATGCAAAAAAAATTAATTTAATTGTTTAACTAAAATTCATCTTCACCAATAGTTACACAATTAGAGAAACAAAAACAACAACAACAAAGAATCAATTGATTGTCTTTACAATTAAAGGTTGACCATTAGAGAGAGAGAAAGAAGCATTAATTTGGTAATTAATTTTCCAATTAAATTGTGAAATGCGAATTAATTAGTTAATTGTGCTGATGAAGAATAGAAAATATTATTTTCCTTTTAATTTAAATGGAATAATTTTCTTATAATATAAACTTGGAACTTTTTGTTTTCTTTTTCTGTTCAACTTTTTCTCCTCCCACTTTTTGCTTTTCTTTTGCTTACTTACCTGTTGATTCTTGTTTATACTCTGAATATATTTGGATGAATGGAAAATTAAAGTTACAGGTAATTCAACAAGTTGTCCATCAAGTTGTTGAATGAAACAACAATTCTAATTGTACAACAATCAAGGACCAACCTTTAAATTGAACCGTTTGCCTCACTTACGCTTGGATAATGTTAGTTCCAGATGTCGGTTAACCATCATCACCATCGCGTCTAAACCTTTAATCAACAATTAATTTCTCGTTTAATTAGCTTAATATGGAGACATAATTTCTCCATATTAATTACCCTTTAAATTGGCGACAATTAACATGATTTAATTTCTCCTTTTCTTTTTCTTGGTTCTTTGATTCTTTTCTCTTCTCATCTCAAAATTGTGATTCTTTTTTCTTGTCTTTGTGTTTGATTGTTTTTTTCTCTTTCTTTTTATTTTCTATTCTAAATATTATCACTCAAGTTAGTATTCTATTCTATTCAATTGTGTACCTGTGCTTAATTCATCTCCATGGTTTAATCTAATTTCCATCAAATTGTTTCCAAAGAACCACAATGGCCGCCATTTCAATTTCCATTACATTCTGGTAACAAGTTTTTTCCTATAAACAAATGAAAGTGTCTTGTTGGGCCTATGAGATAATCTTTTGGATTTGCTTGTGATCTTTTGGTGTTAATCTTTGTTACTATGTTTCAATTTGTTGCGATTATTAATTCTACTCATCGTAAGTGTATAATCTCAGCTTGATTAATCTCACTTTCAATTGTTACCACTCAGGATTATTCTGTCACCCGATAAATTGACTCTTAAAAAGATTGGCGCTTTTACCAAAACAACACTTACATACCTCAACACAATATCTTGGACCGATTGATTAGATTCACTATTACCTGTTGTTTGCCGATCATTGTTATCAACCATCAATATTTTTTCGGTAGGAAAATTGTCAAACCTGAGAAAATTGGAGGAAAAAAAAAGTGTCATCAACTGAAATTATGATTCTCCAAGCATAACAAAACAGTTTCTTCTTCTCTTCTCTCTCCATTGTATTCAGGTAACTTGAGGAATACAATCAAAAAAAAGAGAGAATAGAAAAGTCTGAAAGAATTGGAGAGAAAAAAATTCCATCTCATCATGGATATAAATCCATTTTTCGTTTATTAACAGTCTATACTATTCAGTGAATTCCAATCAGTGAATTGATTGTCAACATTATTTCTCTCTCTCTCTCTTTGTATTTGTTGATTTTCTTTTTCATAACTAACAGTTAATTTGTTGTGTCTCACCAACGGATTCTAATTGTGGGTTCAGTGTTCATCTCTCGTCAATTTTTGTTTCCTCCATTTGTTTACAATTAAATCTTCCATGAGTTTAATTGTCAGAGATAAACAATCAACACGAAGCAGAAAATTTTTTACCTCTTTACGTTGGATTGGAATCAAGGTTTTCTCACTTATCAACCAATTAGTATTAACCATTTTACTCGTGATTATCTATACCTGTTAACCAAATTAACTAATTGTCCTTGGTTTCACCATTTCAAACACTTTCATGGTCAAACAATTGGTGAAGAAGAAACAAGAAAAAAAAATCTCCCAATTACAACAACTAAATTTAATTCCTTTATCATGTTATATCATAGAGAGAATTGAATTTCCAGTTAAAGAAACACAATAAATAACATAATTGGTGTTTCTTAATCTTCGTTAAGCTGACAATCGATTTCAATGTTTATCTTGTTATAAAATATTGATTTTCCATCATCATCATAATCACTTTGAACATTATCACGATTATCAATTAGTGAATTTCGATTGTTAATCATCATGAGCACCTTAACAAGTTACTCTAATTACACGAGTTCCAATTATGGAAGCCCTTTGAAAACACCTAAACGTTACTTCAATCTTGGTCTTCTTTGTTGTTGTATCGCTGGAATCGTCTTCGTAATTGGACTTATCTCAATGGTTTGGGGATCTTCACCTCACGAACCTGATGCCATTTGGATAGCGGGAATTGTTTTCCTTTTTTTCGGTGGTTTTCTTTTCTTCATTGGTATCAGTTCCATTGGAATCTATCTCTCCAAGGAAGATAAAAGAAAACATGAACTTGAACGAGCTCGAACAAGACAATACGCTGCAAGTATTTCGTCAGCTCGAAGTCTCCGTTCAAGCGATTTTTACCTCATTGAATGATAAAAGAATTGAAGATAATTGGAAGAACCATTGATGGAACTAAATTGCTCTTTAAATTTTGATTTTCTATTCACAATTAACTCTACAACAATAATCGATTCAAAAGGATCAATACAATTAATAAGATATCACTTATTTTCTCATCACGATTGAACTTTACCTGAGTGTCCATCATAACGATTAATACACGACAACAACAATGACAATGGTACAATTACAATTACAAATTTAATCAACTCAATAATCATGTTTTTCATTTGAAAAATCAGCAATTATTATTTTTTTGTCACAACACAATTATCATCAATTTGATTGCAATCAACATACTATAAGTATTATGACTAAATTTAGTTACTAAACTAATTTGGTTAGACTTAAAGATTATCTCTAATTTTTATATTAACTGTTAATATTTAAATCAATCTCTATATTGTAAATATCTAAATTACTTTGTAAATTTAAATTGTTTTCACTTTTTATACTCTAATCAATCAACAAAGTACAAGTTGATTACCTTTCCATTGGTAATGGTTTAGAAACATTGATTTGTATCATTTTCTAGCCTCACTTATTAATTGTCATGTCTATGGTTCCATTGTTTTCCTTAATCACTTGACGACAATTCAACAACAATTAAACTGAAAAGTTTTCCGTTAAAATGAAACTTGATTCTAATACTCTATTGATCTTTAAGAGATACAAATAAACTTTTTCTCTCAGTTTTTGTGAAAATCTCATCAACACTTAATCGTTTCTCTTAATATCTTGATTTGTGTTAGTCTTCATCAGATTAAGACAATTAAAATTACCTTTTAATCCCAATTGGTTTATTCTTTTGTAATGGAAAACAATTAAAACCAATCATCATAATCAAATTCGAGCAAATCAAATACCAATTCAATTCGAGTTGATGATGGACCATCAAATTGAGAAACCATTTGATCGGAGGGAATATTAACAATAATCAAACTGACAATTCGATAGTTGATCAATCAATTGTTTAAGAAAAAATCAATAAATTAATGATTAATCACAAACGAAAAAAATAATCAAGAGAAGACAAAACTTTCAAAGAATTGCAATTTTCTGATCAACATCACAGCAGAAACAACCAATTATTCAGTTAAAAGATAAATAAGTTAACCACTGAATATTAAATTGTTCTAATTAAAGTTCTATTAGAAAACAATTAACAACAATTAACAAAACGAAAACGAAAAAGAAAAAGAATTATCTATTTTTCGATAATTTGCTCGATAAATAGGCGCCTATTTACAGAGAAAATTTTGTTTTCTTTTCTCTCATTAACATTAAGTGAATTTACTTGTTTGTTGTGTAATTGAAGTTTGATTATTTAATTATGTTCATTATCTAATTATCATGTGATATAATATAATTTTTCCACCATGAAGTAGTTTAAACGAAGTAAATTCAACGATTAATGTTAATATACTTGTGAATCGATGATAATCCAATACCTTTGGATTTTTGTCTTCGCTTCTTATTCCCAATGGTGAAAATCATATGTTGTTTTTAGCGAAAATTTTTTTTAGCTTTTTCTTTTGTTGAAGAAACGAAAACCATTGAATCAATGGATCAATTTTGATCTTTATTCAATTGGTGTTTTCTCTTGTATCATTTAATCTTCTTCTTCTTCTTCTTCTTCTCCCGGTGTGATTTTATTCTTCCAATTCTTTCGGTGGTTCGGATTGTTAATCCATCTTGTTGAATGTGGAAACAATAAATTAATGAGGTTCATCTTAATTTCTCTTGATCGTAAACACAATGACTGCTGAAGATGCTGATTGTCTACCATCTTTACTACCATCGGGTGATCATAAATTATCACTTACCAGTGATGATGATGGCGGAGGCTGTGGATATGATAAGGTTGATGCTCTTCCAGCTGATATGAAATTTACTTGGCTCGATGGATTGGCCATTCTATTTTCAATTGGTTCTTTTCTCTTTGACATTGGTACCGATATTGCCGTTGCCGTGATCCATTTTACCAATAAAGACTATTGGTATTTCGGTTTAACATTATCATTTATCCTTTTTCCAACCTTGGTAATGACCGGTATCAGTTTACGTTGGTATGTTTTAGATGCTCGCGAAGAGGGATCACCTAAAGTATCAACCACCCAATGGACATTGAGAGTAATTTTTCTTCTCTTTCAATTGGGACCAATTTTACGTTACATTGATTCCCTAATCTATGGGATTAAATTTCTACAACATAAATCAAACAAATTGGAACAGAAAAAGTATTACCATTACATGGTTTATGAAGATACTGATGCAACTATGTTAAGGTTATTTGAATGTTTCATGGAAGCGGCTCCTCAATTGGTTTTACAAATTTATATTCTCGCAGTTCTTAAATCACCTTATGGAGATGATCATCTAATGGTTTTAACACAAATCGCTGCCTGTATTGCCTCATTGGTTTCACTTTCCTGGTCACTTGTTTCCTATCAAAGGTCATTAAGACTTTCCCTTCCAAATAAAGTTTCCCTTACCTGGCAAGGAATTGGAGTCCAATTTTTGTGGAGATTTTTCGTAATTGCAGCTCGAGTTTTAGCTTTAGCCTTATTCGCCTCAATCTACAATTGGTACATTAGTATTGTCTGTGGAGTTCATTGTATAATCATGTTCGCTTGGATTGTCTCAATGAAAACCTCTTTCTGTGAGAATCGTTGTGAAGAGCTTGGTTATAATGCTGTTCTCGCTGTTATGTACATTTTCTGTTATTTTAATCCGGTCGATAGTCCAACTCGTTATCGTTATACAATCTATTATATATTTATGTTCTGTGAAAATACTCTTCTTATGGTTCTATGGTTTACCCGAGCTGAATCACACCTTTGGTACCGATTACCAGCCCTAGTAGGACATTACATGAGCTTTTTCACCGGTCTACTTTTCATGGCAGCTTATTACCTTTTATTTCATCCCTCTGAAGATATTAAATTGTATCGAAATCGTGATCTAGATCAAGATGAAACTGATCGTCAACAATGTGCTCGATTAGGTGGTTACAAGAGACAAAGTCACAATGGTTTATGGACAACACAAGGACGAGTCTTACATCCAAGACCTGCAGTTCCCACCGCTTTATCATCATCATCTCATAAGGATTGTCGATCAGCCAAATCAAAGGAATCAAATAACATTAAAATGCGACAACAATCAACACCAACACCACCACCAAGTGATAAAGAATCGTCTTCAATGATTACTACCAAAGGAACTTGTGTCTAATCAATTGGACAATTTCTCATTTAATTAATTATCGACAGAATTAACTCAATTATCAATATGGAAATGAATAATATTCTCATCGTTAAAAATGAAAAAAAAAGCATTTAAACCTTGGTTAATTCATCAACAATCTTACAAATTACTCAAAATATTTTCTACCATGACAATTAATTGTTTGGAAAAACAAGCAGAGACTTGGATACAATCATCCAAAATTCTGGAGAAAACTGATCGTAATTAACTAATGGAAAAATAGAAAACAAATACAATTGTTTATATATATTTTCGATAATATATATTAGTTGATCAGTGGACACACAAACAAATTAAATCCAATGTTGCTAAGCAAGATGACCATCAATTGACTGACCAGTTGAACATTTTAATTGCCGATGTTAACATGATTAAATTACTATTGATCACTCACCCCTCCAATCAAATATACACAAACAACTCACACACAATACAATTTACCAATATTACTTAAATCAGTCAATTATAAATACAATGATAATCAATTAGTTAAAAAGGAAACACAAATCAGTTTTAATCTTGACACTTAAATCTTAATATCATTGCAATTATATCTCAATCACGTTATCATTTAATTATCTCTGGAAGTTGATGGTACAATTATCACTTAACTATTATGAACAATTAACATTGTCTCTCATTTACAATTACTACAAAATCGCAGCTACAAATCACTATTATCAAGATGAAATTAAACAGAAGGAGATTAAGAAGCTGATCAGTTAATCACTGGCAACTATTAATATTTAATCAATACAATCATCATCATCATTATCATCATCATCCTTATAAATAATATCATCAATCAAATGCCAGCAACACCAACAATTTACTGATTTTGTTAATTTAATGCCCATAAACCTAATACCGAATGTACTTATTATTATTTAACAATTTACCTCCAACCGTTAATTGTTTCCTCCTCCAACAACAATAATCAACAATTGGCATTATATAAATATCTTATTCTCTTTATATTTAAATATATAGATCCTTAATTACCGTAATAGTAATAATCATCACGATGATCAACTTGATCATTACCAATAAGAAAGTTTCAACTTAACCAAATAATTACAATTAGAGTTTAATTTTTTTAACAAACAAAAAGTTAAAATCAACATTAAAACAAATCAACAAACTAATCAATCGATACAATTTGATTTACTTTCCACTATTAACTAATCCAATTGATTATTAACTCTAATCATACTAATATAATATGCAATCAGATTGAGTTGAATTGACACTTAATCAATTGATTGTTGGTAACCCAACAATGTAACTGATCAATAATCAAACCATTAACATGATTAAGATGATGAAAGCAATCAAAACATAAGCCAATGGTAAATGAGACACTTAATTGTGACCTTGAAACAGATTAAAAATATCACAATACAAGTTTTAATTGTAAATGGTTGGTTAAGATGAGAAAATATTTCGCTCGGGAATTAAATCAACAATCAGCCAGAGGTAATTGTAGACCAACAAATTGTTAACCTCTCATGTACCTGAACGTAAATCTGATTAATTTCACTGATTCTCTTGTATGAGAATCAATTGATTACCATTAATTTCTGAACAGAAACGGTTTTCCATCAGGTAAATTGTTCTCAGGTAACTTTTGATTTTCTCATCAAAGAAAAATTTTCACTTCAACTAATAATCTTTCCAATGATTAATAGTCAACAATATAAGAACTCAAAGTTAATTAACTTGACAATTAGTGATTTACATACAACTCCAAATACATGAATGAATTCAAAATGAGAATTAATCAAAAATTTCTTATTGTAACACATCAACAATTAAGTAAAATTCTGATCAATCTTTTCCTTTGATTGTTGATCAATGTTTTTTTCTCAATTAATTGTTACATGATTGATGGCTCATTCTACCGGGTTGATGAAATTTCAGATTAATGATTGACTGATCGATTTGATTGTTGCTTGATTAGTCCGATGATTGACTATTCTAGTTGACGATTTTTTCTGTCTTTTCTAATGACACCATTTTCCAAATATTATTTGGCATCGAAATCATTTTCAAGATCAATCACTTTGGTCTCAAAGTGTTGATATTATTGTCTCTCAATGTCACCAATCTAATTGTTACAATAAATTTGATTCAGTTTTGATCAGAATAGTTTCCGATTGTGTTGTGTTCAAATTGTAAATTTGACCGAACATGAGAAACTTAAGTATCATCTTGTTGTTATCGATTCTCTTTCTCAATAATCCGCCATCGAATGTCCAGTCGATCATAATTGTCGGTCCATCGTATCAGGATTTTAAGGTGAGTTAATTGTTTACACTCTTATAGATTATTAATCAGTTTCATCGTTCAAGTTGAATCAAGATTGGGACGGAAAAGAAAAATCTCCCGATATTCTTTATGATAAAGTGAAAGACATCGACACAATTTATGCGACCAAAAAACATCCGTTTCCGTATCTGTTCAGCGAAGCTTTTATCAAGATGGTCGGTAAGATAAATCGATTTGAACATCGACGAACGGCCAAAAAGTACTGGAGAAAATTGAAGAAATATAAGTCAAGAAAGGTCGATGTTTGGATGGATTCACCTTGACCTTTTTTTTTTGCTTCGTTCTTTTCGTGACACTTTTAATTGCTTGGGATGATTTTCTCTTTGATCAATTTAAATTGATGAGTTAAATCAGTGCAAACAATTGACAAACTTTTTCATCTCAATTTTTGACGATTTTTTTGCAAATATTCAATTATGATTAGTTTATTTTTTTTTTGGAAACTGAAAATTAATAAATGTTATTACTTACAGGATTTTCATCATAATTAAAGATCAGTATTTTTACAACTGTAACTGCTCCTGTTTTTAAATAATAAGAGTGTAAAATTTGTTTACAATTAGAAATGATTGTTGATTCCAATTGGTCTCTTAATCTGGTGTGTAGATTGTTAAAAGATGTAAAAAAGTACAATTATCTTTTCTTTTTTGGTTGCTATTTCTTATAATAAAAGTAAATAAAATCCTTTTCACTCTTTTCCTTATTATTGTCGATGATCAATTTTTAAAGTTGTAAATTTTGATTGATTCTATTCGGTTGATGAGATTTTAGATCAACGATTGACTGATAAATCTGATGGTTGGTTGATCTGTCCAATGAATGATAATTCTAGTTGACAATTAGTTTTATATACAAGAAGACACCATTTCTCAGGTATTTGGTATCAGTTCAATTACTTTGATTTCAAAGGGTTACAATTAATATTAATAACTCAATCGTTTAATCTTGTTGTCCAACTGTTGTTCATCTTTAGGGAAGTTTGGAAATCATTGTGTTAAAATATGAACTTTGAACAAATTGTTGAGCTGAATTATAGTTGAGAAGATTATCTTTGAGACTTTTGAGAGCCTTCATAGCCCCTTGATTAGCTTTACTTTTCGATTTATACTTTTTAGCGATAGCCAATTTCGTTGAAAGATAATGAATCCAGAGAATGTTGGTATAAGGAGTGAAACTTTTCCAATCATTTCCGTTCGCTTTACGCATAAGCCGATAAATTTCGAATTGATAATCGCCCTCTCCGGTGAAGATCTCTTCATATTTGGATAGATCATCATAAACAATGTATCCATCTTTTGCCATCCTCGCCAATGTGAAATCAATAACGGAAACTTTAAGATTCATTGAAGGAAGTTTGATGTTTTTGTTGTTCACTTTGTAGTCAAGATGAGATTCGGTACATGGCATAATCAACACGTTTCCAGTATGAAGATCTCTATGTTCAAATTCAAACTCTTCTTCGGCAGCAGCAAGTGAAATGGTTGTTTGTAAAATAACACTTAGAGCTTGAGAAGCAGAATTGAATTGATAGTTATCCAGTTCGACTCCTCCATTGTTTAAGAGTATTATAAGCCAATTGTTTCTTGGTCCATATTTGTCAGGGTGCATATTTTCACTTTCTTTTTCTTTATGATATTTTTCCCAAGCATAAATCAGTTCTCTCGGCCAACGTCCATAGGTACAAGAAGCTCGTAAGGTATTGATGAAATTTGGTGTTCTATTGCGTTTGCCTATTCTTAAATCACCGAAAGTTAAAGAGATTACAAGTTCTGGAAGTATTTGTGTCCACTTTTCGTCTTCAGTTGTAGTGTTTGCAACTAAAGGAACAACTTTGACGACAACTTCTTGATCCTCTTTGGTTTTAGATTTGAAAACTTCACCGTATGATCCTTCACCAATTTTAACCATTGATCTTATTAAATCGCCATCCAAAGCATTGCTAAATGATGTTATGTTAGGAGGATTGCAAAGAGATAAAACTTTGTCTTTCGAGGTGATTGGTAGTTGTTTGTCTTCATCTTCTACAAAAGTTTTATCGAATGCAACCAGAAAACTACGGGCTGGATTCTCTAAGATTGTATTCCTTCTTTTACGGGTTGATTTTCTTGGTCCAATTGGTGGTGATTCTCGAATAATTGTTCGGCAAGATTTTCCTAAAGCATGAAGAGTATTGGCTGTCTCTACAATGCTACGTCGATAAAATCTAAGTGATCGATCCTGCTCTTCGCGAGGAGGTTGACTTGATTTATAAATCTGGATAGAGTCACGAATTTCTTTGTTGAACTGTTTGATAGAATTTTGACTGAAAACACTGAAAACAGATTCATCCATTTCAGCTACACTGTGAACATTAGACCAATCTAAAGGTTGATCATTTGAAACTTCAATTGAGTCATTTGATATGACGTTAGGTTCATCATCAAAGACAACTGGATGTGGTGGTAAGAGATCGGTTCCTCTTCGATCAACAACATTCCAAGGTTTCTTCTTGGCTGGTGGAGGTCCTTTCGGTGTTGCTGTTACATCTTGGGTGGTAGAAGTTTCTATAAATTTAGCTGATGGTATAACAGAGAGATCAAATCTAGGAGGTGAAGTGCGTTTAGAGTTTTGTATCGGTGTGCTGACTCCTTTGTTTTCTGTTAGACTTGATTGACTTTCATCGATAACAGTTTCAGCATCTGAATCGATAGAAATATCGTCAACAAGATTATCATGAGATGGTGATTCCACATTAATAACAGGATTATTGTCTTTTAATAAACTATTATCTCGTGAAACTGAGTCAATTTTCTTCAATAATGGAATAAATGGTTTTACAATTTGTCTTCTACTGATGTGATCCGATTGTTTTGAAGATTTTTCTCTTCTTCCGATTTATTATTTGAATCCATTACAACAACATTCAGTGGTAATGCCGCGATTGCCTCATAATCTGGTAGACCAGCTTTTAAGAAAGCATCTAGAACAGACTCTTTGGTACACTGAAGAGCATCTTTTTTCCGAATACAAGTTTTCTTTTTTCTGGTTCCTTTTTATTACCACCAATAGCACCCTTTTTACCAGCGTAAGTAGCAAATTGAGCTTTCCTTTTAGGTTTACACTTTACTTCAATAAAAGTTTCATCACTGGAAACACTTGAATCAATACTACTACTGTCAAAACTACTTTCGATAGTTTTACTTTTAGGTTGGACACAAGTTGACCGTCTTTTTTTCTTTGAATAATCAGCAACTGTTTTACCACGATGAAGATCAATACTATTTGATAGATCAGCAAAAGTTGTTTTAGTAGTACAAATTTGATCAAACAATCTCTCAGCTCTTGACTTGACAGGGAGTCGACAATAGTTTGCTCTCAATGGTGACTTAACAGTCTCCATTTTGTTTTATTTTTACTTCTTCAATATAATCTAATTGTTTCAACACTTAGCTTATAGATATTCACAGATAAAACAAGATAAAAGAAACAATTAAACAACAATTAATTAACAAAACAAAAGGGATGATTTAAGAGAGAGAAAAGAAAATAAAATTAACCAAAATTAATCAAAAGAGAAAAAAAATCCAAATAGAATAAAAAAGAATTTGAATGTAAATGTACCCGCCTTGTTTTCCATTTTCAACCAATGGGAACGAAAGAAAATCGTTACCATGATTACTGTTTACAGAGAAAATTTTCTCTTACAAAGTGAAAAGAAAGAGAAAAAAGTGGTGACATCTATTGGTCACCCAAGGATTTTCTTCGATTTCGTGATTAACCAAACTGAAGATCAATAATTTGGGTTCGACCTGAATATTGATTTTTTTTTTGTTATTTTCTCTTTTTATTGTTGGAAGTATTTTCACCCAATTTTGTATTTCTATGGTTTTACTCATCTTCTAATTGGAATCACTTTGTGTATGTGTGATCATCATAATCTATTAGGTTTGTTATAAAATCATTTCACTTGGTCCATTGTCTCTTGTTTATTTTTTTTCTTCTTCTTGTTCAGCTTTTGATTTTATGTCATTTCTCCTGTTAGATTATTACTATTATGGTTTATCCAAGTGGCAATATGAGTAATAGTTCTAATTGTTCCAATTCTACAAATAATTCTGGTAGTAGTAATTCTGCCAATAGTAGTGTTGCCTCGGCTGCCAATTCCACTAAAATCAGCCCATCGTCCAGTGGGATTACTACACCAACTCGGGTTAGTATAAAGGAGGCCAATGATCATCTACAATTACTTCATTCTCGTGTTACAGAATTGGAAACCATAATTCGTTCACAAAGTGATCAAGCTGCTGAACAAGAGGAAATTTACCGTCGACAATTAAAAGAATTAAAATCCGCTAAAGAGGCTCAAATTGATGAACTTACCAAGACAATTGTTCGTCTAGAAGAGAAATTAAAAGATTTAGAATGTTCCATAAAACAAAAGAATGAGAAACTCGAAGAGAATCAGATTCGTTTAACTCAAGTGGACCAGTTAACTGATTTTTTACCCAATTTAGAGAAATTTATTCTTTCACTGAAACAAGTCACTCTCACCGAGGAAAATGTGATCTCATCAATAAGTAATAATGAACCGACTCTTAGTAAATCAATTTCTTCAACTGGATTTACAGGCCATCAAGATATCAACAACAACGACAATATGTCGGACAATGAAAACAACCCTTTTCAATGTGAAAACAATTCTCAAATGATTGATGGAGATTCTCAAGTTAATGTGAAACAAGCTGATAATCAAACCGATAATAGTTCATCTTTAATTGACATGGCCTGTCAAACAGATATAAGCGGTATCGTTGGTGGATTAGTCAAAACTGACCTGAACGGTATTGATGAGAAACTAATTGAAACCAACACTGATGATCTAATTACAATGAGTGGCATCAGTACTATTGGTGGTTTATGTTCATCTGAACCTTGTTATTCAAAAAGATCTTCAATCGATGAAACAAATAATAGCAAAGAGAAACAATCGCCCGAAGAAAAGCCGACTACTATTCCAATCAGTGGAAATGGAATAGGTAATTATTTCTATTCTCTAATTGTCTCGAGAAAATTCCATTAATATTGATAATATATTCTTCTTTTTCTTTACACAGATCCTGTTTGGAATTCTGATAAACAGATTAGAACTACTCGAACTAATCGATCTCGTAGAATTAGGAAAAGCTCATCAGCTGTTAATTATCCTTTTACATCATCATCATCATCAAATAATTGGGAGAAAGATTTCTACTGTGGACCATCATTAACTAATCCAGTATTCGGACCTGGAAGGACAATTGGTTATAAAATTCATTCTAATGGTTCATCATCATCTCACCTTTCAGGTAAAATCGAGAGGAGCTTCAGTATTACAAGTAACTTCTCAGAAGATGAAGATTTCCCTTCCAATGGAACTCGAGGTTATCACAAATAATGATTACTCTTTTCCTTTTCTAATTAATCATCATCATCATCATCATTTGACGTGTTTCATCCATTTTAATTATAATCAAAACGAGTGACTCCCAGTAATCAAATTAATCCGCAACCACTGACACACAAACACAAAGCTTAAATCAATCTATGATACTCATGGTAAGGACAAAGAGACTTTGATTTAATCACCAAACCAAAAAACGCAACACTCATTTTTCCCCCTCTGGTCAAGATTAATTACCAAAAAACTAGTCATTTAAATTAATTGTAAATTAATTATAAATGTAATTATGATAAGTTATTTAATGAATAAGTATTAATTTATACATAACAAATATATTTATGTAAATATTGTGCGATGTCAATTTTAATTATAACTGTTGGTAATTAAAATTATGCAATTCAATGAAAATCATCATGAACGTGTTGATTATACAATATTGACTTTTATTTTGATCTTAATTAATCAAAGAAAACAAGATTATAAAGGTAATTAAGACATTGCTGATTGGCAATTACCTTGAAATCGTAACGGTTTATTATTATCTCCAATCCTTTAGAAACCATATAATCTCAATTGTTATTCTGTATTGAATTGATATCAATATTTTTAATTAGATTACCTGGTTGATTAGAATCACTGTTTCCATCCGAATTTGATTCATTTGGCTCAGATGCTCCTTCACCTCCATTGGCTTCATTTTCATCATCATTATCAACACTATTTGTATATTTACTGTAATTAACTTTCTTCTAAATCGCCTGAAGGGTCAATTGTTGATTCTGTTACTGGGTTTCTTAAAGGTTTAACCCTTTTACTTGACCATAGTCGATGAATCTAATTCAAAATTTGAGAAGAATCTTCTTCTAGCAATTCGTGAACATTTCCAAATATCGGGCATTGAGGAAAGAACTTTTAGTGATATTTTCACTTATTGGTCGAACATTTTTCAGACGATCGCTCTCATGGTGTAAATTTCTCCGAATTTCTCGAAATAGCTCATTGTTTACACGAGTAAAGGTTAATGAGTTTAGCGTCAGGTAATATTGATGCCCAGAGACTTATTCGTCTCATCGTATCAGCTGATGATATTGATTTTGCTCTCAAATACGTAAAATAATCTCGTCGAACATTGATAAATAATTCAATAAATTTCCGTGTTAAAGAACAAATTTAGATGAAATTAATCATCGTTTATTATCATTTTCATACATTATCTTCATCTTTCTATTACATGATTTTTCAATAATCGTATATCTAAACGGACTTACTTTTAGGTTTCCGAATCCACATCAAGCGGGACTTCTTGATACTCGCTTGGACCCTTTGTTTTCCGAATTAAGTGATAAAAGAAGAATATAATAAACAATAAAACTAAAATTTCAGCTACTATAATGCAATCATTATCACAAATAAAAGTTAAATGAGTAAAGAAATGATCGAGTATCATTTATTCATTGAATATGAAACGTAAGAAGAAACGTGATCGATTAGAATAGTAATTATACTGTCTCATTTACTCACTAGCTCATGCTATATCATTTGATATCTTCTATTTTTAGAAAAAGTCCAGCAACAGCCCTGTGATCAGATCCGCCCGAGCCAAGACGAAAAACTTTTCTACATTCCAAGTTGCTGAAATGACAAATATATTCAATGCAGCGATCATTCCTGGTTGGGAGATCCGAATGAGGAAACAAATTTAATGTCAATAAAATGGCAAACAAACGTTTTTCTTTCTCATAGTCTCTCTAGCGGCTTCATTGAAAATGTTGCGAAGGTTGAAATCACCCATCACAACCAGACTATCGACTGGATCGTAATTACCAAGAGTTTGATTTTTCCAGGTAGACTCAATGTTAACTGTTTTCACTGTTTTAAATTAGATTTTTTAGATTGTCTCTTTATTTTGTATTTGTAAAGGAGTTTTATGAGGATTGTGAGTAAAGGGAATAGTTAAGTTATGTTTAAAAATATAAAAGGACAAAGATATTAATTAAAAACAGTAAAAAAATTAACATTAACCTCTACCTGGAAAAATTTTCTAGTAGCGCATCAGAGGCGCTGATTTTCTGGTTCATCCGTCTAAAGAAAATTTTTTTAAATTAAGAATAATTAAAGAAAATCATCTTTTTATTAGAGAAAACTATTTATTCTTCTGTTTTGGTGCATGTCAAATGCAAATTTAATATTTTCAACTTTGTATCAAGCATTTTCTTTAATAAATTTTACACTTTAACTTATTTGTATTTTGACTCATGATCTACAAAAGCATGCGCTCCAATGCAATTAATCGAATAATTCGAAACCCCTAATCCATAGATTCATGATATCGTTATTGACGCGTATTTTAATCTAATTCAGAATAACCCCAAAAATAAATGTAACTGTAATTGTTTCTCTAAGGTTTTTTCACACTTAAGCCCAACGTTGTAAATCAAACGCTTTACGGTTTCTACAGAAAAACAAGTTTGATAAATTTGATTTCGTGTTAATTCCTCGTCTTAACGGAGAACCATGGCTGAATCGCTGAGGATTAAGGTGCTGCGAGTGCATGGTGTTACGGAAAAAATTCCCTAACGAGAGTCTCATGGAGAGTAAACTGATTGAGACTCTTTGACGATGTTCGTGCCAAAGAAAATCTGTTTATTTGTTTTGTTTTCACCCTTTATATACATTGTACTACATTTTAATTCGCTAATCTTGAGAAATTATGATTCCTTTTTAAAGGTTAATTGGTTTGACAAGATAAGACTAAGGAAACGGAGAGAGAGGGATAAAGAGAAGGTATTGTAATAAATGAGCAGGAGAGAGAGAGATAAGAAGCATCATAATCTAGGGATTATACAAGAAATTAAGGTAATTAATTAATTAATTAAAGGTTAACAGATCAAGAGAGCGGAATTTCTTGTGTACATTAACTCTTTCGGTTGTTAGGGTGATTAAATGTGTTAGCCTTTGTTTATTTTGTGACACATGGAATCATCAACAATAAAATCAAGCAATCAATCACTAAGGCCACTACAAGTAACTCTCAAATTTTCCTGTGTCCATATTTCTGTGGCTACAAAAACAAATACAGATGCCGAGTTATCAGCCACATGAATTCAAGCGTGAACGGAAAAGGATTGATGGAAACACCAAGTTGTAAAAGCCAACGATCGAAGGAAATAATTGACACTGTTGACAATAATAATAATAAAATAATGTTTTGGGTGAGTACTGGGGTCTGATGCTTTAGGGATCCCAGTACGCTGTAAGCGGTTTTAACATGAATATGGTAAAAAAAATTTCTGATTCCTAAAATAACTCGTAATAAGGGCTGTTCAGTTTTTTAGTAACTATTCATTTAAGAAGTAAGAAGAAGTATTAAATAAAATAAATAATGTTTTTGGCAGAAGTACACCGGAATATTTCATTGGAACAGAAAATAACAACCATTATCACTGTGCTATTAAGTTTAATCGTGTTTATTCTAATCCTACGAATTTACAAAGTCAGTTATCAGATATATTCGGATTATCGGTTCATCTCAAATTCGGAACAAAATCATCGTTACGAAACTTTGTGAGGTACGCATCTAAGTGTGATTCAAACTGTATTCATAAAAATATACCATCAAGTTATTTCAGTTTTTCTAAGACTATTCAGTTAAATTATATTCATAAATCATGAATTTCATAAATTATATATATTATTCAGTTTTTCTAAGACTATAAGTTTTCATTTAGAGACCCGTTTGTTGTTGACAATTGGTCAAAATATCGATTCCTTCAAAGTTATTGTGAAGAAAGGCCTAATCATACTAATTTTCTCAAACAAGTTTTATGTAAAGCAACAACATCTTATTTAGGTGAATTTTGCACATATTAAAATTGTTGGGTTACGCACGTCCATCATATTAAAAAAAACAATTTTATATTTGGGGATTACCCTACACAGGAAAAACATCTTTAATTCTTCATTTAAAAGAAAATTATAAAGTTTTTGAACTATCGTTACCGATATCAAAGTTTTCTTTTAGTAATTTAAGTGATCATTACGATTGTATTTGGTTTGACGAATACGTTCACGACACGAAAATACTAACTTTAATAAATTCTTTAATCCAAGGAACCGAAGTTTCTTTTGAAAACAAGTGTAAAGTTAATACAACCATAATCTGGAAAAAGTCAGTTTTTTACTTCTAATCATGCCCCAGAAGAGGAAAGCTTCATCTCAAGGATCCAAGTCTGAGAAACGGTCAAGACGTCAATACAAACGGAAAGGTATCCTAACAAAACGATGTTTATACTGGAAAATTGATTTTGTCAAACTTTTGCGATGGGCAATTGTCCTATTCTTTTTGATGTCCTCCTTTGATACATTTAATTGTTTAGATGAATTGTAATTAGTCTTATCACATAATCTTGCACTTTCATCATGATTGATTCAATTTGCTTTAGATGATAAACTATTGGATTAACATTTTGTTATGAAAATTATTATCTTTAAATTTTGAATACTCATTAAGTCACAATCAATTTGAGTTAACTGAAAGTTTTAACTGTCAAGGATTAATCATGTTATTACAAAGTTTTTCCTCAATATAAGAATCACCATGGGATGAACCATGGGGTTAGATTATCTAATTATTTTCTTTCTACATTATTTTTTTTTTGAATTTTCTGTATTCTGTATTTTTCAGGTACTTTGCCTTTCAACTTTGATAAAAAGCCAGTCTATTGGAGCTCTGCTTTATCTTGTGGATCTACCTTGGCATCACAGAAAAGAGTTGAAATAATAATTTTCGATAATCAAGAAATAAAACCCATCAATTATCAACAACAGCGAAGAGCTGACCATCTTAGCACCACAAAACCGGAAGCTATTGTGTTTTGAGCCTGAGAGATCCAATCCCGTGAGGTAATCATCACGTGGATTTTGGTTTTGCCTAATGGCCAAAGACTTGGGATAACTGTTATTATACTTATTAATACTTTTCTCGATGCCTCTCCTTTCATATGCCATCCCTTTTAAATCATTTAGGTTTGATTGTTGGGCTTATGAAAAAAGGCGACCATGACTGCGCTGGCAATCCAATATCAAATTTCTCCCAGGTAATTGCTCTAGGAGATTTTAATTTTAATAGTCCGTTAGCCAACCCCGTCCCACCAATTTCCAGAAGTCCAATTCATAATATTTTTTGCAATTTCTTCGACAACAAGAACTTAAATCGGCCATCAAATTCGTAGCGAATCGTTACAGAAATTGGAATCATCATGGCTCAATAATACACCAGCTCATTCAAATTCTGGGTATTATATTTTGTTAATGTTTTGTTGATCAATAACTTTCCAATGATCGTTGAAACTTTTTCATCGCGACAATTAGTTAATCGCAGTGAACTTTACAGAAATCCAAGAATTAGATTAACAAACATTATTGAACTATCTCTATGAATCTGTTCAACAATTAGACTCTCAGATATTGTTAATCTAATTCCTAGACTTATATATAAAGTTCATTGAGATAATCTAATTGTCCCGATGAAAAAGTTTCAATGTATTGCAATTTGAAAACCATTGTTTTTAATTGTGTAAACATTTTCATCGGAAAAACTTTTCCAACTTTTGTTTATCGCTAATGATTTAATCTATTGGAACAATCAATCAAATTAACCAATTGAAATTGTAATTTAAATTGTTTCTCCTTAGTTTCTCACGATCATTTAACCATAATAATTTAACTTCTTATTAGAGTTTATCATGATTAGTTTATTTAATTGCTTACAAAACTAATTGTTTATCTTTCTCTCTGCCTTTGTTACTTGATTAATTAATTGTATATTCAGAAAACCATCATAACTCAACTTGTAGCAATAAATCAAATCAATTGGAATCAACAATTTGTAGCCTTGTCACTTCAATGGCAACAATTATACTAATTTGGTTCCCAATGAGATAATCATCAAGCTGATTAATTAAAACCCAATGGGATGAAAATCTAAATCAAAGATGACCATTTGATAGCAAATCAATACATCAAAAATGGAGGAAAACAAATTAATAAACATAATTAACTCTCATTTTCGGGTCCAGCATAATAATAAGCATAACAATTAACAGGATTTAATCAAGATCATCATCGAGAGAGAATTGAAATTGTTTCCATAATTTAATTGTCCAATAGCGAATGTCGAATTGTTGTCAATTAATTAAGATAACAATTTCTTGATTTGATTCAGTGATTTTTTTTGGGTGTTAATTGTTGATTTAATATCTTAGTCTAAACCAATAACTCAATTGAGCTTAAAGTCATCAAAATCTTAAGCCAATGATAATACATTTCAATTGTAATTAAGTTAATCAACAAAAAAAAAATACTCTAGTTAACTTAACCATTGCAATTATGATTATAAATATGAAAAAATTAATCACAATTAGTTAGTTAAATGGTTTTAATGATTAAGAATGATCATTAAAATTTATGGTTGTGACAATTTCCTTCCAGAACTTTAATTAACAATTAAATTGACTTGATTAACCAACAATCAATTACAAATAAAAGGAAACAACTGATTGACAATTAACATGAATGAACTTGATTAAAGAAAAAAGCAAAACAAATGTTAATCAATTAGAAATGTTTTCTAATCCAATTGGACTGTAAATCTAATCAATTGTAATCGTAAACTATTGGACAATTAATTGATTGGTCCAGAAAAATGTTAACAATGATTGAAGAAAATGAATTTGAATTAATCAACAATTTAAAAATCAATTTCATTGTAAAAAAGAAATCAAATCAAATCAACTCAAATGGAATCACCGAATAAGTGAATTGATTGTATTCATCTTTACATGATAACATTATATGAGAACAATTAATTCGTTAATTATTATAAATTAAATGAGAAAAAGAAACAATTTAAATTGAGAAAATTATTCAGTTGTGATGATCGATTCTCTTTCTACATTTGATAGAAAGAGAAAAAGAAAGAAAGAAAAAAAATGAAACTCAAGCTTCGCTGAAATTGACCGATCATTTAATTGACCTAAAAATCAACTGATTATCTTAATCAATTGATTAACAATCGAGTTAATTGATTAGAAGAAGAGTAAACCGAATTAATAATCTTCGCGGTTAATCAAAGTTTTTTTTTTCTCTTTTTATATTCTAACCTTTTTTTTTTGTTTCTCTTTTCTCGTGTTGTTGTTTTGACGTTTGTTTATCTTTTTCTTTCACTTGTTTCTTCATCTTCATCTTCATCTTCATCTTTCTTATCTTCTCTTTCTTTTTCTCTTTCTCTTCTCTCATCTTCTCTCATTTCCACACTTGTACTTGTTTATTCACTGCATCGACTCTCACCCAAATTCTCATCTCATATTATTGATGAAAATTCTGTTGTTTTGATTTTTATCTCAATTATTTTCTCTGTAGTGTCTTCATCTAATTGGCTTTTTTTTTCCTTAACTTGCTCGAGGAAAATTAATCAACAATCAATAAATTTCTTTCAATGGTGATGGAAAGATTCAGGTGAATCCTTGTTAAGCCAAAGAATATGAGATTTGTTATTTTATTTCAATTCTTTTTGGCTTGTCTACTAATCCATCTAATTGATGGTAATCACCAAGGACGATCATCATCTTACCCTCATCAAGATCAATCTTTAGATGTTGATGTTGATGGTGGAATTGAAAGTGGCTTCTTTTTGTTACCTTCTTCCATTGTCACCTCGGGAATTGGTAGTAATTTAAATTCTGACTCTAAAAATGATTCCATTTCATCATCTACCTCATCTCAACATTCACTCACCTCTTATTACTCATCACTTTCACCGTCTAAACCCATCTTTGTAAAGGCCACTTTTGGTACCATAACTGCCACCGAGACTGTATTTCCATACCAAGTGACACATGGATCTTCATCTGCGACAACGACAACGACAACCACCACCACCACTGCCAATAAATACCAACCATTGAAAGGAAAAGATGGTCACAGTGGTGGAAAATCATCTAATTCTAATAATCTAAATTTCTCGTCAAAAAATATTCTCAATGGTGTTACCTTTCGTGAGAAAATTACTGATTCAACTCTAGTCGAAATAGATTCAGCCCATGGTAAACATTCAATCGCCTATTTGGTTACACCGACTGTTAGTCGTAATAGTCCAATTGTGAGAGTGTTATTTTACACCACTCACCCTGTAGCTCATTCTCCTTCCATAGTAACTTCACCATCGCCAAGTGATCCGGTTGAAAGTAATAAAATCAACACCAATGGTAAACAAAATAATAACAAAGAGAATAAAAATTCTGACCCTGAATTTTATTCCGGTGAAAGATCATCAAAAGGAGCAAGTTCAAGTGGATCATCTCATGAAGCTTCACCTTGTATATTTGTTTCAGTTTCTAAGGATAATGAAAATATCCTTGGTTCTTGTACCCCGATCAATAATCGGGAAGGTGCTTGTCTCGTTGAAATAACGTTACCCGCTTACTGGTGGCCTCCGGTTGAACTTGATTCACCTAAATCACGAAAATCGGGCTCAATATCAGTTGATTATAAAACTTTCCATACCAATCAATGTAATGAAAATGGATCACTTTCCAATGATAATATCAAACGATTCAAAAGCCTTACCGATGCCTTTACACATTTAGGTCAAGTTACCCTTTCACCTTTTACCGGCACCTATGAGGAGGTGACAAACGATGATATTGTACGAATACTGATTCCCGAACAATCAACTTATCCTAACAATAAGATTTACATACCTGTTTGTTTCCGTTATAATCCTAATTATCCAATGACCGCTTTCCGTTTACGTGCTAGAGTTAAAAGTGGCCTGCGTATTTTAGGTGTTCAACCTTCACCAATTTCACCGTGGAAAATTTCACTCGAGGTAAACAGTAAGCAAACTTTAGCTACTGTAACCGCTCAATTGAAAGATAATTACATGGACCTAGAAGATTTACAGTCCGGTGATTCGGGGATTCATCTTTCACTCTCACAAGAGATTTACTCTTGGTTAATTCAGGTCAATGAGAATGTCGATTTCAGTGATAATGGTAGAATCGTTTGGCAACTTGAATATGTCACCGAAAATGGAGTAGACTCACCAACCATTGATTTATCATCATCATCGCCAATCAAATTACGTAAAGATTTATCTTCGGTAACAAGTTCATATACCGATCGGGACACCTCCAAATTATCATCAATCTTGGACATTCAAAAGGACAGTATCCAAGCGGTCATTGGAATCACCTCAAGTCTTTCAATGATTAATACCGCAATTCTTACAGGTAAACAGGTCGCTCAATCTTTAAAGGTATTTGCTGTTTCTCAATCAGGAAGATTGGGCGATGTTACCTTACAGGCGAGTTGCACCTCAACCGATGAATCAGTTGTCAAAGTATCACCTGCATGTACCTCAATTTACCTGGATGGATCGGAAATCCGTGGTTCCTCTAATGCAACTATCGCAATTAAGTATGGTACTTATTCTGGTTCAGCAAATTTTATCATCTGGGTTCCTAAATTACCGTTAGAGGTTCGAGTTAGCGATGGTAAATTAAGTCAAATTAAAGGTTGGAAGATACCGCATCTTAAAAGGGATGGACGTCGTTCTTATCATCATAATCATCATCATCATCATCAGAATAGTATTTATGGTTCTCATGATGAACATAAATCAAGAAGATCATCTTCATCGATTAACGATAATCTTGATTTCACATCAATCGATAGTGATTTCCGCTGTAAACTTCGTCATCAACAGGCTTATATTAATGTTTATGCTTCGTTTTTTAGTACCGATCATAATTCAGGCCGTGAATCTTACCTTTTAAATCGTAAAGTTTTGGTTAAAGTAACCAAATTGGTGACACCCTTTTTAAGAGTTACCGATAATCGTATCACCCTAATTAGGAGTAATATTATTGAAGGACTTGCCCCAGGACGAAGTGAGATTCAAATTGTCTCACCGATAACTAATCAAATAATGGGATCAACTGAGATTCATGTTGACAGTGAAAAGGAAACAATTACTTCACTTGAAGTTAATTTGATTACTGGTTTATCTTTAACAATTAAACCAGAACCCAGTTTATCAAATGTTTTCAAAATAATAACCAATATTTCAAGTCGTCTGGTTAATCAATATCAAGAAGGATTATTGGACATTAAGGTTCACTTTTCCGATTCTAGTGTTACTTCATTGGTTGATATTACCGATTCTGATTATCAATTATCAGTTAATACCGGAGATAATGGTGCCCTTGCTTATACCCCTTTAATTGGTCGACCTTATCCTCGAGTAATCGCCATTGGTCAAGGAAATAATCAATTAACTATTTCACTTGAGGTCTCTGATCAATGTCAACGTAAACGAACCCAACCTTTAGCTGTAACTCAAATAAATGCCGATATTGACCTTAACCTGCCCACTGGTCATCTTCAAAATGATGCCGATTTCCGTAAATATAATGGAATCTTAATCCACCGTAATCAAAATTCATTCCAACAATCATCATCACCTTCTAATCGTGACCGAGAAGATGTTGATGCCAATGATAACGATGGAGATGACCTAATATCCTCTTATGGTGTCGCTGGTCAATCAAGTAACCTTGAAAATCATCATAGTAACGCTCCTTCAATCGAAGCTCGTTCCAATCGTGCCATAAATCCTTCTGAATTAACTCCTCTCGAAGTTGGAATGTACTCATTGTTGGCCGTATTTACCCTTGCGGTTTCGCTGTTCATTGTTTCTTGTTTCGTCTTCCGTTTAAAGGGTAAACAAGAAACTTCTGACCCAATGGTGGCCACACTACCATTACCATTGGGTCATCATTCATTGGCCCATCATCATCGTCAAAGTGGATCATCAAATCAAAAGGTTGTCGCTAATGCCAACGATTGGATTTGGCTGGGAAAGGCGACACTTCAACGTAACTCACCTCCCTCATCAGGAGTAAAAGCAAAATTAAACAATTCAAGTGAATTAACTCAAGGATTAATTTCATTGAATGCAATTAAAAATCGTGATGAAAGTAATCATCATCATCTTGATGTAATATCGGGTGAAGATGAGGGTTCAAATAGGATGAGTACAGTTTCTTATCCAGGTTCAGAGATAAGTATAAGAATAACAACCAATCCAGTTGAAGAATCTTGTCTTGACCATCAAGATGTCACACCTAATCCATCAACACCATTTGGCATTAATAAGGAAATCGAGAAATTTTATCGATCTGTGTCACCCGCTGTTCCAGCCAAAGTAAACGCCTCAACATCATCATCATCATCGATTCCACCTCCGATTCCAGCTCGACGAACCAAGGGTTATTCCAGTGCTACCCACTCATCTCATCTTGTACCACCAATCCCACCGCCAATTCCTCTTCATCAACACTCACAACGGGAACATTTTCCTCTCAAAAATGACCCAATAATTATACCAAACCATAAACCTCCTCATATACCACCTCGTCTCAGTCGATCGATCCGATGTGACCAGGTAGCTGATTCATCATCATCATCATCATTATCATCTTCATATACATCACCTCGACCACCACCGATTCCACCTCATTCGGTTACCACTCGAACTACCAAGAAACCTCCACTGCCTCCTCATAGAACGGTGTCAACCAAATTTAAACGGCCATCGATCACTTCGAAGACCCTAAGCAATAATATCAAAATGAACGGTCAACTTGAATCACTATTATCTTCATCATCTTCTTCATCATCATCAACTGCAGCTTCAACGAATTATCTTAATAAAAATAATACCAAAGATCATAGCAACATCAACAATAGATTAATTAGCAAGACAACTAATCAAGAATTAATTAATCATTCATCTATTATTGTTAATCCAAGTTCCACATTAACACAATTGACGCAAGAAAATTCAAACAGAGTTACCAAAGAAATGAATTATAATCAACTGATGGAATACTTTCAGAATCTCAAAGAATCAAGTGCATAAGAATATTAATTTGCAATCATCATCTTTAAATCCACTTCCCACTCTCTCTCTCTTCCCACCTCCACCTTCAACACGATTGAACACCAATGATTAAAATTCATTAGGTGTTGATCAATTTCGATTTTTATTCATTCAATTGGCGTTTTCTTTTGATCATTTCATCTTCTTCTTCTTCTCCCGGTGTGATTTTAGTCTTCTAATTCTTTTAGTGGTTCGTAATCTTGTTGAATGTGGAAACAATAATGAGGTTCATCTTAATTTCTCTTCATCGTAAACATAATGAATGCTGAAGATGCTGATTGTCTACCATCTTTACTACCATCGGGTGATCATAAATTATCACTTACCAGTGATGATGATGGCGGAGGCTGTGGTTATGATAAGGTTGATGCTCTTCCAGCTGATATGAAATTTACTTGACATTGGTACCGATATTGCCGTTGCCGTGATCCATTTTACCAATAAAGACTATTGGTACAAGTATTTCGTTTTAACATTATCATTTATACTTTTTCTCACCTTGGTAAGACTGAAGATTTTTCCTAATAACAGCTCGAGTTTTAGTATTGTCTGTGGAGTTGATTGTATTATCATGTTCGCTTGGATTGTCTCAATGAAAACCTCTTTCTGTGAGAATCGTTGTGAAGAGCTTGGTTATAATGCTGTTCTCGCTGTTATGTACATTTTCTGTTATTTTAATCCGGTCGATAGTCCAACTCGTTATCGTTATACAATCTATTATATATTTATGTTCTGTGAAAATACTCTTCTTATGGTTCTATGGTTTACCCGAGCTGAATCACACCTTTGGTACCGATTACCAGCCCTAGTAGGACATTACATGAGCTTTTTTACCGGTCTCCTTTTCATGGCAGCTTATTACCTTTTATTTCATCCCTCTGAAGATATTAAATTGTATCGAAATCGTGATCTAGATCAAGATGAAACTGATCGTCAACAATGTGCTCGATTAGGTGGTTACAAGAGACAAAGTCACAATGGTTTATGGACAACACAAGGACGAGTCTTACATCCAAGACCTGCAGTTCCCACCGCTTTATCATCTTCATCTCATAAGGATTGTCGATCAGCCAAATCAAAGGAATCAAATAACATTAAAATGCGACAACAATCAACACCAACACCACCACCAAGTGATAAAGAATCGTCTTCAATGATTACTACCAAAGGAACTTTTGTCTGATCAATTGGACCATTTCTCATTTAATTAATTATCGACAGAATTAACTCAATTATCAATATGGAAATGAATAATATTCTCATCGTTAAAAATGAAAAAAAAGCATTTAAACCTTGGTTAATTCATCAACAATCTTACAAATTACTCAAAATATTTTCTACCATGACAATTAATCAATTGATTGGAAAAACTTAGATAAAATATAAGACCAAGATTCTGGACAAAACTGGTCGTTATAACGTTGAATGAAACAACTTACACACAATACAATTTACCAATATTACTTAAATCAGTCAATCATTAACACAAAGATAATCAATTAGTTAAAAAGAAATCACAAATCAGTTTTGATCTTCACACTTAAATCTCAATATCATTGCAATTATATCTCAATCACGTTATCATTTAATTATCTCTGTAAGTTGATGATTTAATTATCACTATCATGAACAATTAACATTGTCTCTCATTCACAATTACTAGAACATCTAAACCACTAATACAAAATTAACGTTATCAAGATGAAACTAAACAGAAGAAGCTGATCAGTTAATCACTGGCAACTATTAATATTTAATCACTACGATCATCGTCATCATCCTTATAAATAATATCATCTATCAAATGCCAGCAACACCAACAATTTACTGATTTTGTTAATTTAATGCCCATAAACCTAACCAAATGTACTTAATTTAACAATTTACCTCCAACCGTTAATTGTTTCCTCCTTCAACTACAATAATCAACAATTGGCATTATATAAATAGCTTATTCTCTTTATATATAAATATATAAATCCCCAAGTACCATAATAGTATATAAATTGTAAGCGTTTTTCTTGAGTCAATAAAAATAGTTCCACCTATTGATTGGAATCAATTAATGAAAAAGATTAATGAATTGACTAATTAAAGCAAATCCAATTATTCGAGTTGAACCAATCAAATATCATTGATTATTTGACCTCGAACTGTTCGCAAATTTCGTCCATAGTTCAGTCCAAGTCGTTGCGATTCAGTCCACGGAAAGTTGAATCGACGATATTTCGGTCGGCATATTTCACGAAAGTTCATAGGTGACTTTTAGATTAGCACCAATTAAGGTCGTGGGTCAACTTTGTCACCTTTGATTTGAGTAAAACACATATAATTAAACAATAGGTTGTTTAATTATCTTCAATACCTTTTATTGTAGATCATGATTTAGAAAAAAAATTAATTATTTACAATTGATGTTTAATCGTTGAAAACAAGATTTGAAAGGTAATTAAGACATTTTTGATCGGCAATTTTTCAGATAAATAGATTGTGAACAATTAGATTATATCATAATTTAAATGAAAATCATTAATGATTATTGACCATTGATGATTAGTTGATTGTCCAATTGTTATGGTTGATTAACATTTAATTTCTTACATTGGAAAACTTTTTCACATTCATTTCTTTTAGCAGTTTCCATCACTTGGCCAATTCCAAGTTGATTATAAATTTTGTTGAATCTCCTGAAAGTAAATTAAAATAAACAATTAAATTAATTGCACGTTAATTGTGAATCAAATAAACAAGTTGAAATCATTTTCCATTGGCATTAGAACAACAAAATGTTGAGTGAATCTTTTTCAAAGCTAAATTGTCAATCAAATAAATTGTGTTCCCTTTTCAATGGAGACATTTAATTGTTGATTCTTTGAGCTTTTTAATTCAGTTGGAAACATTTCGCTTCGTCTAACATTACCATCATCATCATAATCATAACAATACACAAAAAAAAACATGATGATAATGATGTTAATCAAATTGAATTGAATAAAAAAAAGTAACGAAATCAATGGTTCAACAATTATCAATACAAGAAATTAATTCTTGAGTCTAAGCTTGAACATCAATTGTTACTTAATGTTGACTGATAATTGTTACAATCGAATGAGTTTTACTATGATTAACTAACTTGTTTACTCGATTAGCTGTTGATCAAATTGGTCTGGAAATTATTAGAAAATTAAACTTACATGTTAATTGTTGCCTCGAAAAAGTGTTTACCCATTTTCTGTGATTTCCCTTGAACAGCAACTTTACAAAGAATCTCTTTGATACAATCAACATCTCGAAGCATTTTCATCTCATATTGTCCAAGAATATCATGAACCGGGTCATCTCTTAACGAATTAACCGGAATGTACAAAGATCGACGTCGACGTCGACGTCCAACACCAGCAGCGGCCGTTGCCACCGGAACGGAGACAAAAGCGGGAACCATTGAGGCCATTAAAATACCAAGGGGAATAATACCAAGCAGAAAACCAGCCAATCCAGACCAAGAATTAACATTATTATTATTACCCGATTTCGATGGTGAATTATCATCATCATATGGAGAAGGGGGTGGACCATAAAATCGTGTCGGATAATATGATGAATAATAAGGATGCCGATAAGGAGCAGGTCCATTATACTTGGCCGTGGCCGTGGGCATTGGTCCGGATGCTGTTGATGTTTTCACGATTGGTTGTAGATTCTTGAAATCAGGGAAAGCATCGGTTGATTCATAATCTTCCTCAAGATAATCAATCGATGGTGTTAATTGTTGTGGTCCAGGTGATTGTTGGATAACATGATCTTGAAATCGTAAAGGTTTATTATTATCTCCAATCGATCCTTGAGAAACTTTCGATCGACCTTTAGAAACCATATAAGCTCCATTATCATAGTATTTATTTATATTTCCACCTCCATTGTTATTCTGTATTGAATTAATATCAACATTTTTAATTAGATTACCTGGTTGATTAGAATCACTGTTTCCATCTGAATTTGATTCATTTGGCTCAGATGCTCCTTCACCTCCATTGGCTTCATTTCCATCATCATCATCATCATTATTATTATTATTACTATTTGTATCTTTGCTGTAATTAACTTTCTTATTCTGGTTTTCGTTTAATTGTTGCCCTCTATCAACAATTAGTTTATTTGGGTCAACGGCCAGGTAACTATTTTCTTGATAATCATTTTTAATTGTTCCATTTGAGGTTGATTGTTGTTTCTCATTGGAATAGCTTTTAATTATTGGTGAATTGTTTAAGAAATTAAAAGTTCCGATATCATGTTTTGATGGTTTACCAGGATGATCTGGTAAAATTAATGATGAAGATGAGGATGATGATGGATTTGATTGAGATGATGATGATGAAGGGACACTTTTAATCTGAGTTAATGGTGTTGGTGTTGATAGAGTTGATAATCCAGCTGATTGCAGAATCGCCGGAGGCCAATTAAAGGAAAATGCTGTATTCTGATGATTCTTATGTGAAACTTTACCATAAGTTTCAGGGGAATAATAGAAAAGAGAACGAGTTGAGTTGTGAGAATCCCCTGAGGGCACAGAATTGTTATTATCTTTTTTCATGGAATCTGAAACTGCCGATGAAACTGGACGATGATTAACAGCATTTAATAGAGCAAAATAATTCTGATCAAATTTAAGTTCTTCAAATGAATTATTATTGTTATTATTTGTTCGTCCATCACCAGAATCGCCTGAAGGGTCACTAGTTGATTCTGTTACTGGTTCTCTTAAAGGTTTAACCCTTTTACTTGACCATAGTCGATGGTCAATCACTGATGAGGAAACGTTTTGATCGTGATTGGCAAGAAGTCGAGATAAGGTCAAAAATCCGTTGGTAAAATTACTCGAACTGGAAAGATTAACCATCGGCTTGAACTGACCATCGATTATTGAATGGACAGAATGAGAATCAAGGATTATCGGCTCAATAGATGGTAAAGAAAATTTAATTGTTCCATTTGATGTATTGTTAATCTGTTCGTTAATAAATATTGGTAACAAATTTGATCCATTTAATTGTTCAGATGAATTGTAATTAGTCTGATTACCAACACTAATCAGATCGGTTCGTATCGATGGAAGTAAAATTATTGACAAACCAATGAGAAAAATTGAATTGGTCATTGTCTTTGAACTGAACTTAATCCAAACGATTTGATGACAACAATTAAAGAGTAAATTTCGAAGACAATTAACTTATAATCAACACTAATCAATTTTCTATTCTCAGATGATATTATAACTAAATTTTCATGTTCCTCTCTCGATTTGCTAATAATCATTCAGAATGAAATCCGTTCATGTCAAATGTGATTCCAAATGATGATCATCATGAATTCGGGTGGAGTTTATCCTCTCTCTCTCTCTCTCTCATCATGTTCCATTATCTAAATCAAACATGGATTCCCTTGAATTGTAAAAATTAAGGTAACAATCAAGAAACAACAGGTAAGAGATGAGAGAGAAAATTTATCTTCTACTACGATTAATAAGACAATTATACTTCATTTTGTTTGATTTTTTTTCTTCTCTTCTTCGGTTTCTTGATTTTCGGTGAAAAGATTTGCCCGTTTCGAGGTTGACAATTAACTGATTCGGATCAAAAGTCAAAATGTTAATTTTATCACCATTAACATGGAGGAAAATCAATTGTATGAGGATTTCCATGTTTACGCCTGTTAACCGATAAAAAGAAGAGAAAAAAAAACAAATGGGTTCCCGGAAGATCTTCTTACATGGATTCATCTTCTTTTTATTATTCTTCTTCATTATCATCATAACTGTCTCCTCATCATCATCATCATCTCCATCTCATTGAGATAATATAACTGTACTAATCATCTTCATCTTCCTAACACCATTTATCATCTTCTTCCATGTTGTTAACAAACACTTCGTTATTGTGTCACTGTTTCTTATTTGCTGGTTATTATTAATTTCGCCCATTAATTTTTCGGAGCATAGAAAAGGGATAATCAATTTTGGTGACAATTAGTTGACAATTAAGAGTCTAATCTTTACTCATCTTTAACCTCTGAACTAAATGTTCAACCTCCAATTGCTATTAAATCAAATTAACTAAACGCTATTAAGACACTTACACCTAAACGGATTCACCGAGTTTCCTTTTAAAATTTTCAGGTTAATTTTTTTTCTTAATCCATTTTCTTAATATCCAACTAACCTTAATTGTGATTAACTCTCTCTCTCTCTCTCTCTCTCTGACCTCTAATTGTTAATTTCCAACAATGTTCGAGATTTTTATTATTACTTAACAACGATTGAGATGGTTGAGGAAACACAATCAAGGAGTAATTTATCAATTCTTTCAATTGTTTTTCCCGAAACTAATTGACAATTTAAAAGATTGATTTTGATTATTGTCATGATCAATTCAATTTTCTATCCATAACACTTTGATTTCCAATGATTAACTAAACCTGTAAATCTTCAATAAATTTAGTTTATTGTTAACCTTTCATTTGGTTAGTAAGTTAAATAAATGCTAGTTAATTGTTGACAACTGAGAAATTGATTATTGGTAAAGATGATGATTAAAATATATTAGAGACAATCAATATTAACCATATTCTAATTTCTAATTGAATCCTATCAAAAGAATCACAATGATTAACATTACATTGGCTTCATTTTGATTCTAATCTTTTTCTTTGTATATAAAATGATTAGACTTGATTGTTGATTAACTCAATCAATTGTGATTCCTTTTACCATTAACAACAAATCGCAATGACAGTTACTCGTCAAGTCCATAAGAAAGTATCTCCCAATGGAAAGGTATGTTAATTGTGTTAACCAAATCATAGAAAAATTAATTGTTAATTGTTATAATTGTTACTCGTTTATTGTTAATTGTTTCATTCTCATTGTGTCCAGTTAACTCTGATTCTGGTGAAACGGGAAATATTATCTCATGTATCTCATGTTGAACCAATTGGTAACTAATTGGTATCCTTTCTGAATGTTAAATTGTTTCAAATTGATTGTTAATTGTTTCGTTTTCTTTTACCTTTATATTTAATTAGAGGGGATAGTTGTTTATTCAGATGAAATTGCTAAATCAAAAATCCATGGACAGGTAATTGTTACCTTTCGTTATGGTCGAGAAGAGGATGAAATATTGGGATTGAATTTCAGTAAGGAATTATTTTTAATTTCTCAAGAGATTTACCCTGATGGATCAACCATATCACCATCTAAATTACAATCAAAGTTAATTAACAAGTATGGGCCCAATGTGATCCCGTTTACCTTTAAATTGAACAATAATACACCTCAAACTGTGGTCATTCAGCCTGAGGAAGGGAGTGAAGGTCAACCCTGTGGAGTTTATTATAAGGTCAGAGTGTTTGTTGAAGATGAAGATGGAAACAAATCTAAACCCGATAAAAGGTAATCCTAATTGTTGATTAATCTTCGAGTTTCAACTTGTTGTTTTAATATTATTATTCTTTAGACAAACTGTTGAGATGGCAATTCGAAAGATTGAAGTTGCCCCTGGGGGTAAAGGTCGTCAGCCATCTTGTATTATTCGGAAAGATTTTCTTCTCAGTCCAGGAGAGTTGGAACTCGAGGCGACTCTTGATAAGCCACTTTACTATCATGGTGAAAATTTGAATGTTAATCTTAGCATTTCAAATTATTCCAATAAATCAGTGAAGAAAATTGTTCTATTAGGTAAGTTAATCTATTACTCTAATTGTTGTTAATTGTTTCCATTCTTAAATGATTTATATATATGATTATCACAGTTCTACAACATATCGATGTTGCCATGTTCACCTCTGGTAATTACTCTTCATCTCTTGTTTCAATTGAGAGTCAGTAAGTTTGAAGATTTATTATTAGTGATTTGGAAGAAAAATTTTCATCATAATTTACTAATTGTGATTAATCATGAGTAGAGAAGGATGTCCAATCAATCCTGGATCAACTTTGAGTAAAACTTTTGTGATCAAACCAAAATTGGACAGTTCGAGTGGTCGAGGAATAGCAATTGAATGCGCTCTACCTGGAGAGGATCAGAAACTTGCAACTTCCACCCTGTAAGTTAAGTTAATTTGATTTAATTTCCTCAACAATTAGAGTTAATTGTATTCTCCCATATTTAGATTAACCTCCGATCAAACCAGGGAAGATGTTTTCGGAATCCAAGTATCTTATTGTGTTCGTATTAAATTACAAATGGGAGCTCTTGCTGGGTAACAATTTGTTTCTTCTTCTATTAATTGTTTGTCATTCTAATTAATTGCTAATCACTTTTTTTCTAACAGTGAAATGGTTGGTGAATTACCTTTCCTATTGATGCCTCAATCAGCAAAATCAGCGATTAAGGAAAGTTAAATCATTTCTAATCAACTAATTGTAACCCAACATGAACATGTTACAGTTAAATTAATTTGCAAATAATTTTCATCTCGTTTGGATTCACTAAATCAAATTGGTTAATTGTTTAGATATAAATTGTCAACACACATCATCAATATACACTTGGAAATTAACACATGACCTTAATTGTTGATTATTGTACAAGAAAAGAAAAATAAAGTAAATCATTTACAAGGAAAGTTTGATTGATCGAAATGGAAAAAAAAAGTTCGAAAAAAATTGTTTACACTTCGAGAGTGTTTTTCGTACCCTTGGACTGCCCAGTGTAGGTGTCGAACCTACGACCCTAAGGAAGTAATCCTTATGCTCTTCCACCTGAGCTAACCGGGTGATAATTAAATTCTGAAACAATTAAATGAACATGTAACAATTAAGATTGAAAAAGTTTCCATAAAGAAAAAAAAAGCAAAACAAAATCGAGTCACAATTTAAACTCTTCCATTTGAATGAATCAATTTAATCGAGTGAGTTCATTTTATTGTTAATTTTGACAAATTGCTAGACAAAAATTTCAGTCTTAATTGTTGTTCACCTTTCCAATTGATTGTAATCATTAAAATTCAATTTAATTAAACGATTCATTAGTTAACATTTTATTTGGAGATTCATATTTTCCGTTTAAAATTTTTCTCTTCTCTTTGTTTCATTTTATTAACTTGATAATTAAAACTTTTTACTGGTTAATGTTAATTGTCCAATTGTTGAAATTGACTAATTAGTTTAATTGTTAGAATTAAATTTATTTCTTTTGAAAAAAGCGCCAAAAATTTTTGATTAGTTTCCATTGTTACCATTGGTTGTTTACCGCTCATTTTTGTTGAGCTTTTAAATGAAAATTGTTGTTTTGATTTTGGTGACAATTAATTAATTGGTTTTTTTGTCTAATTACTTGTTAATTGTTTATTAATTTTGGTTAACCAATGGACTCTTTTCTTAACCTGAGTCGGGGTAACACTTCAATTCAATGGGGACAATTTAATGTTCTAGGTGAAAGTGATCACCATTTGTTGCAAGCACATGGATCAGTGTTACCGGTACTTTTAATTGAAGCAATTTCTAGTCAAGGTAAGACTAATTAAATTAGAGTAATTTACTTTTTTTTAGTTTACCAATTACTCTATTTATGTGTATTCCATTTGTATGGTGCATGGTAAATCTGTCACCTTATATTTAGGAGATGTGATTGTCTTGTTTGTTTGGGTTCTCTTTTTTTTTGGTTTGATTCTTTGAACTTATTTGATTTTTTTGTTCATTTTTCTTTATCTTTTTTTTCTAGTCTCACCTTTCCAGTCGATTAGTGTTAACATTGTTAAAGAAGGATGGGCTTGGTTAGTCTGTGGAAGACGATTATTTGTTTGGAAATATGTTCAATCTAAAAAATCTCGAATTGAAAGCTTTGAATTACAATTACCTGGTAGTGATTTACTTCATAAGGCTGACCTAATTTGTTTGGTCTCTTACAAGTCAACTTATGTTCCTGGTGTAATTGCTGTCTCACCTGAAGGAATCATCCGTTACTGGCCTTCTGCTGCTCATGATGGTCATTTTATTGAAAATGTTGCTAATGACCTACAAGGTCAAGAATGCTTTTCCCTTACAGACATTGAACCTTTTGGTTATATTCTTGGTACAACTACCTCATCTCTACTTCATATTCATATGACAAGTAACTCAATTAATTGTAGAACATTGAAAATACCTCAAGGTGTTCTTGCTGGATTTGGTCAAAGAGTTTCATCTTTCATTTTCGGAGCTATACCACCATCTTCATCTAATGAAAATAAACCTTTAATCAAGATACTCAAGGGAACAAGTTACTTAGAAGATGCTACTGTCTATGTTTTAGCTGCTACTTATCTTCAGAAATGGACCTTAGTAGATTTACAAACTGAAAAGGTAAATTTCTAATTCCAATTGTGATGAGAAAAAAACAAAAATCTTAATCAATTTCAATTTATTCATCTTTCAGCTCATCTGTGAACACGATTTAGAAAGTGCTATCACTGATTCTTACTTGTCAACTGTCTGGGTATGTATTGATTTAACTCAATCATTTAATTATTCAACCTTATCTGAATATTTCTAAATTTCTCTCTTTCTTTCAATCTCTTCCTATTCCTCTAGAATCGGCAAAAAACTAATCCCAATCAATTGCGAATGTGGGTTATCGATATGGAACGTCAAGATGATCTTCTTTTAATTCTGGTTGCCGCATTAAATCAAGTTGTTTCCAATAAACTATTCTATGCTGTTGCAGTAATAGATGAATCAACCATCACAGCTGATAATACAGAGGGTATTCAAATTACCAAATTCACGGTTCTCCGGAGTCACACACCAAGTTACACTAAATCCAACGAATCAAATTTACTTTCACTCAAAATGATTACCAATGTTGAGAGTAATGATGTTATCTATATTTATGATAAAACCAGAATCTTCTGTTGTCAATGTAAGTTCAATCTTTCCTAGAATAAGATATAAATACTATTTCTAACCAATTTAACTATTCCCAGACAACACTGATGTTATTGATCTAATATCTCTCAACAATCGAGAAAGTCAAATCCTCGGAGCCGGTGTTTATCAAGGAAATCCCCTTCTCTTTACCTCTAGAGACAATTTGGTTGCTGTTAAACCAAAAGATAATATAACGTAAGAAAAAAAAGTAACCTTCCAGTTAATTACAGTCTAATCAATTTCTATTTTCTTCCTCTAATATAGTCAATTGATTGAAACTTATAAAGCAACACCTTCCATTATAAATGCACCGAAAATGTCTGGAAATCCGCTTGAAAATCTACGATCAGCTTTTCAAATGTTCCGTCGGAAAGAAACGGTAATTGGAGATGAGATCATTTTCTCGAATTTGTCACTTTATCATTCTATTGATTTCTAATACTTTTGTCTTCTCTTCATTTAATTCACAGAGAGAGTGTTCAGCTTATGTTGCTGCTTTTTTGGCTAATTTTGATAAACCCTCATCAGATTCGGGTCCTGATGAGTATGCTCTTAGTTTAAGCCGTGAACTTTGTGATGAGAGTCCATCAGCTGATCCCCGTTGGTCAGATAGTTTAAATTTGAGTCGATCCAATCCAAATGTCATGTCATCTTTACTATTGAAACAATTGGAAGAAAAACTTGAAGGCCATCGACAGTTTATCGATTTCTTAAAAGTTGTCCGAATTTGGCCTCAATTGGCTCTTGTCAATTACAATGGTTGTGTTTCGTCAAGCAAATTAATCCTCTGTGAACACGCAGAGAAAATAGTAATGGCCATTGCTATAAAAAATCTTCATCAAGAATTACCTGAAATTTTAGATCAAGTTATCGATAGACTTTTAGATTCTCGAGAAGAAGATACCGAGGAAGCGCATTTATCATCTCATGATCGTTTCTATCGACGAGTGACCACAATCCATGAAATTTTACCTGCTAATTGAATTTGAAGAAAACGAATTACTGGATTGTATAAATTCACCTAAAGATGGATTAAAATTGGTTCTAACAATCAGTGACATAATAATCAACATATTCCAAGATATTCGTAAATTTAAATCAACCAATTCTGACATGTATGAGGTTAGTAGGAACGTTGAATATTTACCGTTAACCGCTACCGTTGGACCAAACGGGATTCGAACTTCATTTCTTAAACAATTGGATGTTTTGGTTAAAAATTCGGCTCGAACCGATTCCATAATTGCTGGACAAGATGACGAAGCCCAATTAAAAGGAATCATTTATCAGAAAATTGTTGATATAAGTGATATTATTTTGGATGGTTATGTTACTCATCTCAAATCTTTGGATGAAAAAAGTGACCGATACAAGTTGATTGATAAAAGTTTCGCCACCGATCGGACAATGTGTATTAAACCACTTTTACAAGCTAAACAATATGAGCGAGCCTGTAGTTTAGCTGAACGATATCAAGATTTTGAAACTTTAATCAAAATATGTGAAGAATTGGATAACAAATCAAAGCTTAATCGTTACGTTGAAGAATTTAAAGAAAAGGTTTCTCCGAGTATCTATTCAAATGGTACATGAAGGAAGGTAAACAAGGTAAAATGTTGACCACTCGATCCAAAGATTTGTCCACTTTCCTCAAAGATTATGATGACATTAATTGGCTTCACTATATTGGCATCGAAAAATTTAACGAAGCAGCAAACAGTTTGATGGTTTTAGCTGCAAAAAATTCTGATAATATCGAGAAGAGAAAAACTTTACTCAGTTTGAGTAAATTGTGTTACCTTACCAATGATGGTGATTCGGAACAGGGACAAATCGATGAAATTAACAAACAATTAGAAGAGATTTTGGTTGAAGAAGCTGAACTGGTGGAGGAAGCTGAAAATGAGGAGCATCTTGTTGGATAATCTTCTTGATCAACAACAAAATGCATTCTAAATTAGTATTTTCATCAATTTTATATTCTAATTGCAACAAAAAAGCAACAATTCTGTTACAATAACAATTAATATTCTTGTTTCTTTTTCTCATATTTCCAACCATCAAACCAACTAAAGGAAAACCATTTAATCAACAATGTCATTTAAATTTCATCCCTCATCTGAAAATATTATCGTTACACATGAAAAAAAAACACTCACATTTATATTGATAAACATTAAATCAATGACATTTTCGATATTTAATTGTGTTAATTAACTTAAATTATCCAAATTGAGTTAATTTGCTTAAATAAGTGAACAAATTTTTCCACCACAACAACAATGGGAAACTAAATACAATCGGTTGAATAAACTATATGTAATAGTTGTACTTAAAGTTAATCACAATTGTTAACTACAATTGTTTATAATTATTCCGTTTCAATGTCAAATGATTAATTAATTGTCCTTGAGGCGTAATAACAACAACAATTAGTAAATAGGGTGAAGAACATTTATTCTAATCAAATACCGGTAGGTATTTGGAAATCAACTTACTGTGGATTAACAAGCTGATAATCTTCTCATTTTCATTGAGATGAAACAATATTGAAGAGATACAATTAGTTAATTGATAGAAAATTTTGACAATCAAAGAATCAAAATTTGCTCTAATCAAAGAGCGACATCTATGTTCTAATGGGCGTGTTGTGTTTCTGATTCATTTTGACGTAAGTTTTTCATCTTGAAAGGATAACAATTGTTTCCAATTTTAATTTTCAACATATTCTTTTAATCATCAATCAATTAATTTGTTTAATTACTGTTCCATTGGTGTTGTTTTTGTTCTGAGCCTTGAAATACAATAAAATCTCATCACCATGGCTCTTAAAATGCTGGTTGGTCAAAGTAAGTAGAGAGTAAATGTTCATATTGGTTTTGTTTTTTTTTCTATTCTTTTTTATTTGTTCTGTTTTATGTTGACTATTTTTATATAATTTCTACCTAATTATGGTTTTATAATTGCTCTTAATCATTGTCATGATGATCTCCGTGGTCTCAAATGTAATTTATTTCTATTTTTATTCTACAATAGTTAACCTATTTTATCATTTCCTGTGTTTTTCTACCTAAAAAATTCATCATTTGGCTTTTCCTTTGATACTCATTTTCTATGTTTTTGTCTATTTCTCTTTCTCTCTCTCTTTCTTTAGTTTCTGTGTAATATTTTCCTCTTTCTTTTTCCTCTTTCTTTCTTCCCTTTACTTCCCCGACTATTGTATTGATTTTCCTCTCTCTCACCTCATTCCTAGTATTTCATGTAGAGAAAAAATTTCCATGATTAATTTGTAATGTTTACCATTTTTTGTTTTCGTTTGCCTCAAAACCAACATTTCTTATCCTACTCAGTCAATTGGTAATCTAATGTATCGAATTTATATTTATTCTTATTTATTTCTACAGAAATCATGAACGAGGCAATCAGAACATGTAAAAAGAAGGGTGAATGGAAGGTCTTGATTGTTGATCAATTGGGAATGAGGATGATCTCAGCCTGTTGTAAGATGCATGAAATTGCCGTTGATGGTATTACAATTGTGGAAGACATAGTGAAAAAGAGGGAACCTCTTCATCATATGGAAGCTATTTATTTGATTACTCCAACGGATAAGGTAAATTTCAGAATAGGAGAGAAAAAAATAATCACAGAATAACATTGTAACTAATTCTTGTTAAGTTCTCGACGATTAATTATTTGCTCATTTTTTTTTCGTTTATACCTTTTCTCTAGTCTATTCGGCTTTTGATGCAAGATTTTCTCAGTGCTCGTTCCGCAATTTACAAAGGATGTCATGTATTCTTCACGGAATCTTGTCCTGATGAATTGTTTAACGAATTGTGCAAATCTCCTGCTGCCAAATACATTAAAACGTTGAAAGAGATCAACATTGCCTTTTTACCCTACGAATCACAAGTATTCTCACTTGACTGCCCTGAGGCATTCCAATATTTCTACAATCCTGCTAAACAATCAGGTCGTTCAGCTAATCTTGAAAGAATAGCTGAACAACTCGCAACAATATGTGCTACTTTGGGTGAATATCCTAGTGTACGATTCAGGTCAGATTTTGATCGTAACGCTGAACTTGCTCAGCTTCTTCAGCAAAAGTTAGATGCATACAAAGCAGATGATCCATCAATGGGTGAGGTAAGATAAATCTAAAAATGACCTAGAAATTTTCCAATCACAATGATCTGGTTATATTGTATGTTAATAATTTTTTCATCTACTTTTCCAGGCTCCAGAAAAACATAGATCACAGTTGATTATTCTTGATCGTGGTTTCGATTGTGTTTCACCGTTGCTTCACGAATTAACCTTCCAAGCGATGGCTTATGATCTTTTACCTGTTGAAAATGATGTTTACAAGTTTGAACAAACAACCGGAAACGAAGTTCGTGAGAAGGAAGTTCTTTTGGATGAAAATGATGAACTTTGGGCTGAATTAAGGCATCAACATATTGCCGTGGTCTCTCAAAATGTTACCAAAAATTTGAAAAAGTTCATTGAAAGTAAACGAATGAGCACTTCGGATAAAACAAGCCTGAAAGATTTATCTCAGATGATTAAAAAGATGCCTCAATATCAGAAAGAGTTGAGCAAATACTCAACCCATTTACATTTGGCTGAAGATTGTATGAAAGCGTATCAAGGTTATGTTGACAAATTGTGCAAAGTTGAGCAAGACCTTGCGATGGGTACCGATGCTGAAGGAGAGAAAATTAAAGATCCAATGAGAAATATTGTTCCCATTCTTCTTGACCAAGGAGTTGGAATATTTGACAAAATTCGTATCATTCTTCTTTACATTCTCTCCAAAAATGGAATCTCCGAAGAAAATCTGACCAAATTGATTCAACATGCACAAATTCCGCCTGCAGATAAATGTATCATCACCAATTTGGCTCATTTTGGTTTATCAATCATTTCGGACGGAGGCCGTAAGAAAATGTACCAAATCCAAAGAAAGGAGCGTATCAATGAGCAAACCTACCAAATGTCTCGTTGGACACCAGTGTTGAAGGATCTCTGTGAGGTGAGCCCAATGACCATTAGCAAAATGGACTCTCAATTGTTCATAAATCACAATAATCATAACCATTTTACATCTTCTATAATTTTTTCTTATTGTTATTCTTAATTGTTTGTTATTATTAGGATGCAATCGAGGAGAAATTAGATCAGAAACATTTCCCCTTCTTGAGTGCTCGAGTGGCTACTGGATTTGGCCGACCCACTCCGACCTCCGTTCGTTATGGTAATTGGCATAAAGATAAAAACGCTTTGAATGTTAAAAATGTCCCTCGATTGATTGTCTTTGTCATCGGTGGATTGACCTATTCCGAGATGAGAGTTGCCTATGAAGTAACAAGAGATATTAAAACATGGGAAGTGATTGTTGGTGAGTAAATCTAAGTTCATCTTTACTCTTATTTTCGCAATCATACTAATCGTAATTTACTAATTGTTGTTTTTTTCTCTTTTCATTTCTAGGTTCTGATCATATTTTAACCCCTGAGGGCTTCCTCTCAGACTTGCGAGATCTCAGCAGTTGATGAAATAATCATCGTTTTCATTCACAAAATTCATCTGCAAATTATTAGTTTGAAAACTAGTCAACACCCAATTATTATTACTGAATCACCATTATCATGATCATTGAGGAAACAGCAAAAATAGAAACATTTTGATGATTTTTGATTTGTTAATTGTTGATTCTTTGATCGTCAATATATATATATTGATTATCAAAGAAATTAATCTATCAGTTTGTTGATATATAATAATCACTTTAATTGAGTCATCCTTTTGAACAATTTAAATTGTTGTCACATTCCAATTTTCAATTCCATTTAATTTCTCCCTTGGAAAACAATTTAAATCTAATTTATTTAAAACCGTTAACTATCAAACCATCAAAATCAGTAAATTTAAAGTTATTCATGGTAACAATAATTACTTTATTCAAATAATAATAGTAATTGCTACAAGTTGTTATCAATTAATTGCAATTTTTTCCAGTTTTAATGCTGATTAATACACTCACATACCAATATAAATATAAATACATGAGAAATTAAAACAAAAATTGTAATCAATTAACAACAAAATCAAGACGAGATTTAAAAAATTTACTTAAACTTGATGATCCAATGTATCTAATCATAAGGTGTGTATGTGTTTTGATTATCAAGATTGATCGTTTAATTATCTTGATCAGTCAACAATTAATTTGGTTTGCATTTGCTGATTTATTAATAAAAATTATAAAATCAACCAAATGAAACTAATCAACTCTCAGGGTTGACTATTTATTATTTCAAATCGTATGAATGAAATGAAATGAATAAATGAAACCACTAATTGGGAGTTAAAAATGTATTTTGATCAACTCATCTTGGTTGATTGGGACACAATATAAGAATTGAAGATGATGAAAAAGAAACTTTCTCTAAGAAAGTGATTAGTAATCACTAATTATTAATACTTTGTAATTAAGAAGAGGCATTGGAGATATTGACAAAAGAGTTAAGTTTTTTTCTCGTTTAATTAAAGAGGTTTTTGCAAAAATCTTTTATTTAGTTTACGAGTTTAAAATCAGGTTCAATTACCTGTGATTAGTTTTTCCGTTTCTATTTATGTGGCCTGGATTGGATCTTGGCATTCGCTTGACCATATATGATGACCATTTTGTTGTACTCATATGTTGATTCAGAATTGTGACCAGAGCAATAGTTACATTTTCTGGGTGTTTATATGTTGATGTGTTAATTGGTTGATTGGTTAAAAATCATTATCATCATCGGTCTCTATTGCAATGGTCCGGCCTCCACCTCCGACTCCGCTGGTCGTGCCCACTCCGCCGTGGCCTTTGCGACTATTAATATCCTTGATGTTTCTCAATTCCCGTTCATCTTCAGAATCTAATTCAGACGGGTCATCATCACCATCTAAATCAAGATCAGAATCAAGGGAATCATCTTTATCTCCAGCGGTCATCGAGCCGAAAACCCGAACTCTTCCGGTTTCACTTCGTTTAGTTGTCGTTGAATTGATAACTGACCTTCGAGCTCGATCATTTTTACCACCATTTTGATTAACCTCCTTAACATTATTCCCTTTAATATTCCCATAGTTTCCTACCGCAAGATCATCATCATCATCTTCATCGTCATCAATTTCATCATCTAACTCATCATCATCTTCATCATCATCATCCTCGAGATCACCAAGGTTAATCCCAATGTCCAAATCAGCGTCACTCTCATTTTCCGTTCTCAGTGATTCCTCTTTTCTCATCTGTTCAATCATCGATTGATTTGCTCCTTTCGATTCTTTGGAAAATAAAATAAACACAAATTAGACCAAAAATGAAATCGAAAATCAAAAACAATTAGTTAATCACCTTAATCTTGTCCATTTCCACCTTCTCTGAATCCTCTAGTTGCCAGTCAAGGTAAACAAGTGACCGGAACTTCGTGACATAAACATCATAAAGCGTCGCCATTTCCTCTTCCAGTTTCTCGTATTCATCCATGAACGCAGGTCTAATACGAAGACAATTAACTGATTGTTCTTTGGGTCCCTTCGATTACTCACCTCACTGATTTAATTGTCATCAATCTATCCTGGGTTCTCTCAAGTTCTTGTCGTTTCTTTCCAATCTTCTCATCCAAATTCGCTTCGTCCGAAGCGACATGTTCAATCTTATAATTAATAGTTTCGATCTCTTTTTCGACTCGTTTGATCTCATCTCGTAAACTTTTCTCGATTTCCGGAATTTCGAGTTGACGATTTAGAACTTGAGCTCGTTTTTCCTTTATAACAATTAGAGAATAATTAATGAGAGTAATCAGAGTAAAATGTTGATTACTAATATATGAAAAGTTAAATTACATAGTAGTTATATGGAGTAATAATCAAGAATGAGAACAATTAACTTGGTGGTGTTAAGAATAGACTTTGATTGTTACAACTGATTTGTTTTCAATTTGTGGTAACCAAGGGTTGGGTTGAGTGGGAGGAGGAAAATGAGATTGGACAATTTATTGATTTTTGTTATTCTCATGATTAGTTGATTCTGTTGATTGTATTAGTTGTATTGGTTGTTATTATTATTATGGTGTTAATGAGATGGTAATTGTAAACAATTGAAAGACAATGTCAAGTTTATCATCATCACAATCAATCAGTGATTTAGATAAATCATCAAATTTGTATAAATTTGGTCGATATTTTCTAATTGGTTTGGCAATCACAACAATTATCCTCGATTCACATAAAATGATTAATGAATATAACAGATCACATATACAATTAACTTCATCATTATCAACATTCAATGTAATCAATTACTATTCGGCTTCAATAATCACTCATATTGTTGGTTTGGGTGCTGCAATTGAACACGAAATTTGGTTAACTGTTACCTGTCGATTGGTTTCTGCTTTAATCTATCAGATTAATCTAAATACTAAATCAACTGATTTACCTTCAGATCCAAAAGAATTGGAGAAAATGGTTCGAAAAAAGATTAAGAAAAATCCGGATTTGCTTAATCAAATTAAACGAAAACCCTTTTCATGGGTCGACATGATTAAGAATTGTAAGTTCTGTTACCAACAACAATTAAATCAGTTGATTGTTTCATTTTTTTTCCTTCTCAAAATGTCTTAATAGTTATGGTTACCTTTTGAAATGGATCTGATCAAAATGGACCAACTCATCTAATCAATTTGGTTCACAATAATATAATTGATTGTCTTGATTTACAGTTAATTGTATCATCATAATTGTTGGAGATAATAAAGTGATTGGATTAATTGTTGGACTTACTCTTAATTCAATTTCTTTTCCCAATAAATCGGATAATATTGCACCTTTTTGAGTTATTCTTGATGCTAATTGTCGGGTTTTCTTTAATTCATTTGCCTTAAATTGAGGAAACAATTGGTTAATTTCTGTTAACAATTAAGGTTAATTTCACACTTACTTTACTGTGAATCAATGATTCTGACATTGTAATTACATCTTCTTGATTGGAATCATCAGTGGCCTCACTTTGTTTAGATGCTTCGTAAATAAGTGAGGCCATTTTCATCATCTCTTGAACGGCATGACCATCGGCTGTGTAAAGTTTTTTGGTATTCAACTTGATGAAAGCCTTAGTAGCCTAATTGATTGACCAGAACAAACAATTAGTTAATTGTTGACTTGTTCATATACAATAAGAAATAACTTACAATTAACTGGGCACAAGATTTAATGAAGATAACTCGATCTTGTTCCGTATCGATAACATATGGAACTTCAAGAGATGAATCAAATCTATTAAATTTGGAATAGAAATTTAGATCACAATGGAAACAATTAGTTAATTGCTTACCTTGTTATTAACCATCGGAGTATCTCAGCTACTAGAGGGAAATTGGGTCTTCGAAAGTTATCAATTGATACATGACGAGGATAACCAAGGAATCGAAGGATTTCCGAGAAATCTAGACAACAATTAAGTTTAATTATCCATTAATTTCTTACCAATACAGAAAAAGAAATTGTTAACAATTAACTAATCAACTTACTTCGAAGCTCTCGAAAGGACATTTTTCCCGATCTCTTTGTTTACCTTTTTAATCACTGTTACCATAGAGAAATTTGTTAATTCAATCAATAAATTAGTTCTAAATTGTTTCGAGTTGATATGATTAATTTAATTTCGATTCTAAATCAACAATTAGAATTGAAAATTTGTTCAAAAGTTTGTCGATAATTTGTTAATTGTAAACAAATCGACGATCTGTTGATATAATTAATCTCTTGCTACTAATGGTCAATCAGTTGAATAATGGTAAATTTAGAGGTTGCGATTGATTATTTCATCGATAGTTAATTACTATCGACATTAATTTAGCTCGGCAATCATATAATTATCGTTATCGTTTTCGTAATTGTTACAATTTAAACGAGAAATAAGTTGATCAATCAATGAATGCGAATGTAAAATCAATGGGAAATTTAATTCAACTATTAATTATCTTTTCCATGTACAAGAAAAACAAAATAGAATCAATTGTTTTATTTCTTAATCATGATAAACCTTGAGTAGAGTAAATTGTTAAATTGTGTTGATTGTCGAGGGAAAAATTTGACGACAATTAACAATGAAAAAACGTCGACGATTATCTCGTCTCTTTGAATGTACAATATTGGGGATTAATCTTCATACGATATTTGAGATAATTTGTTCAATCGGTTTTCTAATCCAATCAACTTTGGTACTAATTAATTATTTCTCATTCCCTGAGTTAACCAATGTTTCACTAATTGTGCCAGAAGTTACACCTCTACCCGATGTGGTCATTTGTTTTGACGGTGCTTACATAATCAACTGGACCAAAGTTTTCATCCAATACCAACAATTTAAATCAACTTTCCATCTTCCCAACAATTTAAATATTGCCAATGAAATTGCCCTTCGTCGATATCTTTTTTCAATATGGGACAAAAATCAATTAATGATGATCCTTGCCCGATCATTGACCATCAGTCAATTGGTCAGTTTAATGTACACCAATTCCGAATTAGTTACTTCACTTTCTATTACAAATTTAACGGTTAATCAGTCGAAAGATTTTTGTAAAATTGATAAAGTCCTTCGATCTCTACGAATATGTTACATTTTCCATTGTTCATTGAAAGGTCCTGTCACTTTATCGAATGAGGAAAGTGCCAAAGCTTTTATAAGTCCCAATATACTGACCATCAATATGAACCAATCGATATTTAATTTTGCTCCAAACTTTTTCATCACTTTGGTTCCACCTTCATATAAGCCTCGAGGCAATTCACTTCGTTGGGATACAATGTCCATAGTTTATAATGAACCTTTAGTATATCGAATGCATTATTTTACTTTTGAACGGAAACTACTTCCGTCTCCGTATCAGTCCAATTGTATTGATTATATTCCACTTGGATATCGACGAGCGATTGACATGAAGGACGTTTGTTTTAACAACAAATCCATCGAGTACTTTGGTGTACCTTTCCATGCGTCCATGATTGATGTTGACCTTAATGTACCATTGGGTCTGGTCAAGTACACGGACAATGTTGACAATCGTACTTTCCGTCAACAATTGAACTTTATAGTTGATCATTGTTTCCAGTTAACTGAAAGGCCGGATTGTTATGAGAAAATTTTCTTTATTCGTCCCAGAAATCCGATACCAACGAGCGGCAATAAGTCCGTCATCTCTTTTGGTACCATTAAAGAACCAAATATTAAAGTGATTGTTGAACCTCGATTGGTGTTGATCGATGTTATCATTGCCATTGGAAGTATTTCCGGAACTTGGTTCGGCTTTTCAATTATCGAACATGTTCCCAAAATTTATCGATCTTCTTGGTACAAAGTGTCCAGTTGGGTTCGATTTCAGGCCAGTGAAAAACGAACCGAGAAAGTGGTCGTTCGAGAGTTTCAAAGAAGAGCATCTAAACGATTAGAAAGTATTCCAGAATTAAATCAACTTCCAACAATTAACAGTTATCATCGTAATCGATATAAATATTAACTTTGGAAAAGATTTTTTTTTCTATTGTATTAATTAATTCACTTGACTTGAGTTAAAATTAGTTAATGGTTGAGGAAATTAAATTATCCAATGACTTGACTTGCTTTCTCATTGTCACAATTAATACAGTTACACTTAATTGTTTGGTCTATTCCCAAGGTTTAATAACCATCAATGACAATTAAACTTTTTGCTTTGTCATTTTCTATCATCATTAACTTGACAATTTACTAATCACTGGTTAGTTTTTCATTCCCTTTGGAAACATTGATGACAAACTCAATCAATCAACAAGTTTAACAATTAACTTTTCTCAATCTTGTTCTTAGTTCAATCACCAATTAATTTAATTGTGATTGTTAACTGTCCACTGGCATGTCCATAGTAAAAGAGTCCAAGAGTTAAAATGTATTATAGTTTAACAATTTTCTTAATTATTGGAGTTTCAATCATCTTAATTGTCCTTTGGATGGTCACTTGTTGCTTCTGGAATTGTTTGTGTTGTGAATGTTGTTGTGATCTTAAACATGCCACAGTCCGTTCACCGATCGCCCCTCGTGCAAGTATCGTCTCAGTCCGTAGGCCAACACTTTACACGATTTAATTATCAATCAACAAAGACTGAAATTGATTGTTACAATCAAATCAATTGTCTAATAGAAAAGTTCATATGTATTATATGTTATGTTACATTATCATCGTTATAAAATCTTGAGTTTCACTTTTGTAAATATCGACAAATTAAAATGTCCATTCAATTTAATTTGATTGAATTTCCTTTACCATTTAATTGTGATTAAATGAAGAACCACAAAAAAAATATGGAGAGAGAAATTGATTAAATCCAATTAAATCAGCTCGTAGTGGATTTGATCAGATGATTCTGTTGAAAATTGGAAACAAAAATTGTTCATTAACTAATTGTGTAACTTGCTTATGATTATATTAAATTGTTCATAAGGAACAATTAACTTACTGATTACTTTATCCTTCAACAATTTATCTAAATGATGTGAGACATTATTAGCTGCTGCAAGTAGTAAATTTTCAGGAGTATCCTAATAATTAAAGAGTCAATTGAAGATTAGTTGATGATAATTAACTTCGTAATCATGTATATATTTACTTTATAGATGATGGAGACAATTTGTGAAATGGTAATTCCACAATTAGATGAACTGGATTTAATACAATCAATAATTTGATTCTCACGAGTTAATCGGTGTTTAATGTATTCGGAAATTTTTTCATTAGGCTTGTTGACCACAGGACCATGACCAGGGAAAATAATCTCAGCTTCAAGAGAAGATATTTTCTCAAGAGATTTCATGTAATCTCTTAAATCTTCAAAAATCTGAAATTTAAATTTAAAAAATCAATCAGATCAACAATCAAAATCGATCATGAAACAATTAACTTACTGCACTTCCCTCGCCCAGAATACAATCACCACTGAAAATGGTTCGATCCTCATCTAATAATAACACCGCATGGTCATCGGTGTGTCCAGGGGTATAATAAACACTAAAGAGAGAGAGAGGAAACAATTAATATATTCATCAAATTGTGGTTAGTTAATTGTGAGAAATTAACCTTAAAGTTGTCGATCCATCAACTTTAATCTTCTGTTCATCTTTTAGATATTCAAATGAGATTTTCTCATCGGATGGATCTCTCTCATTCTGTTTAAATTTGTAAACTTTACAACCTGTCAAAGATTAAATGATTAATGAATTAGATTAAGATTAGATTAGAATTAAAAAAATTAACCATTTCAAGCAAATTAAAATGAAAATAGAGAGAAACTAATCAATGAGAAATACAAACAATGTAATCAAATGTACTAAGACAATTAGAGTTACATACTTGCCGGTGATTCAATTAAATCAAGAACATCCAATAAACCACCGATATGATCATCATGCCAATGGGTGATTATTATATTTGACAATTTAATTTGATTACTGGTGAGAACAGTTTTCAACAATTTAGTATATTCTTGATTATCTTTCTCACCAGTATCAATTAAAATCCTTTCCTTTCCAGTTCCAATTAGGTAAGTGTTGGTTCCTTGAAGGGTAAATGGACCGGGATTACAACCGAGAATACGAATCACTCTTTCTGACAATTTAGTCACTTTGGGGATAATTGTTGACATGATTAAGAATTGGAAAACAATTGACAATCGTAACAATTTAAAATAATCAAATGAAAGACCGAGAAAAACAAATCAACAAATGGAAACATCAACAACTATTAGTAACCAACAGAGACAACAAACAATAATAATGAAGAGGAAAAAAAATTGGAGGGAACATTGAATTGGATTAGAAATTGAAACAATTAGTTAATTAGTTGATTGGGTAAACCAATATGGAGATAATTAGAGTGATTTAGATTTCTTCAGTGTTTAATTAACTGAATCAACAAAGTGAATAGTTAAATTGTTTATAATGGGAAAATTATTGTATTACTTAAGATTGAGAGTTGATCTAAATTGTTGTATAATTAAATTAATTGTATCATTTGGTATTGATCGAGGTTAATTTAAATTAGATGGACAGTGAATAATGTTTAATTATATAATGTTTGTCTAAATTAGGCTAAGATTATAATCAGTTGATTACAATTAAATTGTGAAAGTAAAGGCTTCCGTTGTGATAGTATCATTGATTTGGATGAATTAACTTGATGATTAACATAATTAAGTGAAACAATTTAGCTAATCATGAAAAATTGCCATTCGATATGCATCATCATCTTCATTACAATTAAAAAAAACTATTTGATTTGGTTACTACTTTAATCAGTTGATGAGAAATTAAATCCATATTGATGATTAACTAATTTTCCCGAACCTTAAATTTAACATTTTGAAGAAACTTTTTTAACTTTTCTTAATTGTAATCATGAAATAAAAATTAATCAACTAAACTTCAATTGGTGCCCAACACTTTGATTAGAAGTGATTTACTTGATTACAATTGTATGTTAAGGTTAATAACAATTTAGGGTAGAACCAATTACCATTAATAATTTAGTTAATATTAATAATGATTATGAGAATGAATTAAATTGTTAAAGTTAAACCAGAAAGAAACAAACCAAACCCAAACTGAATTAAGAAAAAAAGAAGAGCCAACAATTAAAACTAATCATTATCGAACCATCATAATTATAATCATCATCTAGAATCTAAATTCAATCTTGTTAACCAGATCAATTAAACTAAATCATCAAGCCCAATTGGTAATTGGTTTAATTGTCAACAATTAGACTCCAGGTAAAGACAATGAATATTATTTATATATTATTGATTTCCAATTTAAATCTGTAATCTGATCATGGTAATAATAACAATTTAATCTTAATCCAATCGATGGTAATTTAATTTTTCATCATCATGATTGAAATTATTACACCTGAAAATATATAACAATCAACCAGAATCATTGTGATCTTAATAATAGACTTAAATTGTTACCAACCTTTTTGGAAAGTTCAATTTATATATTTCAACTTGTTTATTATTATTTTGATTACAATTAATAGATCAAGTTTAATTGTAGGTCAATTGTGAATGAGTAAATTATATTGATCAACCTGTCCATCACAATTAGACTATTGTTAATTCATTTGATTGTCTAAGAAAAAAGTTAACAATTAGCAAATAATGTTTCATAATCATTGAGAAAAGTTTTGTTTTTTGTTAATTTGCTAATTTACTGATTAACTAATCATCATGAAAACGTTAATTAGCTTTAACCCATTGATTAAAACAATACTAATAAAAGTTGCGATAAGTTTAATTCTGTAGACAATTAAATTTAATTGAATATAAGTAAAATTTAGTTTAATCGACTCTTAAGTCTGGTTAAATATTTGATCACAATTGATTTCATCTTAATCACAATCAATTTACAAAATTGTATTATTAATGATATAAACTGGATGCTACTTATTGATCAACCTATTGACTATTAAATTGTTACAATAATATCATGATTAGAACCAATTTCATGACATGAATGTATTATAAATTGATCAGGAAGTTAATCAGGTAAATTGTGTGAAGATAAACAATTTAAATTGCTGTGAGATGATTAAATCTAAAATAATGTTTACCATCAATTGTGATCATCACAAATGATTAACTGTTTTCTAACCTCCATAGTTGTATTGTTGTTTAATAGTTAAAACCAGTTGATTAAAAATAGGAATCTATTCAGTTAATTGGGTTCATACAGGTCGTGACTCTTGACCAACTCAACTGACCAACAGACCAACTTTTCTTGGGTCTTATTGTTGTTTATCAAAATGATTAACATTGAATATGAATGAATAATAATAACAATTTAATCCATGAAAACGATCATGTTTTTTTTTTACTTGTAACGAAATCGTAACAATTTAATTTGATTGTTTTCTGTTAGAAACCGGTAGACAAAATTTTCCATCCTCATCATTATTATTATCGTCGTATTATTTTCTGACTATATTGTTAAGGATTAGGAGAGTTAATCACAATCACTTTTCTCTAAATTGTGATTATGATTAACGCCAAATTTAACTTCTAATCTGATCCATATCCGCATCAATTGGTGTTCACAAATCACGATTAATCATGAATACGGTCATTTAATTTGAACCATTTGAATTTTAATCTTCATCCTCATCATCACCATTCTGATTACAATCACAATTGAACAATATCATCTTAATGATAATCAGTAAATCAAGATAATCATGATAAGAATTGATCATTATTGTTGAGTAATTTAATTCTACCTTTAAATTGGCTTATTACAAATATAAATCAATGGTCATTAGTTTTTTTCAACTGACCAACTGATCAGATTAAGATTAAAGTTTGTTTGTTACATTTAAGTATTTACCTAATTAGATGATTGTTTTTATATATGACACAGATAATTAACTTAATCAATGTCACCATGTTTATATGGACAATTAAAGTTAATCACGGAAGAATCATGTTAATTGTTCAATTGATTGTTGAGTCTCTTTTTGGGACTCGTTTCCGGAGATATGATTATGTCTTAAATTAGTCGACATTTAGTTAAACATGATCAAGATCGTTTATGATTAAGGTCTTCCGTTAACGTGACAATTAGTGTTGTTAATCATTCTGATTCTCATCAAACTCATGTAAAAGTAAATTAAAACGGGATTAATTAATTAACAATTGACAGAAATTTGAAAAAGCCTTGAGGGCAACAAGATCCCAATGGTTGTTTCCTATTGTACAAGTTAGATGATAATGATAATAATTTTAAGAGGATTTAGATTAAAAGTAATTAGTTAATTGCCTTAGGTCTTTAATCAAGGTTAATTGTGACAAAATAGTAACTAAATTAACAAGAAAATGGTCAAGTAATCAAAAAAAAAGATGGACAAAAAAAACGAGATTAACTCAACACAATAAAGAGGTTAAGAGATGAAACAACAAGATGAATATCAAGTCACAATTAGTTAATTAATTACGCGACTAATTAACAATATTAAATCATGGAAACACAGAAAATTTTAACACTTAAACTTACAAGTTAATCAGTTGTGATGATTAAAATTAAGATGAACAATTAAGCCAAGAACAGCGATTAAAACAAAAGTGTAAAGGATGAACAATTAGATTATCAATTTAAATGGTTTCTTATGATTGACCAACCAACTAATCAACAATTAAAGTTGTCATTTTAAATCAATCAGATCAACATCATCATCAATTACTCAATGTAAACAATATAATAGAAAAAGCAATTAAACTTAATTGTTGGCCAAAATAAAAAGCAAACCTTTAAATGAGTTAAATTGTTTTCTAATTGAGTTGAGATTCAATTTTTTTACCTCAAATTTTGCTCTTCAAACATTTAATTGTTATGATTATTTTCAGGGTTAACCCGATAATCAGCTGAACTTTACAATAGACATAAAAATGAATGATGGACACAGAGGGTCATCTGATTGTTGTTGATGATTTAGTTTGATTATCATCAAGACCCGTTTCTGGTGATACCAAATCATGTTAACTGTATTAACATGATGGTTAACAGTATTAACTATTTTCATTTTATTGTTATATTATTAACTGTTGATTGTTTGATCTAATTTTAATTTGACCAGTACACAAATTCACAATTGCCATTTACGACTTATTAAAAAAAAGCTTTAAATCAAATTGTAATTAAATGAATTGGTGTTGAAAATTGTTTCCACGATTAACAAGTAGGACAAGAACAATTTATATTCAGTCTAATAATATTATCAGTATTTTTTAACTGAAAAAAAGTTCATTAAAAATCATCTCATCATTTGATCATCATTATCATCATCATGATTAGTTATATAAATATAATGGTTGATTGAATCTCTGGGTACACCCTGACCATTGACTGACCACCACACCCCAAGGGTATTCAGCTCAAGTTTGACAAAGAAAATGTCAAACTTTTGATTGTTTCATCATCTCATTTGTTTAAGAACTGGTTGATTGTTGTTTTAATTTAATTTAATTTAATTTTCTTCTGTACTTTGATTTGTAGCAATATGTGAGATGAAATTAAATTAAATGGCCAATGATTAAACCTATTTAGTTAATAATCAATTTCCTGGATCCAGATTAATGTAACAATTAAGTTTGTCCTCGTTTTTTTTTGTTATTAATAATTTTTCAAACTTTTCAAACTTTTTGAAAAAGTTTTAAGATTATTAGTTATCTTAATTTAATAACAATAACAAACATGACTGATTGTAATCAAGATTAACAATTGATTAGTGTAAGCAACATGTTGTCTAATCTTGTTGGTATCTAAAATGTCTATCAAGCAATTAATCTTGATTGTTAGGGAACATGTTAATCTGATAATCTAATCATGTCACATATACAGAAAACCTGAAAGGTGATGATTTTGTTGATATAATGATGATGATGTCGGTGAGATGACCTTAGTTTGAATAAGTAAATTGTCAATAAAGTTGATGATGAGTAACAACAAAAAATCAGGTATTAAATTGTGGAATGACCTGGATAAAGATTAATAGTGGACAGACAAATAAGTAATGTCCAGTCTAAAGAAAAGAAATGAAAAGAGAGAGAGAAAAGAAAGAGAAATGTGAAAATTAGTATAAAAAGATTGAGTAAAATTGGACTTGGAAAAAGATAACAATCAACTAATGATGATCATCATCATTTCTGTATAATAATATCGATATGAAGGTGAAAGACAATTGGGTGGGGAACGGAATGGATAGAGGTGGCCTGGAAAAAGGTATAAGCGGAGGAGGAGGAGGTCAAGGGCCCAAATCAACAGGTAAGATAAAGGAGGTAATGTTAAGGATGATAAAAAAAAAGATGATGAAGATGAATCAGGTTTGGAAGATGAGGATGAAGATAAAGATGAAAACTCTTCATTTCACCGGCTCACCGATTCTTGGATGTATCTCTTTACCTCTCTCTCGCTAACTCACTCACTCACTTGCTCTCTCTCTCTCTCTCTCTCTCTCTATACTTACGGTGGCCTAATTGTATTAACATAATTGTTGTTGATGTGCACACACAAACAAACTCACAATCAAACAGGTAATCAACAGAAACAATTGTTTTCTTGGTTAATAGTAATAAGATAATAACGAAATCGTCTTATTGACACATTATGAGTTTACCTTAATTTTAAATTGTTACTCTGTTGTTTTCATAACTGTTTTTATCATCATCAGTTGATCGTCTTGTCCAAGTGAAATATTATCCAAAATTAGTTAATTCAGTTGAATTGGTTAAGGGGAAAACAAATTGTTGTGGTTTGTCAACTTATTTGTTTAAATCGTTGACTTGGATTTGGTTTTTTTTTCTTGTGAATTACTGTATCATTATGAGGATTGGATTAACAATATGATTTGATTGATTGTTTTTCACCAATGATTTTAATCAATGTTAACTGTGGATTGTTGTTATTGTTTATGTGACCGGTTATTACGTTGATTGAAAAAATTATTATCAATTCAAATCATGATGAGTGAAGTGCCAACGATTCCCAGGATTAAACAACTATTGGTCAAGGAAAGTGGACTTTGTCAATTTTATCCTGGACGTTCAGTTGTAGCCATTGGAACTGGTCAGTCAATTTGTGGAGTGACCATTACAATTTTCGGTGTACTTATTTATCCTCTTGAATCGTCACCAGTTAACCTTTACTCGGCCATTTGGATTGGGCTAATAGTCATTGTCAGTGGACTTTTGGGTATAACCTCAGGTCGAAATGATCTCTCACTTATCTTGTTAAAGATAAACTTTTTCTCCGCCATTTTTACCACCGCGGCCATTTCATTTGTGACCATTGTCGCTGCCAATGGTTTCCTACTTTGTGAACCAAAAGATCTTATCGTTGAAATTGGCGATCGAAAGGAAATCATTAGTACCAATGAGAAATGGCGTCCACCCGATCTACGTCGACCTTTGGTTATGATTAATTGTATTATATTGATCATTTCAAGTCTCTCTTGTCTCTTATCGTTGATTAATTTCTGGTTAACTGTAAGAGCGTTAATTTCATATTATAATCATGCAGCTTCAACGATCCTTGGATTAACCGATAAACCAAAAGTGGACGTCGATGGGATTAAAAGGAGAGATCGAGTTGTTTCCTGGATAATTGAACAATCTTATGAAATTTCACCACCAAATCTAAGTAATTACTCAAATCATTGTAAAAACGATAACAACAATTTAAGTTCAACAATACGATCGCCATATAATTCAAATGGTTTACTTTCATCGACATCAACACTTTCAACGAGAATCTATTCTTATGGAAGATCAATTCCAATCTAATTGTAATATAAACAATTAAATCATCATCAGCAACAATTAATCGCCATTATCATTGGAATACAATCTAACCAATTAAACTTAATCTTCCTCTGATTTCCATCTCTTGGTAAGCAAAGATAATCAACCTAAATAATCAAAAAAAAAGAGAACAATCAAAAATTACTACTAATTCAATTTCTTACAATTTGCTAACAAACTAAATCATGATTACATTTGTTTCCAGATTATCTAAATCACAATTAAGCAAATAAATTATCCAATGTATTATATTTTTCCTCTTACCTGTAAATACAATTTGATAACATTATTATAACAATAATAATCTAAAAATTAAATTTAAAGTTTTTTCTTCTCATCAATTTAATTGTCTTCCAATTGGTTTTAGAGACAAACTCTTCCGCAGTTGATTGTCAATTAACATCTTCCTTGAAAATATCCTACATTTCATACGAGTTGATGATTTTAATTACAATAATTATCATCATCATCATCAATAATCATCTCATAATCTGTTGATCTTATTATCCTTTTTTTTTGTTTTTCACTGTGACCTGAGGGCATCGGGATAAGATTTTAACACGTTACAGAAGATAATTTGAATTTTTCTTCTTCCTAATTCTCTTTCTATGAGAAACAACCGCAGTTAGTTGACCGGGAAAAAGTGACATTAAAATGATTAAAGGGCTAAATCATTTGGGAACAATTAACTTGTGAGAATGGTAACATTAGCTGGACATTATAAGAGAAAAGAAATAAAAAATTATTACTAAGGTGGAATCACTATTATTATCAACTTACCGGCTAATTGGTGAATAATTAAGAGTAATCAAGAGCACGATGTTGATGTTCTCGATTTATTTAGTTGATTGTTACCATTTAATTTCAACAATTAACCAGATTCTTGGGTTAATTTAATGGTATTCAAGGTGAGATGAGATGTTCACATTTCCCTTGCAATTCAACAGGTTAAATTGTTGTTACAGCCCAAATTGGATCGCCTGGTTAATATAAATTGTAGGCCTACAATTAATTACATCTTAATGTGTCCACCATCACCTTAATTTTTACGTTAATTAACTTGCATCAATGCGACAAAAAAAGAGAGTATCTTTTGATTGTCTCCAAATAGGTAGATTGATATTGTTATGTTTCTGTCAATCACTTGGACAACCATTCGGAGATTAAATCAAAAGAATAGATGAAAGATTATTGACATTTTTAACTGTTACCTGAATAAATTAAGATCACATCATGAAAAAGAATTAAAAATAAATAAAACAATCAGAAAATTAAGAATCAAGAATTAAAATAATCACTTTTGTTGGAGATGAAAAAAAAATCTATTCACTTAAATGAGAAACATAAACAAAAGATTAAAACAATTGAGGTCGAAATTGATTATTCTAATGATTAGAATCAGATTATTCACTTTAATTCACCTTTTATTGTCCAGATGATCATCAGATTATCTTAATTACTTCACAATGGTTAGTCAATCAATTGGAACAATTAATCAAATGAATTTATAAACAATTTGGAAAGAAAAAAATTCGTTTCTACTTTTCGTTATTAGGAAAAGATCCCCGAACATATGAGCGAATTTTTTTTCTTTTTTTTGTTAATTTAATTTGTTTACTTTTCTGTTGATTAATTAATTAGTTTTGTGGATTAAAATTAACGTTTAATTAATGTAATTTCCATTGAAAGGTTTGTATTCTTCTGTCTTATGTTCGCTTTTACTTGAATCAAATTTGAAGATTTACTTGGGAATCGAGAAGCTAATTTATTGTTACAGTTTAATTGTGATTAGTTTTCTTCTTGTTCTCTCTCTTTAATTTACTTTGAGAATTAATCATTTTGTTTTTCCATTTAGCTTCCTAATTGTGATCTTTTGATTGTGGAAAACAAAAAAGTGAACCTGTATTACTTTCCTTGGTTCGAGTTATTGTTTTAATATTTTCTCATCAAATTGAGAAACTTAAATTAATTATAAGACTCAAGTGAATTTATATTGTTTTGAAATTTTTTCTTCTCCTGATTATCTAAGTGCAACTCTAATCAACAAAGCAAATTGCTCAATATTTACCGGATTATGTGAAATGGTAATCAGATCATTCAACTTACATATAAAAATGTTTCGCGATTAATGTAAATCAAAAGTGAAAAAAAAGGTTAACTAATTACAATAATTTTCTTTATTTTTTTTTCTAATCTCATATAATAGTTTCAACAATAGAAGAGCAAAAAAAAGGTCAACCCAACGGTGAAAAGATGGATTTTGAAAAGAATCGGTTAAAACAATGGAAACTTTGATTCTAACCAAAAGCTACTTGTTTTAATTGTTACCTGGACTCACTTTCTCAATGAATTGAAAGGATTCGTAAATTAATTAGATCAAAATAACAATTTACTTTACAATTAATTTTATCCCTTTAAACAAAAAGTAAGATAAACCAATTGTTTCAATTTCATTTGATTCTCTGTTTATCTAAAGCCCAATCAATACAATTTAATCGTTGATCACTTTAGATATGAATGGTTTCAAATCAATACAATTAATGTTCCATTTTAATTGGAACAATTTTCTCTTTTAAATATTCCCTCCATTGATATAGTTTTACTTTTATTTTCTATTTTTTCCCAATCCAGTTGAAGATTTAAAAACAAATCAAGTGATTCCATCGGTAATTGTGCTTATTATTAGAATCAAATTGGTCAAATGGAACTTGTCTCTTTGTCTCTGATCATCTTAATTAAATTTAGATCATAATAAGTTATAGTCAACAATCAACTATAATGATGATAACAATTCAAGGATAATAATTATCAATGATAAAAACATTACAACAATAACTAAAATCTTACAGAGAAGGAAATTTTCATCTTGATATTTTGAAACTGGTTCTCTTCATGTTTATAATTGTTGATGGTTTTTTCTCTCTTCACCATAGCTGTTTAATTGCCATCTTCAAACCGTAATTGAAATTAACAATCTGATCGGAAAGTTTAATTAGTCCATGTGAACTCAAAGTTAACCAATTTGCTCATTTGTCAACACTCATACTCATCCAAACGATATCACCGAGACCTTTATTAATTGTTATTGTTGAATTTCATCATTTAAAATTCAAGTTTCATTTTAATTGTTATTTATTCTTATACAATAACCAATAGTCTTGTTTTGATTATGTCAACAATTATCCCCAAAGTGACTAAATTATCAGAAAGAGTGATTCGTATTCTCGGTTGTAATCCCGGTCCATTTACCCTTCAAGGAACCAACACTTACCTAATTGGAACTGGAAAGGAAAGGATTTTAATTGATACTGGTGATAAGGATAATCAAGAATATATTAACCTACTTAAAGATGTTCTCAACTCTAATCAACTTAAATTGTCCAACATAATTATCACTCATTGGCATCCTGATCACATTGGTGGTATACTCAATGTTCTTGGTCTAACCGAACCCTCATCAGGTAAGTTACATCATTCTCATTATCTTAATTATTGATAATTTACCCAATTAATTTTCCCTTTTATTAGATTGTAAAGTTTTTAAATTTAAAAACGATAAACGTGACATTCGTAACGATAGGATTTCCTATGAGTATTTAGTAGATGAACAAAAAATTGAAGTTGATGGACTAACAACATTAAGGTAAGAATTTGTTTCTAAATCGTTCTGTTTTAATTAGTATATACATTAATTACTTGTTCTTTTTCCTTGATTAGAGTTTATCATACCCCAGGTCATGCTGATGATCATGCAGTTCTACTATTAGATGAAGAAAATACTGTTTTCGCTGGAGATTGTGTTCTTGGTGAAGGAAGTACTGTAAGTCTACCTGATCAGCTGATTGATATCAAAAAAAAAAGAATCAAAATATTTAAACTTTTCTTTGCCTCTTTGTAGATATTTGAAGATCTCAGTGATTATTTGAAATCATTGGAAAAAATTTCATCACTTAATCCTGTCAAAATTTACCCTGGTCATGGTTCTGAAGTTTTAAATCCAAAGGAAAAAATTAAAGACTTGATCGGTCGTCGTATGAATCGAGAACGACAAATATTAGCTTGCATCCAATCTGTTGGCTCTCTAGGAATCACAATTGGTGAAATTGTTTCCATTATTTTCAAGGTACAATTAGAAGTTAATTAATGCACATTTATGACAATTCTTTAATGATTATTTTTCTCTTGCCCCGAATGTCAAATTAAGGATAAGCCCAAGGAACTTTATCCCGCTGCTGCTTTTACCGTTACTCATCATTTACAAAAATTACTGAAAGATCAAGCAGTTGGTAAGTCGATTGTTATTAATCTTGATTGTTTACATTTTAATAATTGTCTCTTTCATTAAATTAGAAACTGATGATTTAGCTGATCAAGCTCATTATTGGATTAAAGGTGATCGTAATCAATGTTTAAAAGGACTTTAAAAATATTGAACAATTCAAATTGTTACTTAGATAATTCCAATTTTCCATCTCTTAGAATCAAATTTAATATTCGTTATTAATTATTGAAAATTTTGTTTTCTCTTAAATTCTGTTAAATTATTGCAATTGATTAACTTTCCAATATTTACAATTTATTTTCTTCCTGTTAAATTCAATTCAATACTTTTAAAAATTAAGATTAACATAAAAACCATTTTTCGTTATTAAAATAATACAATAATAATAATTATGGTTAATAGATATATTTTTCTGGCGATAAAATGAGATTAAAATTGATTGTTAAAATAATGAATTTCGATGATTAAACGTATCGAACTTTATCCAATAAAGTGAGCGCAGTAAAAGCCGCTTTTTGTTTGGCCTTGGAAAGGATTTCATCAGTTCCGTATCCGGTTAAAATTGGAAGATGATTCAATGTATCAGCTTTCAGGTGAATAGCAACATGGAAATTACCGTCGGTAGAATTGTTGATTTCAATAATCTTATTTTCTACTCCGATAAATTGGCTTGCCTTATTTAGAGCTGTGACATAATCACGATCAGGCTGATTAATTGTTTCACTTTCATTGTTGTCTATTATTGAAATGACCTCGTCGAGGTTATGATGTGAGGGGTCAGTCAATTCCCGGAAAAGTTGACGATTTTATCACATTCGGAATCATCTCCTTTGAGTGGAATAAAATTTTTCCCTCTTTTACTCTGAAAACAAAAATCGACGAAAACAATTAAACCAATTGATGAGAATTTAGTTGGACGATTAAGTTGATCGATTAGCCGAACAATTTAAAATTTCGTTTCGTCGAGTTGTATGTCAATTGTGAACTATTTTTACGATTTAAAATTAAATAGATTTTTTTTAATTCAAATATTAGATATTAAATCTATTGAGTATCACCATTTGATAGAAATTAAATTTAAAGGTAAGAAAATTCTGGGTAGAGGTTCATATTTATATTAGGGTTCTCTATGAGATTACTGAATATCTTTGGTTTTATATTTGAATTGTTGATTGTTGACTAGAGATGATTAAGAGAATTAGATGATTTCTATTCTTCGACAAGAGTTAAATTTTTCATTGGAGGATCTGAATCGATAACTTTTTCGTTGATTATTTCAATTTCTTTTTTCGCTTTTACCGAATCACTTGAAGCATCATAAAGTCCTTTCAATTCGAGAAGGTTGAGCATCTCTTGAGCTGCGATCTTTTTACCGCCTTTCTTTGATTTATCTCGGCCTTTCGATTCGAGGTCCAAATTTTCCAGTACACAAGTGATAGTGAAAGTCTTACAATGTGGTGGACCGTCTTCCTCTTCACTAAGATAGTTCGGTGGAGACCATTTCTTTTTCATGCAAACTTCTTGCAATTTACCGACGGGATTTGACTTTTCGGTGGCAAACGAAGTTTCCAAATCACTGAATCATTTGTCAAAGAAAATAAAAGGAATAGAAAAAAACATCATGAGAAATTGAGGAAAGAAAATTAAATCGATATTGTTATTTACTTTGGAATACTGTCTTCAATTGTTTCCAATTCGGATTTTGCTTCTTCATCATTCTCGGCGAGGGTTTGTAAGGCCTTGAGGGCAGCCGCTTGTTTGGCCTTTTTTTTACTGAAACCAGCGGCAAGAGCAGAATGACCCGTTTCTATTGGAGGAGTTTTATGGAATAATAGAAAATAACATCAATTGGTCAAGATTTTCAAGGTACAATTAAGGTTGTTGGTATGACTGACCTTCGATGAAAACCCGATAAGTGAATGTTGGCTCATGGACTCTTCCCTCTTCGGAGATCATGTTATACTCAACGGTCCAATTCTTTTTGGCACAAAAGGTTTTAAGTACATTGACAGGAGTCTTGGCAAGCTAAAGATGGAGAACAAGATGGAAGAAGAAGAAGAGAACAAAAAAATTAATCGAAAATGCGATGAAATGAAAATGGAATCAACAAAGACAAAGAAAATCTCATTCAAAGATTAATGGAAACGCAACTAATATAAATTCAACTTACTTCCATTTTTTAATCAATTCAATTAGATAAGACAAAAGGGTAAAATGTTAAGACAAGAGTAAAATCAAGATGATCAATCAATTAGGCGTTAATTAAATGTTAAGAGCAATTAGAATAAAAAAAAACTAAATTAAAACAATGAAGGAAACATCAAGTGTATGAAGAGCACAAAGAAACTGATGTTGGTCAATATGATTGTAACTTGTTTTTAAATGTTAAATGGTCAACAGGTTAAATCACTCATTGGATAATTGGTCAACAATATCGGAAGATTAGTTTTGTAGATTAACTAATCAAAAATAATTTGGAAACAATTCAAACAAATTAGAAAGAGAAACGAAAACATCACAACACAAAATTAGAAAACAAACCAAATGGAACAGATGATTTTTCAATTTTCTTGCGAAAAAGAAAGTGAGGGAAAGTTAATTTTCGATTAAGAGAATTTTCTCACAATTAAATCAACTGATTAACTATTCTAATTGGTTGGCCACTCATTCAGAATAATTTTGTTTTCCTTAATTGTTGAATAACCATTGGAATTAAACATTAATTGTGAAAAGAATTTCAATTTTTCGGTTAAATGGAATCAAAATCGATTTTTGATCGATTTTATTTAAAAAAATTTTCCGTTCAAGTGTTGGATCATTTTCCTTGATTGTTTCTGTTAAATTGTTGTTTCTGTTTTGATTTTCTGTATTTTTTTTACTAATTGTTAAATTGTGAGTCAACTTGACAGTTAAATGGCTCCACCAATCAAGGGAAATAAAATAAGTCGTAGTGATGCTTTGAAAAAGATTTACTCAACTAGAATAAAAAAAGCTTATGAGACAAGTGATCATCTTGACTTGATTGCAGATAAACAATTAGTTAATCGTTTTGATGGTTATTCACTTAAATTGTTACCTTCTAAAGAGCTTGATGGTCAAACTTTCCAATGGATAATCGATTTAATCCAATCAAATATGGAATCTCTTTTTAATTCCTGTGTTTGGCGTTGGAATAGAAGCCAAAAGGAGAAAGAGATTAAAAATTCTCAGGCGATGATTCTAATTGTTTACAATTTAAAGGATAATCAACCAGTTGGATTTACACATTTTCGATTTGATTATGATGAGGATGGTGCTCGAGGTGTAATCTATTGTTATGAACTACAAATTGACTCAAATTATCAAGGGAAAGGATTAGGTAGCTGGTTAATGGATTTACTTTATGGTTTAAGTGTACATTTGATTTTCCTAAATTAATGTTAACTTGCCTTAAACATAATCAACAAGCGATGAATTTTTATCGTAACAAATGTGGTTACATGATTGACCTCGATCTCCATCAAAATTTGGCGAAAACGTTTGCTATGAGATTCTAAGTTTAAAGGTTAATCTAAATTCGTAAGAAAATCACTCAAAACAATCATCAACATAAAACAATTTTCTATTTTTCTAATTAAACTTTTCCATCTCAATCATCTAATTCAATGTGAAAACAAACTAATTGTCAAAGTTAAAGAGCTTAAAAGGTCCACATTTCGAAAAGGTTATCTTGCTAATCAGTTGAAACTAATTGTTGATCCATCGTTTGCTTTCAATGTGAAAAGAAACCAATCAATCCTAGTGGATTAATAAGAATCGGTTAATCATATTTTCGAAGTGGCTTAGTTTTAATGGAATCAAGTCAAGATATTGATCATTACAGCGTTAAAATATATAATCGATTTCAATGTATTTCCCAAGCCTCTTCGAAAGCAGAAACGATCTTTGTACAAGCTAAAGCTCCGGATAATGGATATTGACTGATTGCCACAGTTTCTTCAACATAATCAGCTTCAGTCTGTATAGAAAATTAAAGAGAGAAATAATTTTTAGTCCTTTTGATTGTGAAAACAATTGAGAAATAATATTTACCTGTCCATGAGCCATGGCACCAATGACAATGGCTAAAGGTGATTCATCTGAAGGAATCAATTCCTTACAGGTAACTAATTTGTCACAATTAAATGATGTTCCTATCTTACGACATCCAACTGGTAAATGTGCAGTAATTGGATTTTTGATAACTCGCATTAATCTATCAGATCCACCAGCAGCTCTGATACTTAATTTGTGCAATAGTTGAACCATTAGATTAGCAAATCTTTTGAACGTCCGAGGAAATCGAGTAGCCGGATTGATTTCAATCAATACATTTTGCATCGAATGTACATAAACCTGAAGTAAACCAGCTCGATTTAAAGGACTGTCAAACAACATGAGAAGACACTAAAAGAAAAAAAAGAAAAAAAAAAAAGAAAAGAGAAATGATAAATATAAATGAATAGTAATCAGATTTTTCAATTATCATCTTCTACTTACTTGATGTGTAATATCTGGTCTACAAAAAGCTGGATCCTTTTTAAATTTACGAATGTAACTCATATGATCATCACAATTAAGTAATTCATACTTATCACCAGTTCCAACTTTAATCACTTCTAAATTTGCCTTTTCAAGAATCACAATTAACCTTTTTGAATGATCTTTAGCACTTTTAAAAAGCTTTGGTCTGATTATCTTTTCACTTGGTTCACCATCACCACCTTCTTTCTTACCATCAAAATCTCGCCTCTTATAATTAGACATTGTCAATTAATTTAAAGAACAATCAAATAAATTCAAATGAAAATATAAGTATAATATAATTACAATTACAATTAATCAAAACATTGAGAAAATCAAAATCCAACACATGCTTCAAATGGTAACTAAGGGTAACCGATTATCGATTTTCCTTTTAAAATCTTCGATACTATCGAAAGTGAAATCGATACTTTGACATGTGAATCGATTTTCTTTTAATTTTCTCAAAAGTAAACAATTGAATTGAAAATTGTTTCTTCATCTCTTTTTTCATTTACAAGTTGTTAATTGCGACAATTATGGATTTAATTAAACCTAATTTACTCATGGTTAATGGAAGGTGTTACCGATCATTTTATTCTGGTGAAGGAACAATTCATTCTTCTGGTGTAAATAGTTATGAGATTGATGAAGAATATGTTCCCGATGAGGTGGAAGAAAATTTGGATGAAAATAATTATGGATGCGTTGAAATAGAGAAAGATGATAATGGTAATTTTATTTATCCCATGGCAGTTGCACCAGAATTTTACGGAATGATCATTGGTTACAAAGGTATAAATTTAATTCCAATTGAATGACAAGTTAAAGGATAAAATGTACTAACGAATTTTTATTTCTTCTCTTCTCTTTTTTCTATTCTTTTCTATTCTCTTCTATTTTATTCTATTCTTTTTTTTTCTTAATCATAATAGGCCAGACTTTGAATAAATTGGAATATGCTACCAAATGTCGTGTCATTATTCCCAAGAGAGATGATTCTTCAAACAAAACTATTACTCTTCGATCTTCAGCTAAACGTAGTATTCTCAGTGCTCGATCTAAAATATTAGCCATCATTGAAAAATCTCGATCAAAATTTGAGCCGAATTATTTTATTTCCATACCAATTGAAGATGATTCAATTACCCAAAGATATTTACAATTTAAGGATCAAGTTCTCACCGAGGTTAGAAAAGAACCACGTAAATATGAAGGAATATGTGAAGAGATTTTCCAAGATCCTGGTAGACTTCATCTAACAATCTGTATGTTACTTATTATGGATCAAGCTGATGAAAAAGCTCAAGTGATTTCTAAATTGGAGAAAGTTTATCATGACAAAATTTTAAACATAATCAACAAGAAAAAGATAATCGCTAAAATCTCTGGTCTTGCCTACATGAATGACGATATCGATGCAGTTGATGTGCTTTATGGTAAAATTGAACCTAATCCAGATCTCCAATCAATCTCTGAATTAATTGTCGACCAATTTAAAGATACATTGTTTATCTCTCGAGAACGGGCCAAAGTAATTCTCCATTTAACTTTACTTAATAGTAAATTTAAATTGGATAAAGCGGAAAGAGAGGGTTGGTTAAGAGATAGAAAAAAAGACAAGAGAGAAAAATTTTCCATCTCCGAATTGTTGAGAAAATTTGGTGACTTTCATTTCGGTGAAACTCAAATTAAATCAATTGAATTATCCATTCGACACACGAGAACAATTAAAGGAGGATACAAATCAGCCTTAACTTTGGATTTAACTAAAACATCATAAATTGGAACCATCGGTAATTTGATTGCTCCAACAAACGAGGAAAAAAAACTCAATTCAATCTAATCTAATCCATTCCATTAGAATTGTTTGTTGTCATTGGATTTAATTGTCAAATGTTTAAATTAAACCAATATGATTACTATTGATTCTCTTTTACTCTGAATTGAAAATCTGATTGAGAGTAAACTAGAAAAGAGTAAAACTGATGTCCTTGAATGAGATTTTCCCCCTGTTAAGATGATAGTATTTCTACTCAGATGCAAAGAACATATGATTAGATTAATTAGTGTTATCTTCTTAATTGTTATCAATTCTATGATTATTAACTCTGATTTGTGATTTTTAAATTTCTCTTTCTCTGTTCCAATAATTCAATATGATAAACTCTAGGTCTTTGTTTGGATTTGGTCGTCAACTGTCAATCCAATCATCTTTTCATCTCGGTGATGGTTTCAATTGTTTTCATGGAGATTCAATTTCCAGGCCTTTGTCCAGTTTCACGGTGACCAATGAGAAATCTTTGGATGATGTTCCCTGTGTTTCAAGTATTCCTTATGTTGGGTCGATTCTTCATTACATTGAAGCTTTTGGTGGTCATAATCCAGCAAAGATTCATGAATTATCTGAGAAAAGGTTTCATCAGTTTGGATCTATTTACAAGGAGGACATGAGACTTTTACGTCCCGGTGGTAAATTCATGGTCTGGTTGAACGATGCTAATGATGTGGAAAAGGTTTTTCGATCCGGTGGTAAATATCCTTTGAGAGGAGGTTTTGAATCTCTTACTGTTTATCGAAAAACTCGACCTGATGTTTACAAAGCTCTTGGTTTGCCGATTCTTTCTGGTCCAGAGTGGCAGTCACTTCGTTCAAAAGTACAACCGGTCCTATTATTACCCAAGGTTATGAATGCTTATGCTAAATCATTGAGCTCGATTGCCGATGAAATGATTGGTGTGATACGTGATTTACGAGACAATCAAACAATGGAGATTGAAGATTTGACTGTTGAATTGTATCGATACACATTAGAGTCAATAGCTTTTATCGGTTTGGATAAACGACTAAATTGTCTAAGTGATTATGGTCCCACTCAGAGGGAAATTGTCGCCGCTGTAAAAGAAATGTTTCATTTGGAAGCTAAGCTAAACGATTCTGCTCTCTGGAGAATCGTTGGTCGGCCTATCGGTTCAAAATGGGCTAGATTCTTTGAGATAAATGATCATTTCACTAAAATGGTTTTCGATTATGTCAGCGAAAAGTTGAAACAAATTCTCGCCAATCCAATTAAACAAGAAGACGAAGATCGAAGTGTCCTAGAACTATTTCTTACTCGACCCAATTGTACACCGGAAGATGCGGTCACCATGGTCATGGATATGTTTTTTGCTGGAATCGATACCACAGCTCATTATATTGTTTTCACCCTTCACTATTTAGCCAACAATCCAGAAATTCAGGAGAGAGTTTATCATGAGATTAATTCATTATCAAATGGAACTGGAAATCTTGATTCGGATGGATTAGCACAATTAACTCTATTAAAAGCTTGCCTCAAAGAGACCTCACGATTAACTCCAGTTACTCCAATGTCCATGAGAATTAATCAAGAGCCGATTAACTTATCTGGTTATTCAATTTCTCCTTCATGTTTCATGGTTTTTAATCACTATGTTATGGGCCGTCGACCTGATTATTTCGATGAACCAATGAGATTTAATCCTGATCGATGGATTCGTGAAAGTCCAGGCGAAAATAAATATCATCCTTTTGCAATTTTACCTTTCGGGTTTGGAGTCCGAATGTGTGTTGGCCGGCGAATAGCTGAAATCGAAACTTTGATTCTATTATGTAAAATTATAACCAATTTCAAAGTGACAGCGAAAAGAATTGAATTACCAACATCGATGAACATTATTTCCTATCCTGACAATCCAATGACTTTCACATTCAACGAGCGCCAATCTAACAATTGATCAACAGTTTGTGATCAAAAGATTTTATCAAAATATATTCTTTAAATTCTGAAAATTCCACCAACTAAACGCTGATTGTCTATGATTATCATTCTCCTTCCCAACTTTTATGATCATTCATGATCTTTTCTCTGAACTTTCATGAAGAAAAAAGTTAATATTCCGCCAATAATAAATCATCTTAATTTCACATTGATTTTGAATAAAAAGTAATGAGAAAACTTGGAAATATCTTTAGTTATATAGTTTATTTATTACCTTTGGATAGTAAATTTGAGACTAAATTGAATTCTCAATATCTTTTAAACTGATTAATTTAAATAGATTATGTTTTCGAAATAAAATAGATAAACTATTCAGACTTGATCTTGTCTCGAAAAAAATGAGAAATTCAATCAGAATCAAAAATGTCGAAGATCAAACAACGTGAAGTGTTTAAATTTTGTGCAAAACTGTTCGAAAAAAGTTCTCATCATGAAACAAGAATTGAATTAGTGAAAAAATTCATGTCATTTGGTGTCTCTAGAACTACCAGTTATAGAATTTATAACAAGTTAATCAATAATATCACCGAAATTCGAAAACCAGGATCAGGATTAAGTAAATCAAAGTTTAATAATATTAATGTGGCAAAGATAAAACGAATGACCATCAATCGAGTTTTTCCTGGTTTTCGAGCAGTCGGAAGGAAAATTAATGTCCATCATTCTACGGCCAAAAAGTATATGAAAAAAATAGGAATCGAAGTTAAATATTAATTATATAAAAATAATTCGTGCAGATAAATTGAGTGTAGAAAGTGCAATTCATTAGATTGATTGATAATCTCACCATCTTGAAAAAATGATAAGTTCTCGCTGAATATTAATAAAAATATGATTTTTTGAATTTTGTCTCAAATTTTCTTATTAAAATCGGCAGAAATCTTAGTCGGGTCGTGATCGACTCACGAAAATAACGACTTTCTATTATTCGACTAATATGTTGATGTCCGATTAATTAGTCAACTATTTTGACGAACCATTGAAATTTAATCCTGATCGATGGGTTCGAGAGACTCGAGGAGACAACAAAGCTCATCCGTTTACAGTTTTACCTTTCGGACATGGACCTAGAATGTGTATCGGCCGACGAATCGCTGAACTGGAAACACTCACCTTATTGAGTAAAATTGTTTTCAACTTCAAGACGAAAGCAAAAAGTTCAGAGTTGAAAACATCTCTCATGGTAATCTCATATCCCGATAATCCAATGGCCTTTTCCTTTCACGATCGTAATCAAATGAACTAATCACAACTTTCATCTTGAATGAATCAATTGTTTGCGGAAACTTTACTCTACTAAATTAATTTGCTAAATTGATTGTTGTATATTTTTTTCTTATGATTGAAAATCGAATTGATAATAAGTGAATTGGATTATCGTTAACAACGTCAGTTGAAGCTAATTGTCAAAACATCTATTGTTCAATGGAAAGATACAACTAAAGGATTATCCAGTTAATCGTATTAATTAACTTGGCGTCTCAACAGACAATTTATCAGTTATTCTCATGAAATTATGATCAAATTAATCTAATGATTGAGATTTACGTTCATTAAGCCTCTCGATTAATCCGAGGACGATCATGATAAATTTGATATATTTTATTTTTTCTCAGATGTCGATTCAATTGTAATTAGTTTTTAGACAAAAGTGATTAAAGTGAAACTTTTTCCAATCGTTCTACTGAGACAAATCAATGGTCATGGATAAATTGGAGGAAAATAATTCGAATCATGATCGAAGTGGCCTAAAGAAACCTCTGATTCCATATCGGTATTTTGTAATGTTCATGGTTCTAATTGCGGCAACGGTAATTTTGGCCGTTAGATGTACAATTAATGTGGCAATGATTGCGATGGTTGGTAAATCAAAGGACAACAATTTAACTGGAACAATTAATGAGAAACACTTTGATTGGAATCAACGTGAACAAGGAACCATATTGGGCTCTTATTATTATACTTATGCGACAATTCAAATTTTTGCCGGACTTTTGGCCGATAAATTTAACGTTGTCCATTTATTGGCCTTATCTCAAGTGATCGCGACCCTTTGTACTTTTGCCATACCAGTGGCCGCTTCATATTCAATTTATCACTTAGTTGCAGTACGAATGACCATGGGCTTGGTCCATGGGGTCACTTGGCCGTGTTTGTATAATCTAATTGAAAATTGGTTTCCACCCACCGAAGTTGGACTTGCTCAAGGTTTGGCCGCCGCTGGTTCTGATTTTGGTACCGCTTTAACCTCCGTCTTTGCCGCCTGGATAAGTACACGGGGAATCTGGGGTGGTTGGCCTGCTGCTTTCTACTTCATGGGAATAATTAATCTCGTCTTCGGCCTCATTTGGGCAACAATGATCACTCGAGATCCATTTTCCAATCGATTTGTGTCCGATCATGAGAAACAACAATTATCTCTGATCGTTACTAATAAGAAAGTCAAACAACCAAAGGTAATCTACTTTCTTTTCCCGTTACACTGATTTAGTCGATAATTAATTGATTCTTACAATTGAATTTAGATTGCAACTCCTTGGATTAAGATTCTTACATCATTACCCCTTTGGTCCGTTATAATTACCAAGGGTACTATTGGATTAGCTTATTCAGTGATTAACAGTAAGATTCCAGTTTATCTTGATTCGGTTCTCGGTTATAAGCTTGAAAATAATGGCCTGATCAATGCGCTTTTTTATATTGCCGTTGGTTCATCGCAACTTGTTTGTGGCCCATTATCAAAGTACATAATTACCAAAGGTTGGATCGGTAAAACTATAACCAGGAAACTTTTTGAAACTATTGGTAAATATAATCAACGGTGAGAAGTTGAAATTTGATTAATTTTGTCGGTTGATTTGATTCCAGCTCTTTCTGGTATAATTGCAAGTTTAATCACAGTTTGTTATCTTGGGGATAATGCCCGTTTAATTGTGGTCTGTTTGGTTATGTCCATGTTTTTTTATGGGTTCAATTTGGGCGGTGATGTGCCCATAGTGCCAGAAATGGCTCCACATTTGGTTGGAACGGCTTTTGGATTCGCAAATACATTGGCCTGTGCTTCGGGTTTCATTGCTCCTGCTTTAATCGGTGCGATTCTTGGGGATGAGGTAAGTTTCAATCATCATTAATTATCCCTTGAAGATCAACTAATCACTGTTTTTAATCAGGCGGGTTCACAAGCTAAATGGATTCTCGCTTTTCAAATTGTCGCTGGATTACAATTTGTAGCCCTCATATTGTTTGGTACTTTTGCCACCGCCGAACCACAATCTTGGGGTAAAATTAAAGATCCAAATGAAAAAGATGAACCCTCGGTGTGGATACAAAAAATTGACAACAATTAACGGCAATTAATCAACTCTCTGTTCAATTAAAAATCTCTAAATCAAAATGAAACAATTTAACGTGACATTTGATTGATTCAATGTTGATAATTTATTTCCACTCCTTAATGACGACTAAATTGTACTGATAATTAATAATTTATGTAAGTTGATTAATCGCTATCTGTATGTACACCCTACTGATTGTTATTTATGTAACCTAGACGAAGTTGATTAACAAATTGTTTCCCAAGAAAATCACCGATCAATGTAACAATCATGTAGATCATTAACTTGCCATCACTTGATTTTGTTTGATGAGTGAGAAAAAAATTGTTAATGTAAATCAATCAGCGATTAATGTAGTTTGTTAATTGTTTCAACCAAGAATCTGAATCATGCCAAAATTAGAGGAAGATGAAGTTTTCCTTGATCATCAAATTTGCTCAAAGAAACCATTGATTCCTTATCGTTATTTCATCATGTTCATGGTCTTGGCAGCGACAACGGTACTTTCCGCTGTTCGGAATACAATTAATGTCGCAATTATCGCAATGGTTGATGACCCAACGGATGAACATTCAACGGGAACAATTAACACAACCAGAAACCAGCAATTTACGACTCAGGTAGGTGAAACTTAGAGTGTTGTTTATGGTGTAGATTAGTTAATGTTAGAGTGATTAATTTTCTCGTGATCAGCAATTTGATTGGAATCAACATGAACAGGGAATCATTTTGGGCTCATATTATTACACTTATACTGCGATTCAAATTTATGCTGGAAATTTATCTGATAAGTTCAATGTCGTCCATTTAATGGCCTTAACTCAGTTGATTGTAACTCTTTGTACCTTCATCACTCCGTTGGCAGTTTCATTTTCAATTTATTACATGATCACGATTCGTATGATCATGGGATTAGTTCAAGGGGTCACTTTTCCGTGTTTGTATAACATGATTGAGAATTGGTTTCCACCCACTGAGTTAGGGTTCGCTCAAGGTTTGGCCGCAGCGGGTTGTGATCTTGGTTCAGCGTTAACCTCCATTTTCACTGCTTGGATAAGTGAACGGGGAATTTGGGGCGGTTGGCCTGCTGCTTTCTACACAATGGGTATGTTCAATCTCGTTTTCGGCCTTGTTTGGATGGCGATGGTCACACGAGATCCATTTTCGAATCGATTTGTTTCCGATTATGAGAAGCGTCAATTGTACCATATTGTTCAAAACACCAAAACGGAGCAACCAAAGATCAAATCAACGCCTTGGATTAAAATGATCACCTCTTTACCCCTTTGGTCAGTAATTATCACCAAAGGGATCATTGGATTAGCTTATTCAGTGATTAACAGTAAAATTCCGGTTTATCTTGATTCGGTTCTTGGTTATAAGCTTGAAAATAATGGACTAATTAATGGACTTTTATACATCGGTTCGGGATCTACACAACTCACTTGTGGTCCAATATCAAAGTACTTGATTGCCAGAGGTTTGATTGGCCGAACAGCGACCAGAAAACTTTTCGAAACAATTTGTGAGAAATTAATAATGTTCATGTTTACTATCAACTTTTAATTTCTAATTCATTTTTCATTCAGCTCTTTCTGGGATAATTGTAAGTCTGATCGCAGTTTGTTATCTTGGTGATAACGCTCATCTAATTGTGACCTGTTTGATAATGTCCATGGTTTTTCATGGAGTCAATTTGGGCGGTGATGTGCCCATTGTAGCGGAAATGGCCCCAGGTCTTATTGGGACAACTTTTGGATTCGCAAATACCATTGCGAGTGCTTCGGGATTCATAGCTCCAGCTTTGATTGCTGTGATTCTGGGAGATGATGTAAGTTTGTTACTAATTTTCTTGTTAATTAGACAAAAAATGAACAATTCTTTAATTATAAATCGTTAGGCGGGTTCACAAGCTAAATGGATTCTCGCTTTTCAAATTGTCGCTGGACTACAATTCGTAGCACTTATATTATTTGGTATCTTCGCCACGGCCGAACCACAATCTTGGGGTAAAGTTGAAAATTTACATTTAGACGAACCAGTCAGTCGATTATCCCAAGAATCGGAAAAGATTCAAGAAATTAACAACAATTAAGTTATGAAAAATGTTCATTTAAAAGTCTATGTAAATATTTAGGTGACAATTAAAACTTAATAACATTTTACTACAATTCAATTGATTCAGATACATTAGTTTTTGATTTTGATAATTGACTTGATCTATTTTTAAAAAAATAAATATTTTATGTTACAGATCAAAATAATTAAGTTTGTACATACAATTGATTTAAGAAATCTGACTAGTCGATTTGATTACGATTGTGAAAGGAAAAGGCCATTGGATTATCGGGATATGAGATTACCATGAGAGATGTTTTCAACTCTGAACTTTTTGCTTTCGTCTTGAAGTTGAAAACAATTTTACTCAATAAGGTGAGTGTTTCCAGTTCAGCGATTCGTCGACCGATACACATTCTAGGTCCATGTCCGAAAGGTAAAACTGTAAACGGATGAGCTTTGTTGTCTCCTCGAGTCTCTCGAACCCATCGATCAGGATTAAATTTCAATGGTTCGTCAAAATATTCCGCTCTTCGACCCATAGCATAGTGATTAAGGACCAAGAAACAATGAGCAGGAATCGAGTAACCGGATAAATTGATTGGTTCTTGATTGATTCTCATGGAAATAGGAACGACTGGAGTTAATCGAGAGCTCTCTTTGACACAAGCTTTTAATAGAGTTAATTGTGCTAATCCATCCGAGTCAAGATTTCCAGTTCCATTTGATAATGACTTTATTTCTTGATAAACTCTCTCCTGAATTTCTGGATTGTTGGCTAAATAGTGAAGGGTGAACGCAATCAGATGAGCAGTTGTATCGATTCCAGCAAAAAACATATCCATGACCATGGTGACCGCATCTTCTGGTGTACAGTTAGGTCGAGTAAGAAATAGTTCGAGGACACTTCGATCTTCGTCTTCTTGTTTAATTGGATTGGCGAGAATTTGTTTCAACTTTTCGCTAACATAATCGAAAACCATTTTAGTGAAATGATCATTTATCTCAAAGAATCTAGCCCATTTTGAACCAATAGGCCGACCAACGATTCTCCAGAGAGCAGCTTCGTTTAGTTCAGCTTCCAAATGAAACATTTCGCTCACTGCGTCCACAATTTCCCTCTGAGTGGGACCATAATCACTTAAACAATTTAGTCGAGCATCTAAACCCACATAAGCTATAGATTCTAATGTATATCTGTATAATTCGGGAGTAAAATTTTCAATTTCCATTGTTTGATTGTCCCGTAAATCACGAATCACATTAATCATTTCTTCAGCAAACGAAGAGATTGACGAACTATAATTGTTCATGATTCTTGGTTGCAATAGAACTGGTTGAACTTTGGAACGGAATGAATGCCAATCAGTTCCATTAAGTACAAGTAGTCCAAGAGCTTTGTAAACATCAGTTCGAGTTTTCCGATAAATTTCAAGTGGATCAAAACCACCACGAACAGGATACTTACCACCAGATCGATAAACTTTTTCTATATCATCAGCATCATTCAACCAAACGGCATATTTACCAGCGGCTCTTAAGATCCGCAGATCCTCACAATAGATTGGCCCATATTTATCTAACCTTTGCTGGGATATTTCATGAATTTTGGTTTGATCATGACCACCAAAGGCTTTAATATAATGATGGATAGTCCCAATGAAGGGAAGAGCTGATATTGAGGGCATATCATTCAACGATTTAACATTGGCCATCGTGGAAGTGGACAAAGGCCTGACAACTAAATTTCCATCGTTAGGTTTACCATCAGCAATGGTTGTCGATGATTGGAACATCAGTTGACGACTCAATCCAATTACAGTTCGAGAATGTAACATGACTTGTTGGAAGCTAAGAAATCAAGGAAACAAAAATACAATTAGAAAACAATTGAAGAAGCTAATTAGTTAATCTAATTCACTGGACAGAAAAATTTAAAATGTCGTTGAGAGACAAAAAGAATTGAATAGAAAAGGATTCAAGGGCATTGATTAATTATTTCTATAAACATTTAATCTCCTCTTTCTCGTTTTAATTGAGTTATCAGATCGACAAATGAATCTTTATTCAAGAGTAAATGAATAGAAGCTCAAGACAAAATTAAAGATTCGTTAGCAGTTAATGTAAAGATTGTTGATTCAATTCAAAGTAGAAACAATGTAATTGAACATGGATGAAAATTCTAGAATTTTCATCAACAACAATTAGAGAAACAATTCCTTAAACAAATTAACCAAATGTATTCTAATATTTACATTGGACAAAGATTTTAATGAAAACAATTAGCAAAAAAAAAAATACTTACCAGTTGAATTAAAAACTTTACAAATCAACAAAACAGGTTAAAAATAAATCAAGTTAATCAGTAACTTGATATAAATTCTCCTTGCAGGTGAATTAAAAGTAACAACAGCTCAACAATTAACTAAATATTAATTAGTTAAAACAAGTAGAAAAAAACACAATCAATAAAAAAAGAGAACAGAATTTTAATTCATCACTAGTAATGATAATTTCTTTTGGAAAAAGAAAACAATTACTAGAAAACAGACTTGAACCCCCTAAACCCACACAATTAAAGTAAAACAATTAAATAAAACAAAGGTGAAAATCAGACGAGAACTAATTAACCACAATCAAAGAAATTAAATTAAATTTTCTCAGCTGTTGATTAGCCAAAAGTTACCGGTTTCTCCACCCGAATAACCGGTAAACTTTCCGGCAAAAGAACAAAATTTCGAACAAGAGATGGAGCCACTTTCACATTCTTCTCTTTTAACTGTTACTTTTATTTCTGTTTCCTCTGAATTACATTCAGTCAATACTCAGATTGTTCATCTACTATCATCATCCTCATCATCTAATTAATTACTCTTTGGTAAAGTAATATTATTCTAAATTATTGATTAATTGATTCGGTGTTTTCTCATTTATTTGTGTTCTGTTAATTGTTGACAGTGTCTTTGTCTTGTTGTTGTTTTAATTTCTTTTCTCTTACCATTGAAAGAGAAAATAATTTTCTTCTAAAAAAAAAAAAAGAAAATAGAATATAACAAATATGGAAGTTGATCTTTTAACTGCATCAGTTTGTGTCTCCGTGGCCCTTGTCTCAGCTGCATTTGTCTACCTTGGTTCTGTTTTTATTATAAAGGAGAAAACTTATGATGAAGCAATTGAAGAAAGGAAACAAACCTTATTAAATTTTGGTGAAAGTAAAGGCGGTGGTGGTGGTGGTAAGAAAAATGATTCCAAATCAAAGAAAGATAAAAAGGATAAGGATAAAGAGAAGAAGAAGAAAAAAAATGATGACGTAAAAAGTAATGTCAGTGGTCCTGTCACTGCCCCTGTTACCTTACCTGTCACAGTTGCTGTTGCCGATACTGTTTCTGGTACTATCTTAGGATCTTCAGTTAATATCCCCGCACCAGTACCGGTTAATAAGGTAGCAAATAAAACTGCTGCTAATAAATTGGTTACTAAATCGATTGATAAAACTGAATCATTGAAATCTGTTGGTGGTGCTGAGGGTTTACCTGCCCGAGGTCCAACCAATCCACCACACTCAAAAGGTACATCAACTGGATCATCTGTTGGTGTTACCAAAGCCGAAACTAGTACTGTCAGTGAACCCATTGTTGTAGCTTCTCTTGCAACGGTCAGTGGCTCTGTTGCCGGTGGAAATGTTTCCTCAGCTACCGGTGGATCAGGAGGAGGAGGAGCAGCAGCATCAGCATCAGCAGGGGGGAAGAATAGACCCACCTCAAAATCTAAAGGCTCTCACAAGAATGGTTCTGGTAAGTTGAATGTTCTCTTAAACAATCTGAATAATTTTTTTCCTCTACAACTCTCAACTGATCAACTTTTTTCTTTCTCTACTTCTTTTCTAATTGTTCACCGTTTAGATGTTTTAGACTCTGGTTTGTCCACTAAAAAACTGATTGATCAGGTTAGCAATCATCCATTTGATGCTGAGGAAATTCAACTTTTGATCAATGTTCTACTTAGTCGACAAACTGATGGATCAAACCAATGGAAAAAGGTATGTGTGAGAAACCCAAAGGTTACACAAACAAACACTTTACGTGTTTATCAATTTGAATTATAATTAACTTTTAATGGTTGGTGTGTGTTCCCTTTCTCTTATCTTTTTTCTTCTCTCTCTCTCTATCATCACCAATCTTCATAATCTAGAAACATGATCCAATGGAAGCTGTTAAAGAACAATTACATGAAAAAGAACAAGAAGTTGCCACATTATCACAGAATCTTCAAGCAACCCGAACTCGTATGAAGGAGATTCGTTTAGATTTGGAACGTGAGAAAAGTACTCATGCTATGACCAAAGAGAAATTATCTCAACATGGAACCGAGATGAATAATTTGAGAAACTCTTTACAACAGGTTATTGAACAGCAAAGGTTAGAGGTTAAAATTTTACAAAACAAATTGAAAGATCACGATGCTGACCTTCAAAATCGTCATATGGCAATGCAAAGGATGGAAAAAGAAAACGTTAACCTACAACTTGCCCTACAACAAATGGATGCCCAAAAAGCTAATCTGGAAAATATTCCTTTACTTCACAATGAGATTGATCGATTGAGAGCTGAATTAGCTCAAACTGAACATCATTCGCAAGCTATTCAACAGACCAACGATGAGCTTCTTCGTAACATCGATAAACTATCAGAACAAATTCAAACTCTATCCACATCTAAACAGAATGAGGAGTATTCCCTTAAAAAGAAACTAAATGAATTACTTGAACAATTAAGGCAACATGATTCGAGTAAAGCTGCTCTATTAGATGATTACAAATCATCTGTCGATAAATGTAAACAAATTGAACAGGAGAAACAAATGATGGAGAAAAAAAGTGAAGATGAATTAAATAATCTACGAGATAAAATTCGTGAATTGGAACGTGAAAAGGATCGTCTACAAGAAGCTTCAAATAACAAGGCTTCATCAGATGAAGAGAAAGATGGTATCATCTCTCGTCTCAAAGATGAGATTAATAACTTAAACAATACAAGAGGAAAAATGGAGGAAGAGCTAAACCGAGTTAATAAGACTGTTGATACAATTAAAGAGGAATTGGAACAAGTAAAGAAAGAGAGTCAAGTTAAAGTTAATGAAGCTTTTACTAAATCACAAGCATCTTTTGAGGAGCAGCTCAAAAAAGAATTGGAAAAAGTGAACACAGACAAAGAGAGCTTAAAGAATCAAATTGCTGATTTAAGTAAAGTTAAATTATCACTTGAAGATGAGATGAAACAATTACGAAAATCATTACACTCATTTAACCAACAAGAAGATGAAAATATTATTAATATTGTGGACAAATTAACCCTCGAAGTATGTGACCTGCGAAAACAGAAAGAGGATAATTCACAGAATGAATTATTAGAGAAAGAAATATCTTCTCTAAAAGGTAATTTAAAATTGGAACAAGAGAAACTAGAAAAAGCTCAAGCAGAGGCTGATAAATTTAAAGATGCTCTAAGTAAAACAGTAAGTAGCCAACAATTAACTCTTACCAATTTGTACCAATTTACCTAAATTTTTAATTGTTACCTATTTTCTTTTTTTTTATTCATCTTCTTCAAACAGGATGATTACCTAAAGGAGTTAGAGCAAAAATCAAAAGAGGCATTTGAACAATCAACAAGTGCAACGAAAGAGTGTCAACGACTACAAGAGTTAACCACTAAATTGGAGGTTGATAAAAGCGCTCTTGAAAGTAAACTCTCCCAAGTGGATAATCTGAAAGAGACTATTAAACAACTTCAAGCCAAAAATGATGAGCTTCAAGCAAAATTAGATGATAATAATAGTAATAGTAACATTAAAAGTAAAGTAGTGGAGGTGATACATGAAGAGATACCCACTCAAGAAAATGGCAAAGAGGAAACAAACGGTAAAATGGGAGGCGGTGGTGTTGGTGTTGGTGTCGGTGGTGATGATGCTAATGAAGAAACCGATATGAATAATGATGAGGTAAGTATCATTTTCTAATAATAATAGTAACAATTAAACTTGCGACTTGATCTCTACTTTGCTATATTATTATTCATCTTAAAAGATATGACAACATGAGATAAATGTCTGCGTTTTATAATATCAATTGTTAAAACACAAAAGTTTTAATCATTTTGATTAATTTTTAATCTAATTTAAAAACGATTGCGCTATTGTTGGATATTATCTTCCTACTCTCCATCTTTTTGCTCTCTATCTTCTTGCTCTCGTGGCTTTTGGGACTATTTGTGGCCAATAGTTAATTTAAACTTTCAATTTCTTTCATTTTGAGATTATAATTGTAATTATACAATTTTCTCACTCAATCTAATTTATTATCTCTTGCATATTTACATGTTACCTATTAGTGATTGATAGTGTGTTCTAAGTGTGACTTGATCATGTACAAACAACTTTCCATGCTTAACATTATCAGTTATCTTTAGATGAATCAAATCAAATCCAATCCAATCAATCAATCAATTATGTTTGTTTTACAATTTAATGTTTTTCTTGATAATTTCAATGTCTCTCTGTTTATCTTAACTTTCTTGCTTAGGTATTAAGTAACTTTTTGATTGATTCAAGTCAAAAATTGATTTCATAATCAGTATTTTTTTATTAGTTATCATTGCTAAATTGCTTTGGATTAAAGATTTGAAAGAGAGTAACACTTACAAACTGACCATTGGTCAGTGAGTAAAATCCTCTTTAAGATTAAGGTAAAGGTAAGATGATTTCCACTTGCACTTGGTCAGTTTTTAAGTGTTACTCCTTTTAGATGAGCTTTCTTTTAACCTGCTCTTGTAATTGCCCTTTGATTTTAGCTTGATTTTTTTACCAAATTGTTACTAATTCTGTTAACGATTTAGAAAGTTGTTCTCTGCTGCTGGTGATTAACGAATCTTCCAAATCCTGACAATTAAACTAACCCTCTCCTTCCCTTTGGTACTAACAAAGAAAAGAGAGAGAGAAAAAGTGATTATGTTTAACAACCCAATTACTAACCTTACTAATCCTTAAAACTTGGTTGGGAACAATTAAAAACGATTCGAGGTAAGAGATTGACCAACAAATTAATTTTCAATTAGATTTGCATGTTGTAATTTGTATTAGTAAATTTTCAAGTCTCTTCTCAATCAATAATTCAGAGTTGTAATTGCTACATATCTCAACAATTACTGTCAGTCTAATTTATTTGTTTGTAATCTAATTACTATCCCACAATTTAGATTCACAATGTTTTAACAATTACCACTTGTTAACTTAACCAAATTAAGTTGATTGTAAAATAGAAACCAAATAACTTTAATCCAGTTTCCAATATAAAACCCAATCGTTTTAATCCAACAATATACTGATCGATAAGTAATTAAAAAACAATCTAAAAATTTTCCAGTTGTTATTATATCAAAATAATGATAATAATTAATCTTATTAACAGTAAATCTGTTTTAAAATTAAGATTTCAACTAATTGATTGTTTGTAACAAGCCAACTAATAACATTTACTTTATATATTAATAGGGATTAGTAGGTAAATCAGGTATGCAACATAAAACCAAGAAATATAATTAATAATGTTAATATTTATTAATAATATTTTTACAATTTGTGAATTTTGATTATTATGACAAGCAGAAAAACGTAAACATAATAATAATGATTCACTAATGATACATTGATGATGATCTATCAATCAAATTGTTACCAATATGATTCCAATTGAAACAAAATCCGTGACACTATGTTTTCATTCACTTCTCTTCAGGTCAGGTTAACATCTATATGAAAACAACATCCTCTTCTTAAATTATAATCACGGTTGATATCAAATATTATTCCGACCTTTTAAACGGCGGCCCAGTTATTTCGGAATCGATGTTGTCCATCAATTAAAACAATAAAATAAACAATCAACATTTCTACCTTTCATCTACTTCTCTCAAGGTCAGTCAATCCTCTCCTTCTCATGCTAATCCATCATCATCATCATCAACATCATCATCAGAACAACAACAACAACAACAATTATCATTATCATTATTAACTAATGACAATGATAATCAATTGAATTCTCTTGATACATTTATATTTAAATTATTATTACCAAAGATAGAAACAAATGAATTAAAAAATCACTGATAATCAATGTTAGTTATTTTTTATGGAAAAATAATTAACTTTGATAATTATCTCGATTCTACAAATGGTTCATCTGTCCCGAGATCCCAAGTTGCCTTTTCTCATGAATCTAATATTTCTCCATCATATTAATCACTGAATCTTTTTCATTCTAATCATTGAATACTCTTAATTGTTCCAATCTTATTAATATTGACCTTTTGTCTCTTATTCTCTAGAAATCCAAAAAGAAGAGTCCGAAATGGAAGAAGTGGGTTGGAAAAATCAGCTCTTAAGGTAATTAAAGTTCTAAAAACAATTGATTCCAATCATTAATATCAATTCGATTAACTAATACGATGAATTTTCCTTTTTTTTTCAACAGAATGAATTTCAACACTTTGCATGCTAAGGAGACTATCTTTTTGTATTTATCTGTGATCTATTCAGCTCTCCCAATCTATTGAAACAACAACCTTTATAATAACCTCAAGAGCAGAGGTTGAAAACTCCTTATGTAAAAAAAAGATATTACTATTAATGCCTATCGTTGGTTTATTTATATCATCATCATCATCTTCATCACCACCACCAAAATGATCATCAGTATTTTCTCAATGTTAATTTTCACCAGGTTGTTATTACCAAAAAGAAAAGCGAAAATGAAACAAGAACGGATTAGGAAAAATCAATGGAAACAATAATTAAACTTACATTTTGATGGCATTTAATTTTCTCCCTTTTGATTTTGGATTGAGAAGATGGATTCTATTTTCGTTTACTATTTATATCACAATTTAAAGATCTTGGAGCGAAGAGAAAAGTAAATTAAAACTGAAACATTGACTTCGGATGGATGAAAATCACTGTGCAACTAAAAACAATTCTCGTTCCTAAATCGAATTGATTTTTCCCCTTCCAGCTCAATTTAATCTCCAGCATTTACATTATAATACATGGAAATGTAAACATACAAGTTAAAAAAAAAGGTTCTCTCGTTTATGGATCATCATATCTTCACCCATAGTTCATCAATCAACTAATCATCATCATTACCAAAACACTCACCCAGATGATCACACAACAACAACAACAATAGAAAACACAACAAACTGTTGATTTCATTCCCGATTCTTAAGAGAGAGAGAGATAGAGTGAGAAGAGACAACAATTAATTGCATTTACTCATCTCTTCATCAACTACAATTCTGTCTCTCTCTCTCTCTATCAAATATAACATGGAAAAAGCAAAAAAAAAATCAATTATAATGAAAAAATTAAGAGGAAAACAAATTTATTGATAATTAACAATTATAATTAACTACAATTTCTACAATATCGACCAAATAAGCATGGGGCCAATCAAGGACGATTTGATATTTGTTATCAACCAAACAACGAAAAAAAAATTAAATTAATCACAATTGAGAAAATAATGAAAAAAAAAATGTTTTTAACTTGTTTTGAAATGTAATCAAGTTTATATATATGAATATAAAGCAAATTAATTATTTCATGATCTGATTTACCATCACAATTAATATAATTATCCTTATTGAGTGTATTGTCTTTTGTTCAACTAATTGTAATTAACCAATGGAACAGTTTATCAACCTTTTACTTTAATCAAATTGATGCTCTCTCACCTTGTGAACAATTAATTATGATTACTGATCATCTTATTACAGTGATTTAAACTCAAGATGATACAATTGATTATGTTTATACAATTTAGGACACGGTGGCGATTTATTAATTGTTTCAATGGGAATTGAACGTATTTAGGACAAAGATTAGATTAACTAATCAGTTAATTATGAGGGTAACGAAAGGGTCACAGTTTTAATTGTTGAAAATGATGGTTACCGGTTGATGTAATTTATTGATTGTTGCTTTATTAACACAATCAATATGATAATAATTGTTGTTAACATTGATTAAGAGAGTTGATTAAAAGCTGTAAAAATATTGCTTCTAATTAAATAACATGACAATAAAATTGATTAATGATTGGTTGTAATAACTTTAATTGTCATTGGAAACAATAATTTTCATGTCGTTTAATTATTGACAATTAACATTGATTATAAACCAATTGATAGGATTTTGGTTGATTGGAGTTAACTTTTTAATAATAATAATTTATGTTTTCTCATAGTAAATATTTAAAACGGTTTCCAAGATATTCTTGATAATTACTAAATTGTTTTGCTAAATTGTATGAGTTTCAGTATTTGATTCATTTTCGCGGATTGGAAAAGATTTGATTAATGTTATTGTAAATTGAACAATCTAATTAAACAACAATTAATGACGATGTTGATTGAACTGTGGATCTTGCTGATGTCACTGATGAGAATTACAAAAAGTGAGTCGTTTTTAATACTCTCTCTCTCTCTCTCTCTCTTTTCATGATGATTTTCATGACAATTCAGCTGCTTATTACCTCCATTGTATTTATTTGTCTCTTTCTCCTCTTTCTTTATCTTCCTTTTCTCATCCTCTCCCACAATTACAACAGGTAAACCTTTTCACTTTCAGTGTTTATCATTGGAACCTGATAGTTTTCCCAGATTGTTTTAATTTCCTTTGATATAATTAATACAATCAACAGTTTGAGACTTTGTTTTTGAACGTGTTGGTTAAATTGATTGTTCATTTTGACCTTAATCAATAATTGTAACAATTAAGTCAAGAAGTGGATAAGGTTCAATATCCGGTGTGTCAATAATTCATCCCAATCTGTACATCAATCGATAAATTGTTAATTAAGAATCACTTTTAGTTTTTATTTTACTCTTTTCGGACAATTAACAATTTGATTATTCATCAAGAAATGTATCTGATTAATTCGTGATAATGAACCCAATTGATCAATCACCAAATCAAGTTCCAATTCTGAATCAGTCTCCCCCGTCGATTGATTCAAGTACCGGTTCCGTTTCAACTGATTCTAATGTAGCGACAATATCGACCTCTAATTTTGTCGCAACTGATGCGACGGAAAATGTTTCGATGTCATCATCATCTTCATCTTCATCTTCATCATCGATTGTCTCTTCATCTTTAGATTCTAATGCTAATAGTAAAGTTGTCTCTTCGATTGATTCCTCACTTTCTCATCCATCGGTCTCACCGAACACCAATAGTAGCGCTCATCCAACGATAATCGGCTCATCTTTGTCCACTTTTCCATCGGTCACTTACTTGACCTCTTCTCGATGGTTAACCTCCCCTTACGCTGCTTGGATCTTATCGGTAACTGGATTTATGATTATTGTCCTTCTCTTTACCCTCGTTTATCAGCGAGTCCGAAAACGTAATCGTAAACTACGTGAATTGCGACACTTGACCCCGGAAGCATCACTTTCACCTTTTGGTTCAAATTCTCGTTCGACCCTTGCCCTTGGAATAAAACCTTCCCATTCAATTGAATTCGTGGTTCCAACCATAACTGTACCCGGAACTTTATCATGTTCATCTTTCGATGATTCATTTACAGATTCTGATTGTCTTCCTTTCACTTCAGGTTCCGATCGAGAGTATCTATCATCAACTTCCGGTAGATCACCTCGAAAACGGCACAACACTGGACAAAACTATTCCCTCTCTCCATACGACATTCAACCTCCCCTTTATGGTTCAAAGGGTGCAACTGGTATGTGTAATTATGGTCTAGTCTCAGGACCACTTCCGGGTTCAGGTTCAGATAAATGGATCGGTCGAGTTGTCTTCGTCCTTCACTATAATCTAAATCGACAGCGATTATTGGTAACCTTACTTTCGGCCTCTGATCTTCCCAATAGTGAGAAACGATCGCACCTTAATCCATCAGCTAAATTAACACTATTACCCTTTAATGATCCTAAATTTTTGACCAAAGTCCACAAGAACACCCGTAATCCGGTTTTCAATGAACTTTTCGTTTTCCCTGCTCGAAAGGACAATTTAGATGAGATCCAATTAAAGATCACTATTGTTGATAATGATCGATTCTCGAGGAAATATTTTATCGGTCAATGTGTTTATAATTTGACCCAATCGGGAATACAAAATGGCCTCAGTTCCGACGTAATCACCGATGAAATAATTTGCACTCTATCAACGGTAAGAACAATAATAATAATCATAACAATAGAAACCCAATTAACGACGCAATTAAATGTCACCATTTACATTGAAAGAATCTGAATCAACTTTCCCTCTAACATCATAAGTAAACAATCAGTTGATTGGAAATTAATATTTTCCAACAATCAAGTAAATCCAATTAACCAAATTAACCACATCAGATGATTGATTAATTGTAAACTTTTTCATCTCTTCTGAATTTTGATCAACAATTTCACCTTTGAAAGTTAATCTGGTTCATGGTTAATTGTTAACCTTATAAATAGTTAAATCTGCATCTAATATACAAATTTAATTAACAGAGGGAAAACAATTAACGTTTATAATGATGATCAGAGAGAGAGAGAAAAAATTGTTTCATTAATGTCAATGTTAATTTATCATTGAAACGATTGCAAGGTAACAATTTATTATTAGGTTTCCATAGACAATTAATCAAATATTCAGGTTCGCATGAATTACAATTAACAAGCTGATTAGTAAATTGTTTCCAACACCAAGAATTGTAATATCTTGTTGACGAATAAATTTTCTAGGTAGACGATTAGATAAATAATATTTAAATGTCGACTTGACGTTTAGATTATATAATAATGTCAACTAATTGTTTCGGTTTTTTTCAATTGTTTCTCTTTAATTATTCCAGGAAAAAACCGCAACTTCACCCGGTGAATTACAAGTTTCGTTATGTTATCGAGCCTCTGAAGCGACATTGACACTGATCGTTATGAAGGCTCGAGGATTAGCCGTTAAAGATGTGACCTCAGGTGAGTGTTAATATTAACCGGTAATTGATTAGAATCAATAATTAATGAGGGAGGAAAACTTTGTGTGATCTTGATTGAGCTGAACAATCAACAAATCGAAGTACAAATCAACTACCTCCATATCCGAATGAATTTCAGTAACAACCAATGAACTTTTCATGGTATCGAACTTGGAATTGATTGCTTTTTTCCTCTTCTTCCATTTAGTTTATCCAAAAGTTTCCCTGTTTTTGGGCAAAAAAAGGATTGGAAGCAAAAAGAGTCCAATACGAAAAGCTTATTCCTCGATTGAGTTTAACGACAGTTTCCATGTCCATATCAAAGACACTGCGATCGACAATGTGAACATTGTAATCACCTTAGTTGGTCGAACCTCAATTGGCCTGAACACGAGACACAATTTCGGTAAAATTTGTCTTGGCGATTGTAACTCTTCCGGTGGTGCAATTCATTGGACTGAGATGATTAAATCGAGTCCAAATCCGATTGTTAAATGGCACTCGCTTAACAGGAACGTCTAAATCTCAATTAGGGATTAACAGATTAGCAGATTAAACAACAAGAAAGATTAACAAACTATTCAATTTAAGAGAAAAGAAAAAGCTATTTTCACATTTCTTATTGTCCTTTAATTTACTGTAATTAAATCATCTTCTAATTAACTCGAATATTAATTTTTACCATTAACTAATGAATCGATTATATTAATTGTATCGATCAAGAATATTTTAATTTTTCAAAGATTCTATTAGATTTTATATCGATCAATTTATCATTCCTAATGATATTATAATGTCCAAGGAATATTTCAACTTGGATACATTTGACAATTAGTTAATTGCTTGGAAATTTATGTTTTCAATCAATCAACACTTAAAAAAAATAGCAATTTAAATTGTTAACCAACAGAAAATATCTTAATGACTTAACCATATGAAGATATTTTTTTTTTGTTTCACTTGATTAACGGAAATAATCAATTAATCATTAGGCTTGATTGTTACTTGTAATCATTAATTGTAATTAGTTTGAATGTTTCCAATCAAAACTCAAGGTTAATCACTCAAAATTATGTAACTTTGCCCATTTAATAACTGATCAAACTAAAAGTAATCACCATTTATCAACTAATTGCCCAATGGTTAACAATAAATGTTTGAAATGATTAACTTAATGTTCATCATTTAATTGATAATTCAATCAACTTAATTAAGATGATTCAATGATATCCAAGTTTCCAGTGTAATTAATTTGTGAGCCCGTGAATAAACTGTGATTAAATTGTTACTTTGATTAATTACAATGAAAATCCGAAGCCGGAGTAAATTTGTTAATCATGGTGATAATCAAATTGATTATGCTAATTGTGTTAATCGTAAGGAGCGGACATTATTTACCAAAGATCAAATCAGTGAATTAGAAAATCAATTTAATCAACAAAATTATTTATCTCGATTACGAAGATATGAAATTGCGATGGCTCTTGATTTAACTGAACGTCAGGTTAGTAATTAAAGATTTTCTTACCTTAATGATTAACTAATTGTCTTGTAAATCATTTGAAAGGTTAAAGTTTGGTTCCAAAATCGTAGGATGAAAGATAAACGTTTCCAAATTAATTTAAAAGACCAGGAAACTGAATCAACGATCATCAATGTTGATTACAATTTACAACAAGAATCAACACTAATTGATTACAATCAACTTGGAGCAATTAATTATTACAACGAACCAATTTGTGAATCAAATTGAAAGCAAAACAAAAAATTGACAACAATTATCATTTACAACAATTTCATTTTACTAATTAACTAAATGTTTGTCCAACAATCAATCAAAATTAATCAAAATGAAACAATGGTTGTTAATTGTTGCTGTTAAATTATAAATCAGTTGAAAGGTAAAAATGTTGATCCATTGTTAATTATTGATTATATTGATTGACCACAACAATGAAACAATGGTCAAGAAAATTAATTGTCCTCCTATGATGATAAGAATCAATTTGATCATCCAAGTTAATTAAAAATCTCGTCATTGATTAATTGTTTGTTGGTTAATCAACATTGTGTTTAAATCTTAAGTGTTGATTTGTTTCCAATTTGGATTAAAGTTTAAAGATCTTAATTGATTAATTGAATTGTTATCATGGTCGCTAAAAAGGAAGCCAAACCGAAATCCGAAGAGGCCGAAAGTAAGGCTTCCGCTTCCGACATGGACAAAGGTGCTGAAAGTAAAGTTTCCGCCGTTTCGAGTGGACTTTCCGACGCTGGTTCAAGTGCTACATCTAAATCCGATACTGGATCTAAGGTCGGTGGTCGTCCTTCCCGATCTAAATCAAAGGTCGGCAAAGGTAAATCTAAATCTCGATCTCGATCGAAAGCATCAATGTCGGATGCCGGTGGAAGTAAGTCTCGAGCATCAAGTCGTGGACGAAAACGAGGTGGAAAAGCTCGTGGCGGGGCTCGTGGTGGTAAAAGCAAAGGTCGTAAATCAAGTATGAAGGGGAAATCGGCGATGGGTAAGAAAGCCGGTCGAGGAAAAAGTCGTGGCCGAGGTCGAGGCCGAGGTGCAGGACGAAAATCCCGATCCAAATCTCGAGCTCCAAAATGAATTCAAGTTCAACAATCAAGTCCAACGATTTGGAACAATTTGGAAAAAATCAACAAAAACATAATTACTCTTCTTCTCTTCATCATTTAATCAACTCTTAATTTCCTCCTAATCCTCTTCATATTAATCACAATTAAAGAAACAGAATAATAATAAACAAATTGAGAAAATGAGCTCAAAGCTTTTCTTGTCAAAATTATTTCGTTAATTAAAATGATTTTTATTTTGGTTTCTTTGATTGTTGTATATATATTAAAAGTGGAATTAAAATCAATTTATAATTGTTACTATGATTAGAAAATCAACTTTTACCTTCTCAATTTGTTTTCAACAAATTAACAGGAACAAAATTAACAATTTATATTTACTAATTATCAACATTGATAAAACAAAAGGTTAAGGTAAAAGTTAATCATGAATTAGTGTTTAAAAAGTCAATTACAGTTACAATTAGAGTGAAACAATTTAAATGATTAAATTGAATCACCTTAATTGATGGAAACAAATCAGAGTTGTTAATTAAGTTAAAATCAATATATAATAATAATAATCAATGTACAATTAGATTGATATTTCTGTATATTTATGTAAATAATAAGCCTTTGATTTCTGATTGTGGTAAAAAAATCAAATTAAATCAACTCTCTCTCTCTCTCCTTTGGTAAATTGTTGGCACCCAATTTGATATTATTGTAAATTAATTTTAATTGAAACAGGTCTTGTTCCCGTTGATGATGAAGTTGTTAATATTGTTGCTGATGATTCCTTGTTAATTTCATTGTTAATTGTTAATCCATTGGTTATAATTTCATTTCTTTCATCTCCAACACCGACAATTGTTTTACCATCAACAGTAACCAAATTTGATTTAGTATTAAAATGATTAGATGACTCATTCTCATGTCCATCAATACCATTAGATTGGTCAGTATGATTACTGTTATTAATTAGGAATCTATTTTTACAGGAATTATGTGATTCGTAGCTTGATATGGTCACTATCGGACTGCTTGAGGCCTTTTTAACCGGAACCGGAGGTGGGATCAACTTTTTACATGGACTCGTGGTCCTAAGGATGGTCACTGTTTCCCCGTTTGAATTGGTAATTGATTGTTGAATAGGAGGTGGTATTGATTTAGTTGAAGTAACTGGACCCTTGATGAGCTTATTTTTATTATTGTTTTGTAAATGATGACCATTGATGATATTATTATTATTGGTGACGCAATTATTTGAATGGTGATTATTATCATTTGAATGGTTTGATTGTCCATTTGTTACGTTTCCATTGATAACATTTGGTTCACATTTTAAATGTTTTAACTTTGATTCTTGGGTTTGTTGATTAGTTTTTCCGTTAATCTGTTGATTAGATGATAATTTCTCATCTTTATTGTTTCCATTGATTAATCCGTTACTCTTGATCACTTCACGAAGTTTTCTCTCTCCCGATCCGAACATTTTTGAATGAGCAGCTCTAAACTCTTCCATTAACAATTCTAAATGATTAAAAACAGAAAGAAATACAAATAATTAATCATTTCGGATAATAACAATTCAAGAATAGAATAGATTATATAAGAGAGTAACAATTAATAATTGACAAAAATTTGAAAATCAATCAAATAAAACGACTGAAAACAATCATTAAAATAATCATCACCATTAACAATTTCAATTGTAAACAATTAAATCTCAAATCAAGGTTAATAATCAACCGGTAAATTACTTTAAAAGTTATCGTAATTACTATTAATATAATGAATAATTAGAAATCTAAACAATACTAATGATCAACAGGTAAACAATACATTACGTTAATAACGATCTTGTAATATTTACACAATCAAAGTTAATTGTTAAAACCACAGTAATAATTATTTATTGAATGGGAGATTCAAAAGGTAACCTGTGAAATTGATTCAACAATCAACAATTAACAATTTAATGTCAACCTCTTTGATCAAGGTTGATCATTAAGTTTATCTAAATCTCAATTAGTGTAAATATTAATTTCACTTTTGTTAACCACTAAAAACAATAAAACATTACCGTTAATATGGTAACAACAATTTGAAACGGTTATGATTAAATTTCAAGGATTAATTGTAATCATTTAAACAGCATAAAGATTAAATTGTTTACCATCATTATTAAAATATAGATTACAATTAAGAGGTTGATCGAGAAAAAAGTAATCAATATAATATTACCTTTTATAATAAAAAGCTTCTTATCAATCAATGAATCATTCATTCAAAAAGGTAATAATCAACTACTAAATTGAGTTAACAATTAACAGGTAAACAATTAATTCCTGATTCTCATATATAAAAAAAAAACTATTAATCTTGTTGCTCAAACTTGCAATTTATATGACCAACAATTAAGTGTCTCAATGAGCTGTTACTATTAATATTGTTTCTATGAGAAACTTGATGATTGTCAAATTGATTTTGCCAATTAGTTAATTGTTGGAACATTATAATAATGATAATAATCAACAGTTCCATGAACATTACCGTGTCGCTTTCGGTTCTCATCATCTTGGCCTGAGATACAACTTGTTTTCGGGCCTTTGGTTAACATTTTCTCGAGGTTTCGAGTTTTGTTAAGTGTATCGGTGATCAGGCCATTTTCTGAGCTTCGTTTTTCCGCTAATTTTTTAATCTCATCGAGAAAACCCATTTGTGAATTTGATCCATTTGATGAAGAAATCGATGGATTTCCGCTTCCGGAGATCGTACTTGTAGATGAGATTGATTTGGAATCGTCTTGTGGCTTCAAATTTTCCAATTGTTTCCTAATAATAACAAATACGAAGAAAATAACAACAATTAGATCAAACAATTTATATATTAAATTGCATCAGGTTATTGACAATTAAAACTCTAAATTCAATAAACTACAAAATCATTGTGATTATATTACACATCTCATTCATATTGCATAATTAAAAAAACTAATTGTGACAGTTGATATAATTCACTAGCTAGACATTAATTGTTAATTATTCAGCTTACAATCTGTCCTACAATTAATTTATCCCAGTTTAATTGTTACCAATGGTAAATGTCATTTTAACAAACAAGTTCAATCACTTGTACAACTCAATTTGATTATAACAACAATTAGTTAACCACAACGGTAAACTACATTGTCTTAGTAAAAATGAGTAATTACATTTATCATGATTATCACACTAACATATTGCTCAGCAAAATTGATTAATAATTAACAATGATTAATTGTAAACACACCGAGAAAGCTTAATCATCTTCAACAATTAAAATAATGAGATGAAAAAAACTTCCGGGTTTAAATTGAGATGAAAACAAAACCTTTCACTTTCTGTTCCCACCTTTCAATCAAATTTGATTAAATATATCGAGTCATTTATGGAAATACCCAATTAGTTAATACAATTAATTTTCTTAGAAAACTTGAAACAAATTAAAGTTAATTATCAGCAATTAAAAAACCATCCAAACATTGACAAAACATCAAACAATATGATTGAAGAGATGTATCATCAAAATTACCAATTATCAAGTAATATATTTGATGGTAGAAAACAAATTTCTTCATCATTCTAATAATGATTAATTACAATTAATTGGGCGATCATCACAATTAAACAATCAATATACACTCAACATAAGATTAATCATAATCAACTTTCAACCAACAGCAACAATTAAGGCCAAATGCTATTACAACACATAACATACCTATGAACACAATAATTTGATGATAATTTAACCATTCAAATTTGATAATAATAGTTAACTAAATTGACAACAATTAGATTTAACTATTATCATGGTTATTTATTTAACATGTAATTTTCAAGAAAAAAAAATCAAAAGGTGATACTGATTTGTGTTGATTGTCATTGATACACTTTAAATTGTTGTAGCAAAATGATTCAAAGTGTTTCAATTATAATAACTAATACAACAATTGGTTAAATTGTGATTCTACTTGAAATTATACATATTACATTACATCACAATTAAAAGTAATAATATAATTTTTTTTGTTTACAACTTGGTTATCATTTTATGGCCTAATAATCAGCAAATAACATGAATGAAAAGTCCGTGTCATTGGCATGAGCCGTGAACATTTAAAGGTAACATCATCATCCAAAAGTGTACACACACACATCAGGTAATCAAGAAGCGATCGCGATTAAAAAGTTTAATTAAAAATTAACTAACTAACCAAATCCTATTTTAGTTAATTGTTCACATGACAAGACAACTTTTTCCAACAATAAAACTCTCACCTAATGATGATTAAAGATTCAATCATAATCAAGCCTGAAAGATTGGAAACAGGTCAATTTTAATTCTGATCAGTATCATGATTAACTGATCATCATTGATTAGCAAGGGGATGTGAGAAAATAAATCAATTGATTAAACAATAGTTTGCTGTTAGTTAGTGATAATTATAATTATAATCAATTAAAATGAAAAACAAAAGTGAAGATTAATTAATGAAAGTGTCAGATTTTTGTTTCCACCTCACAAAATAAAGTTAAAATTAACTTAAATCACTAATTAGATTAACAGAATCTTAAAAACAATCAAAAATATACAACAATTAAAAACGTTATTGTATAAGAAGATAAAGTTGATTAAAGTTACTCATCTTATTATATTGTATATCAAACTTAAATCAAATATCTAAATAAGTTAATTAATTCAACATTTGATGAATCAAATTGTCTCAAATTTTGATCATCAATTGTTTCGTTGATTGTTGATTTAATTGTAATTTGGGTAAAAGTTTTAACAATCAAGTAAAAGGAAACAGTTTAAATTAATGAAAGGCTAACACGTTTTAACTCATTAACTCTAATTACAATTATTATTAATTTAATTCAGTATAATTGAATAACAATCAGGCAAAGTAAATACAACAATCAGAAACAAACAAGTCAACAGTTAAAACTGCTGCTAGTCAATGAGAGGCAACAATTGATGTTAATAAATCACAATTTGATTCTAACAGTTTAATTGTGATAAAGGTTATATCATCTAATAGCAATTTAACCTAACAATTAACTGGATAATAAGTAAATAGTTTCAAAAAACAGGTAACACACACACACAATCAAAGACAAGAAAATAAAAAGGTTCCTCATTTTTGAATTAATCAACATCAAAAACAAACAATAACATGTAAATCAAAGGGTCAATCAAGTAGGATGACCATTAAAAAATTTAGGTAACTGTATTTAAATTAAAGTGTTTATTAACTTAATTATAGTATTGTAAAGTTTCATTGATGATTGTTTATCATTACTGTGAATTCATCATCATCATCAGATCAGCATCATGAAAAATTGTCATTCTCGTGATAAACAATTGAAACACACAACTGGACATCATAACAGGATCTTTGATGATTGTGTTTACATTTATCATGTTGACCACTAGCACTTAAATTAACTTTTTAACCACCTTTATCATCATTATCATCAGTTTCTCATCACCAGGGAACTTTAATGATCTTTGAAGATGATCATCATTGATGAGAAGATGATGGAAATGTTTATTTCTCTTTTTTTTCCTCGACTCATCACTTTTTCTTGACCAGATCATATTCTTGGACAAAAGGGTCACACAACTAATTATTTAGACTACATCACAAATAGAAATCAGCTTAAAGATAGTATCATAATCGTTAATAAGTATCTCTCTCTCTCAAGAGGATAAGGTAATATTAGATGATAAAGATGCTGATAGAGTGATGATAAAGGGAGTACAGGTAAGGGTCAATGTTAAGTACTGGACATAAGATGGTCATCTCACTAATAATTTAAGATCATCAGAGTTGTGGTGATGATATTTAAACAATTTGATTATCATCAGGTTGGAAATGACATTCAAAATTGGTAATTTAAATTGTGCTATTGTTAACAACTTAGCTGAGGCTTCAACACATCATCGTTATGATTATTATGATAATCATATAACAGATTAAAATGATTAGAACAAAAAACACTAAATGACAATCATGATAATCACGAATACACGCTAATCATGTATTCATTGTAAAAACTCATGGGAATTAGTGTAAATCATGAGTATGTAATAAGAGCAACAATTATTATTACATTAAATGAATTAAATGTCCATTCATCATTTAATTGAGCTGTTCTCTGATTAGATTGTCAATAACACATGGAAGGTTAAAGTTTATCATCCAAAAATGATGGTTATTATCATTATCGTCATCTAATATAAACGTTTCCGGATATTTTTCACTAAACGATAATAATGATCATCATCATGTTGATTTCATTTTTATCTTCAATCACTGAGTGAGAGATGATTAAACTGACAATAATAAAGAGGTTGAAATAGAATCAAAGTTTTAAAAATAGGATTTTCTTGATCATCAATTAAGTTTTTTTTTCTCTCTTCATCTTTTTGATTATTGTTGTTGTCTTATTAAACAATTGTGATCAGCTGATAATAATGATGATAGTGGTAATAGATGATGATGATAATGATGACTAGGAGGAAGAAAAGTTTTGATCAGTAGCAATGATAAAATGATGAGAGAGGAAAAATTTTATCGGCAACTGATGATAAAGATGGTGAATGATGAGGATGCTGATGATAACAAGAATGATGGAATCATGTGACAGGGTAAACAATGAAATTGTTCAAACTTTTCATGGTAATCATGAAGAGGATGATAGTAAGTATATCAATCAACCATATTATCAGTTAATTGTTGACAAGTTAAGTTGAAATAAAAGAAAAAGGTAATGAACCAACAATCAGTTTCCATGATTGTTTCTTGATCTTCAAAAGTTAAATGAAAAAAAAGTTTAACAAGATTAGTTAAAAGATTGAGTCAAGAGAAAATGTTAATTCATGTAATTGACTCTTCTATGTGATTCTCACATGAAAAACAAGAAAAACGGTTAATCAACTAATTGTTACTTGGATTGACTAATCATGGAATTCAAATCAAGTTTAAAAAAGCATGAAATCATCTCTTCACATTGAGATTATCCATCCAATGGGAATTTTTTTTATCCCAATTCTCATCTAACATCATCAGTATCATCTTAATTACAATCAAGAGCCCATTTTCACAAGCTCCCAAATTAAAGGGCCAACACCAACAAACAAATTGTCAGAAATTAAAAAAAAAACAGGACACCAATTAATCAACCATTTAAAGAATCAGGAACATAAATAATAATACAACAACATTAATACGTAAATATTACATAAGTATATCAATAGAATTGAATAAACAATTAAAACGATTTTTTTCAAACAAAATCAATTGATTATTGATGATTGTTTACCAGTTTAAAATGATTGAATAGCTTGACTGTTAAAAAAGGTATTCACTTGATGGTTGTCAAAAGTTTTCTATTAATATTTATAACTGTTAACTGAATTAACTTACATACTAGAAATTGAGGTTTTCATGGTAAGTTTACCTGAAAGAAAAAAAAAGATTTGGGTGACTAGTGTATACCAATTAGATAGCGAATAGGAAACCCTTTCAGTGAATGGATCAGTTAAACAGGTAATCCTTTTAAGGTTTACTTGATAAGTCGCAAGGTAACTCAAGCAATCAAGTATTTATATAAATCAACATTACAGGTAAATTTATATTCATATAAATGATTGTATACATAATTAGGATGCTTCTTTAAACTGGTAACCCAAGTTAATCAGAGTTAATCCAATTTGAGATTTAGATTAGGCTTGTTTTTGTTTCTCAGTTCCTCTAATTCATATGGAATCATGTTAATCATGA